GTGGCAGTCGGGTGACTGGTTTTTCCATCATGACAATGCCCCTGCTCACATAGCCCTGTCTGTACGACAATTCTTGACCAAAAATGGTATGACCCCTGTTCCTCACCCTCCATACTCACCCGACCTTGCCCGTGCGACTTTTTTTGTTTCCTCAAATGAAAAGAGACATGAAAGGAAAGCGTTTTTCTGATGTTGCTGAGGTGAAGGAAAAAACGACGGAGGCGCTGTCAAGCATCTCAAAAGATGAATTTAGACAATGTTTTGAAAAATGGAATAAAAGACTAGACAAGTGTATTAATGTAAGTGGAGAGTACTTTGAAGGGGATTGAAGGTTTGTGCTTAAAATTTGAATAAATAAGTTTAAAAAAAAATAAGTTTGGTTTCTTTTTGGTACCCCCTCGTATTAATTTTACATTGTTGGTTAGGCTTAAAGTAATTACTTCCACAATATTCACTGGGTCTCAAATGTTTGAATAAGACTTGTAGTACTCGTATATTTAATCTTGTGTGCAGCTTCTCTCATTAAAAGCAGAATTTTGTGAAGTGCTGTGCTCTTTTAACTCCTTATTTAATTCCTTTGTTAAACTATCCATCAAGCAGAATATAATTGTCGTAATAAAATGCTTGTCTACAGTTCAGTCACCACCTCGAATGGTGAAACAACCTCCGACAGAAGAACTTCTGTTCCAAGTTGCACAGCAGCAGAATGAGAATGATAAACCTTTCATCATAGAGTGTGAGGCAGAAGGAGAACCAGCCCCAAAGTATGTGTGTTTATATATATTTGGTTCTGAGATGGATGGAGTGAATGAATCTGTATTGCATAAGGAGGAAATTGTGATTTTTACAGGTTGTCAATGACTGTTATATTGTGGAATGTAGGAGGCTGTGATGGGCTAGATATGTAGTGGGGGGAGGGTACAGAATTTGGTTGAGGAATTATTGGAAAACAGCCACATGGAAGACTAAGCAGGAGATGGTTGGATAACATTAAGATTGATGTTCAAGAAACGAGTTTTGAGGATGGAAAATGGATTGAATTGGCTTTAGATCATTTTCAATGCTGGGCAGTTGTATCAGTGATTTTGAAAGTTTGGATTGTAGTTACAGTGTCTATTTAATTAGTTGAAATTATAATTCAGTTATAACTTGTGTAAGGAAAATACAGGCTGGGTCCACTCAGCCTCGTGAGGATAATTGAGGAGCTATTTCAAGGGAATATTGGCTCCAGTCTAGAAAACCGAGATTAATGGCCGTGGGGATGGGTTGCGCTGACCACGCGACACCCTCTATCCGCAAAAGTTGGCACTAACTTCGCCAACAAGTGGCGGTCGCTGAGTCGGTATAGTTCACTTGCGGATTACAGGCAACGGAGGTTTTTTTTTTTCCGGTGAATTTGTAGGCATAAGCATCTAACTGCTAGACAGTTGCAATTTGTGGAGATGATTTTTATTGTGTAATGAAATTAAGTTGTTAATCTCATACTGTGTGTTGGCTTTGAATGCATTCACTAATCTTTCTTTATCTGGAACTGAAAGGTATCGATGGATCAAGAATGGAAAACATTTTGATTGGCAAGCATATGATGATCGAATCTCGCAGCAGCCGGGTCGTGGCTCCCTTGTAATTTCATCTCCTCGAGATGAAGATCTAGGTAATGAAAACATACAGGAAAATTTGTTGAAAGATAAAATTATGAAACCAGAAACCGGTTGTTATAAAACTATTGTAGGTTTTAAACATTTAGTGATTTTTGAAATAGTGCTGTTAATAATGATATTCTTATCTACATATTTGAGGCAGTGTTGCTATTTTGTAGGTCAATATCAGTGTTTTGCTACAAACGAGTGGGGTACAGCCACTTCAAATTCAGTATTTGTCCGCAAAGCTGAATTGAACTCTTTTAAGGATGAACCACCTACCACAGTGAGTGCTCAGGAAGGTGATCCTTTCAAGCTGACTTGTCAGCCTCCAGATGGTTGGCCTAAACCAAATGTGTACTGGCTTATACAGGTAAGGTTCTATGCATAGAATGAGTACTACGTAACATATATGAAAGCAAAATTACCTTTCTTTTCCTTTTAAATGCTAGGAAATTTTACCCAAGATTTCATTGCATTCATTGGTGTAGCTGTTAGTCGTTTCGTATTTTTTTTTTAATATGTGGTCAGATCATGACAGACTGACTGATGGTCAAGTGGGATTTGTGGTGGACAAAGTGGCGCAGGGGCAGATTTTCTCCAAGTCCTTCAGTTTCCCCTGCCAATCTTCATTCCGCCAAATTCTCCATCGTCATGATCACCTGGGGCAGGCTACAGTAGGCCATTCAGTGGCCGCCGTGCCGAGTGGACCCAGTTGAACTCCACCCCCCACTAAGCGAAAATTTTAATAGCCATAATTGCTCTTTTCCACAACTTTCTGAACACATTATCCGAAAGTATCTTGTAATTTGAAGCATAGAAGTAGGACGTCATTATTTTGATTTAGTTTGTGTTAAAAAAGAAAGCTTCTCCTCATTTCAGAACAGCGATGGTGGCATAAAAAGCATAAACAACTCTCGTATGACTTTGGACCCTGAGGGTAACTTGTGGTTTTCCAATGTAACCAGACATGATGCAAGTGATGACTTTGCATATGCATGTGCTGCCACGTCTGTGTTCAGGTGAGAGACATGGCTGGTACAGTAGTAACGTGTTCAACTTGTGTATTTTTGTTTAGGAGGCTGCCTGGTTGGATTATCAGATCATTAGCTCTTCTGACACATTTTTATGTGTTTTCCTTATTTTATCCAGGTTAATTTAAAACAGAGCACTAAGATCTGATTGGTCAGTCAGCCATATCATGGCTGGGCCAAAAATATCCGTCCTGAAGGTGGATACAGAGTAACCTCTGAAATTTTGGACCATGATGTGGCTGATCACTGAAGAAGATTTTAATGCATTTAAATTATTTCAGGTAAAAAAAGTAGGTAAAGCTACTCCTGTAACATGGTGTGGAGGCCCACAGGGGTGTGAGACATCAAGGCTCCCGGATTTTCTGTACAATTGGCTCACAGATGGCAATGAGATGCAGAATTTGTCAAAATAGAATTTCACATTTCTGTGTTCATACACACATGTGCAGAAGAAAATACCTTCTATGCCCACCTACGTATTTATGACATCAGTTGAAAGTTCGGATGTGAACAGAGTGTCACATTGCTGATTTTTTGTAATTTTTTTACCCTTGTTCTGTACAGTGTTCAGTAACCTGAGAAGATATCACAAATTCATCTGTATGTCTCCATTTTTGTGGAGTGTATGGTAGAATAATGCATCCCAGATGACCTTTTAAATTTTTGTTCAATTAGGTTTACGTTTTGGATAATTCTGACAGCTGGTACAAAAATTAAAAACAGGATATAAGTTTTAATATACGGTGTATCCTAGAAAATATTTTTACCAGGACAGAAAACAGCCAGCCGAACATGTTATAACTTCTAGTAATTTTAGTGAATGAAATCTCATTTCAGAAATGAGTACAAGGTTGGAAACCGTGTGTGGTTGGTAGTAGTACCAACTGGTGTGTCAGCATCGCAAAACAGACATGAACCTGTACAACAATATGTTACAAGGAAGAATGAAGTTGCTTTACGAGGCAAGAAGGTTGAATTGTACTGCATATTTGGTGGAACGTAAGTGACGTTAATGATGTGTGGCTTTAATAGGAATATAAGTGCTTCACTCTGATGTGTGCTGAAAATCAGTACATATTTGGATTCCTGAAAGTTTGAATGTTTTTATGGCTAAGACTGTAAATTGAAGAAAATAAGATATTTTAAACATGTGAGGACTTTTTAAAAATTTTCACTCTGGGAAGGCCTGTTAGTTTCTGCAGCTAACGTCATTATTATGTATTCCTGTGCGAACAGCGAGGAATCAGAAAGTGGGATTGTCAGTGAATAAGAGGAAATTAAATTCACCTGTGGACTTGTTACCTAAGCCTCTGTACTGAAATTGTATCACTCAGAGATAGGTCCAGATTGCATAGTGAAAACTCGTGTACATGAACAATGAATTTTATCTCAGGCCATAGCGGTTGAGCTATTTTAGTGATTCATTAAGAAATTTTTTTTTTGCTGCGTTAATTTGTAGACACACAACTGCATTTCCTTAATTTATAAGAAAAAAATATAATTTTTCTTCTAATATTTAAATTTGCTCTGTTGATGGAATGTATGTTTCCTGCTCTCATTTATTACAATTCTGAATTTTGAAACCTTTGAGGGGTCAGGGTAGGAAGTGCTGTTCATCCATCCCCGCATCTTGCTGTCTTTAAAAACACTGAATGAACTTTATCCTAATTTGGATTTCAAGTTGGATATTTCTTAGTCATACATCAGTGCATTGGTGTTTATGACAACAGAGTATATTTGTGTATATTTGTGTTAAACTGATTACTCTGTAAAGGTAAAAGGTAAAGTTTTCCCTGCTCTACGCCATGAAGGCATATGAATAGTAGGCTGGGTGGGCCCCGGAGCCAGTCTGGACAACGTGAGAAGAGAAAATTCTTGACCCTACTGGGACTCAAGACTCCGACACCCCAGTCATCCAGCCCGTAGCCAGTTGCTATACCGACTGCGCTATCCCGGCTCCCCAATGATTACTCTGTTAATTAATATGGAATTGGTCACTGATTAATAATTTCAATTGTTCAGCAGCTCTAATCTTATCATATTCAATTTGTAGACCTCTACCTCAAACTGTTTGGCGTAAAGATGGTCAAATAATACATGCATCAGAGAAGGTGACTCAGAGTAATTATGGCAAGAGCCTTGTCATTAAACATGCCTCATTTGAAGACGAAGGAAGTTACACCTGTGAGGCTAGCAATGGAGTAGGAACAGCCAAGTCATACTCCATCAACCTTCAGGTCATGGGTAAGTTGTTTTCAGTCCCTGGGCTGAAATAGCAAAGTTAAAAGTTGCCCTTGTGCCAAGACACCATGTATGAAGGCATGGTGGGGACATGGAGGTAATGCCTCACATATTTCTAACCATTGCTTTAGATAGCATTCACTTTCCACTTGGTACACGTTGGATATTAGGCTGGCTGACCAACAGATGTCTTCTAGGTGTGGGTGTGAGAAGAGAATGCTACCTTCCATACTGAGATTTGAACTCTGGCTATCCAGTCCATAGTTACAACTGAGTTTGGTATTGTGATACCCTTTATTATGGACAGAATTGATAAGCCGTCCAGAAACTGTGTTTTCATTTATGGAACAGTTTACAGACTACCATTATATACAATAGAACACCTTTGTAAGATTTTCCTTGAGGTTAAAGGCAGACTGAGTGTGAAGCTGACTGTTTCCCTTCGTTTATTGCTGAGGTTAAGAATGCATGGAGCTGTAGGCTGTGGTGTAGTGTGTCAGCACAGGTAACAGGTTGTTCCTAATTAAAAGAACACTTATTATAAATTACATAAAAAAATAAAACTACAATGAAACGCTGATTTGAGGGTTGTCTGGGGATGAGCTTTTTGTACCTTAAATTGTGGTGTTTGGAACAGAGCCTAAAATGAATGTGAAACTTACTGAAATCAATAATAAGACATTGAGCCTTGTTCATTTGATAAAAAGATTTTTCTTTGTTTCTCAGAATGTGCCCCACACCAGGTTTAAGTTTTCCATAGAATTATGTTATTTAATGATGACAGAGGCAGCACAAGACACTTGCCAATTTCATTTTGTGGTATGATTGGATTCTTTTCCACCACCTGGATAATTTTCATGCCCTCGTATATTGTTACCTTTTTTCTTTCAAAATTATGGCTCTTCATTACTTCAGAATCCCTTGCAAATAATCTATACACTCGAATGCAACAGAAAAAGAACAAGCAGTACCTACCAACTGATACAGAGGACGAACAAAGAACGGGTAGAGACAGCCAAGCTGCATTGCATGCTGTGCAGGTGATGACTTTGAACTGTGCAAAGATAGCTGCATGCCAGTTTGGAGCATGTAGAAAATTCCTTTCACTGCTAAAATCAGATCTAAAGCATGCACTGGAATCATAGTTTCTTATGTGGAATGTGGGTAAACCCTTGAATTGAGAAACTAAGTTTAAAATAATATGCGAGGCATATGGAGCTTTAGCTAGGACTAGTAGTTGATGTACTTAAAATGAGGGAAAGCATTAACTGTGGGTCTCATAAATCAGGGTTTCACTGTATCCAGATTATGGAAAACTGCCAATTCTTAACTTCACATTGTGTCAGAAAGTGGCTAATGCCTACTACATCTGCCTTGTCATAGCTGTCCCATACTTCACTGAGGAACCCGAGAATGTTAATGCTGCAGAGGATGAGACGATTGAGTTCCGTTGCAAAGCGTCTGGCGTACCTGAACCCCAGATAAAGTGGATCCACAATGGTCGCCCCATCAGTGAGGCCCCTATCAATGTACGACGCAAGGTGACCCCTAACAGCATTGTGATCCAGAATTTGAAAAAGAATGATACAGGAAATTATGGTTGCAATGCTACCAACAGTCTTGGTTATGTCTACAAGGATGTCTATGTCAATGTTTTGGGTGAGTATGTGTGGTATTTGGAAGAAACTAGATAGAGAAGTAGTCATTAGAATGTTTGTCTGCTGCCCACAATTTGCTGTCTGTCACAATTCAACAGGATTGTTAAGAGCGCCCCCCCTCCAAAGTATAATTTGATTTTCGTTATAGTCAGACTTGTTTTAGGTGACTGTTCTTGATGGACTAGTCGACTTAATGTTATCCTAACCCGTGCATACCTTGTTCTACTGTCCTTGGATCGTCCTGACTTGCCATTCGTTACTGTCATCACCCACTGCTGTTAACTTTGCAGCAAAAATAGGGAGCTGAAATGTCTTTACATTCACATGAACATAATTTCCATATTGCTGCACCTGTATTTGTTTTGTACATGGAAGTGGAAATGGCAGAAGGAAGAAGACTACCTGTTTTAAAGTGTAAATTGATACCTTTGCTTCGCTATTCTGTTTTATCCATTTCGTGGGAACTACTGCTGTAGGACATATCTGTAAGGTACAGAACCCTAAATTTACATTGACAATTTCAGCTGAATTTTAGTCAGACATGTAGCACAAGTCAGGTAATTTTCATGTGTAAACAAGCACTATTGAATGTCTCGTTCTGCTAATTAGTAGGACATTTAGAAATAAGAATGTTTGAAAATGGAATGAGTGGAAGCAAACGTTCAGTGATGCATTTTGCTTAATGAAATATGAATAATGAAAACTACAGAACTTGGACAGTCAGTAGGTCTTTTGGAAGTCCTGATGTAGTCTGTAATTGATTATCAGTAATGGTGCAGTATGACTATTGGGAAATGAATAATGATAGCGAAACCTTTTAGACCTATTACATGCAATTAATCAGTTTTCTTTTAAATGCATTAAATGGAAAAATGTCTGGAAAATATGTTATAAAAGGCCACCTCTGTGGTCTAGTGGTCAGAGTTCCTGGGTACAGATCAGAGATCCTGGCTTCGATTCCTGGCACTACCAGATTTTCTGAGAAGTGGGTCTGAAACAGGGTCCGCTCAGCCTCGTGATGATAATTGAGTAGCTATTTCAAGGAAGTAGTGGCTCCGGTCTAGAAAATCGAAATTAACGGCCGTGGGGATCTGTCACGCTGACCACGTGACAACCTCTATCTGCAAAAGTTGGCACTAACTTCTCTGAAAAGCGGCCGTCGCTCAGTTGGTATAGTTCGCTTGCAGACTCAAGCCACGGAGTTTGTTTAGTTTATGTGTTATAAAATGAACTTATAAAGTGGGAAAACGTTATATATGAGAACTATACATGAGAAATTTTAACATTGGTCTTATGAGTATTTGGCACGAGTTCGAAAACCAGATTTCTTGTATGGGAAACTCATTATGCAGGAACTTTATACCCGGGAAACATTGTATATGATGTTCTAACAATTGCTGTTTCATTCAGCTTTGGCTCCTGAGATCATAGATCCTCCTCGGAATGAGGCGACAGTTGATGGACGCACCGTGACACTGATCTGTCATGTATTTGGTGCACCAAAACCGCTAGTAAAATGGATTCATGGTGGTGTAGAACTCACAGGAGGACGCTACTCAGTTCTTGACAGTGGAGATCTTGAAATCAGGTATATTTAATGATGTGCAAGCAAGAAGTGAAGTACTGTTTGTTCTGAAGTTTTTGTAATTAAAACCTTTATTATTATTTGTTCTTGTTAAGGGATGTCAATTTCATGGATGCTGGTGATTACACTTGTTTTGCTGAAAACAAATTTGGAGATGCAAAGGCAGAGGGCACCCTGACTGTGAAAGGTTAGTATCTTGAAGGGGTGTTTTATATCATATTTATAGAATTTTTAGAAGATGTGTGCATGTATATTTCATCACAGCTGGAACAGATAACTGTTTTACAACTGGTGACTAATTTTGTGTCCATTTCCTTTTATGGACGAAACAGTTTATGCTGAACATAGCTGTCACTTAGCACAGACAACTGTCAGTGACCGTCAGTGACATTTACTTTTCTTTCTGTTGAGACCTGAGTTACTACAGATCCAGAGGTCCTGGGTTCGATTCCTGGCGCTACCAGATTTTCTGAGAAGTATTGGGGTCTGGAAAGGGGTCCACTCATCTTCGTGAGGATAATTGAGGAGCTATTTCAAGGAAATTGCGGCTCTGGTCTAGAAAACCGAGATTAACAGCCATGGGGAACTGTTGCGCTGACCATGCAACATCCTCTATCCTCAAAAGTTGACACTAACTTCACCGACAAGCTGCGGTTGCTCTGACAATATAGTTCGCTTACAGACTATAGGCGATGGGGGTTTTTTTTTTTTTGGTCTATTCTGACCTGACAGTACATAAGATTCCCTTGTTTCTGCTTGTAATTTTTAATTCTAAGTGTATAAACTTTATGCTGTATAGTCTCAGTACTGAGTGTTTGTTAAGTAGGCAACTGAAGAATCATATAATATGAGTTATTATAACTTGTCTTTGGTTTTAATACTCTGTAAGAGCATCAGTTTTTAGCCTTTTTTCCTTATTTTTAAAAAATACAGTGGGCTAATGAGATCACCATGCTGTCTGTGTACTCCCCTCTATTAATGTTTGAATGCCTGAACCAATCTTTATGAAACATGGTATGTATATCATGGCACCTGAGCCCATCTCAACAGTATGCTTAATAAATCCCCCCCATCAGTCTGTATGTCTGTGTATCCATCATTGTTGGTAGGGAAGGGCTCAGTAAACACATTCCTGTGGCAACAAATGTTCACAAAATAGAAGAATTATTTTATGCATGTGTATTCCGCTGTTGTTGCTAGGCAGTGGCTTGTTAAACACATTCCTGCAGCAATGAAGAGGAGTTGGTGTTGTTTTCTATGTGGTCCATGTTGTATGAAAGGCAAGCAGGCAATTAGTTCGTCCAAGAACTTCTTGTTTAATTGCAAAGAAACATGTTTGGAGATGCTGGAATAATTATTTTTTTGGTGTTATTTTTCACTGCACAATGTGAGACAGGTACCTGTTTTTGTTATTTTCACTTCACAATGTGAGACAGGGTACCTGTTTTTGTTATTTTCACTTCACAATGTGAGACAGGGTACCTGTTTTTGTTATTTTCACTTCACAGTGTGAGACAGGGTACCTGTTCTTGTTATTTTCACTTCACAGTGTGAGACAGGGTACCTGTTCTTGTTATTTTCACTTCACAGTGTGAGACAGGGTACCTGTTCTTGTTATTTTCACTTCACAGTGTGAGACAGGGTACCTGTTCTTGTTATTTTCACTGCACAGTGTGAAACGGTACATGTTTTTGTTATTTTCACTTCGCAGTGTGAGACAGGGTACCTATTCTTGTCATTTTCGCTTCACAGTGTGAGACAGGGTACCTGTTCTTGTTATTTTCACTTCACAGTGTGAGACAGGGTACCTGTTCTTGTTATTTTCACTTCACAGTGTGAGACAGGGTACCTGTTCTTGTTATTTTCACTTCACAGTGTGAGACAGGGTACCTGTTCTTGTTATTTTCACTTCACAGTGTGAGACAGGGTACCTGTTCTTGTTATTTTCACTTCACAGTGTGAGACAGGGTACCTGTTCTTGTTATTTTCACTTCACAGTGTGAGACAGGGTACCTGTTCTTGTTATTTTCACTTCACAGTGTGAGACAGGGTACCTGTTCTTGTTATTTTCACTTCACAGTGTGAGACAGGGTACCTGTTCTTGTTATTTTCACTTCACAGTGTGAGACAGGGTACCTGTTCTTGTTATTTTCACTTCACAGTGTGAGACAGGGTACCTGTTCTTGTTATTTTCACTTCACAGTGTGAGACAGGGTACCTGTTCTTGTTATTTTCACTTCACAGTGTGAGACAGGGTACCTGTTCTTGTTATTTTCACTTCACAGTGTGAGACAGGGTACCTGTTCTTGTTATTTTCACTTCACAGTGTGAGACAGGGTACCTGTTCTTGTTATTTTCACTTCACAGTGTGAGACAGGGTACCTGTTCTTGTTATTTTCACTGCACAGTGTGAAACGGTACATGTTTTTGTTATTTTCACTTCACAGTGTGAGACAGGGTACCTATTCTTGTCATTTTCGCTTCACAGTGTGAGACAGGGTACCTGTTCTTGTTATTTTCACTTCACAGTGTGAGACAGGGTACCTGTTCTTGTTATTTTCACTGCACAGTGTGAAACGGTACCTGTTTTGTTATTTTCACTTCACAGTGTGAGACAGGGTACCTATTCTTGTTATTTTCGCTTCACAGTGTGAGACAGGGTACCTGTTCTTGTTATTTTCACTTCACAGTGTGAGACAGGGTACCCGTTTTTGTTATTTTCACTGCACAGTGTGAAACAGGGTACCTGTTTTTGTTATTTTCACTGCACAGTGGAGACAGGGTACCTCTTTTTGGAAAGCCCACTACTGTTGTGATGCACAATAGCTTAGTATGTGTGATTTCCTTGTGAGTAATGTTTATTCTTTATTGCAGAACATACCAGGATCACAGATGGGCCAGAGGATTATGAAGTGGCCGTTGGTAGCACAGCGACTTTCAGGTGTAATGCTGTGAGTGATGCTTCACTTCCTCTCACTATCGAGTGGTTGAATAATGGAGAGCTTATAGATTTTGAAGCGGAGCCTCGGTTTGTACGTTCTTCTGACTATTCTCTCACCATCACGAAAACAACCGAACTTGACTCACGCACCTACACGTGTGTAGCCCGAACAGATCTGGATAGTGCAAGTGCGCAGGCTACCCTGACAGTTCAAGGTACTATTTTTTTTAACGTAGAATATATTTTTTATTATAATAAGATCTAAAAGTTTGTGATGATGGTAAATTGTTACAATTAATATTTTGCTGGACATTATCCATCATCTTGTCTATTCTAAAAAACAGTCTAATTTCTATTAAAAACACAACGTTTCGGGAACTGGATTCTGTCCCCGTCTTCAGGTAAAACCTACTCAGTTGGGTCCAATAGACAGAGCTAGCCCCTATCTCCGGACATATTTTTTATTATGATTATCAAAAAATTTCATTGATAAAAATGCTGTGGATTGCCATTGTCAGAATGTTAAAACTTACAGAAAGGAAACAAATCTTTCACATTTATTAGCCATGCATTATGCTAATATAATAGATCATGTATGTTCTAGTTGTGGAGTGTCGTATCAGGGCACTAAAATAATGTCAAAAAAGTATCAGCATAGAAATTGGCATTGTGTTTTCTTTCAGGTACTTTCTCTTACTGGGAAAATTTAGCAGGAATAGTTCCAAAGATATGAAATCTTTTTTATATTAATGCTAATTACTCACTAAAACCCTGCATAGAAAATGTAGCTATGAGGTCCATTGTAACCAGAGATTTAAATCCCCACTGCTGTATGGTAAATGTTAGATAACACCATGTTTGTTTTCTCTTCTGCCCTACACTTGTTAAGGTTCGGCCACACAGAGCGCTGCGTACGCTATGTTCGCTATACGAACGGAAAAATATCTCCCTTTATTGCCAGTGTGACTGGCCACACAGACTTCCGTACGCTACATATGCTATGTTCCCTATGTTAACTGTGTCACAGAGTGTACACAGCGTACGTAGTGAACCTAGCGTAGTGCTCTGTGTGGCCGAACCTTTACATAAACCTGATTCTTAGGTAAGTAAAAAAGAAACTATGAATTCTGTGGTAATAGAAACTAGCAGTTCAACACAACTAACCTGAAAGCATATCACCACTGGATCTGGTCATGAGCCAAGTCATTCTGGTGCATGTCGTTAGAGCCAGTTTAATTTCAGCTTGTCATCTCTTTCTCATTCTTCCAAGTGAAAGCTTCTAACAAATGTCCTCTCCGAAATTGTGTATGTATATTGGTTTCTCCATTCAAAATACATATCCAGCACATCAGAATCTTCTTTGTTCTAACAAACAGTATTTGAAGAAAAGCAAAAATTACAAAGTACCTGTGTGTAATTTATCTTATTCCATGATCACTTAATTTTTATTCTCATTATTTTTCAGATGCAGTTATTTAGTGAAACCACATCTCATAACTGTAAAAATCCATAAGAAATATAACCTCTTTGTCAAACAGAAGAGTTGTATGTAGTAGTATTGTTAATCCACTTAGTGTGAATCTCTTTTGAAGCTTATACATGTGTATTGTAAAGTTGCTTGTAAAATAAAACTTATCTTTTTCTTTTTCCTATAGACGTACCAAATGCTCCAAACCTAAAGAGTGTTATTTGCAATAAACGTGATGCATCAATTCACTGGGAACCAATGGGCGATAATCGTGCTCCTATTCTGCGGTACACTATCCAGTTTAACACGAGCTTCACGCCAGACACATGGGAGATTGCATATGACTCTGTACCTGCAACAGATATGACATACACTGTGAGTCTTTACTGCACACTGTGAGTTACCTGAATGTTCTGATCTCAGAATAGTGCGTGTCGTTGAGAATTTTAAACCGCATGTGCTTGTTGAAGCCACAAACGAAGCAAAACGGACTATAATGAGGAGACTTTCAAGCAGCAGTGAATCACACTTTAAACAGTTTTTAAAATGGTCTGCTACTCTTTATGTTTTTGTGTCATATGAGTAGTAGGTGAATTTAGCATTTGGTCACATTTATAGCTGTCCATGTTTTTTTATGTTAGGTCGCAATGAGTCCGTGGGCCAATTACACTTTCCGAGTAATAGCATGGAACAAAATTGGGCCCTCTGTTCCATCACAGCATTCTTCAGTCTGTACAACTCAAGCTGATGTGCCTTACAAAAATCCAGACAATGTTGAAGGCAAAGGCACTGAACCAAATAATATTGTCATCAGCTGGACGGTAAGGAGCACATCTTTTCTGTAATATTAAACTCATATTTAACTGTGCACGTTAATGGAAGGGGTTAATGTTGCATGTTAATTCTTCAGCCAATGCCTGAGATTGAACACAATGCTCCTCGGTTTATGTATCGAGTGTATTGGAGGCGAGATATACCTGGCGAGCAGTGGGTCTCAAATGACATTTTGAACTGGGAGGACACCAAACTGATTGTTCCTGACCAGCCAACTTTCCAGCAGTATCGCATCAAGGTCGTAGCCATCAATGAGAAGGGAGAAGCAAATGTTGCACCCAAGGAAGTTATTGGATACTCAGGAGAGGATGGTGAGTTACGGTCCCCCTGCTGTAAGGGCATTTATCTTGATGACTTTATAGTTGTTGCTTGATACTGAAATACAGATTGAGGACTGGGAAATGCTATGTATAAAGGCCTCATGATGCTTTTAATGGACAGCCTCTGTTGTCTAGTGGTCATAAGTCCTGGCTACAGATCTAGAGGCCTGGGGTTCGATTCCTGGCGCTGCCAGATTTTCTGAGAAGTAATGGGTCTGGAGCGGGGTCCACTCAGCCTTGTGGTTATTATTGAGGAGCTATTTCAAGGAAATAGCGGCTGTGGTCTACAAAACCGAGATTAACAGCTGTGGGGATTCGTTATGCTGACCATGTGACACCGTCTATCTGCTAAAGTTAGCACTAACTTCGTCGACAAGCAGCAGTCGCATGGTCGGTCTGGTAGCGCCGGGAATTGAACCTGGGACATCTGGATCTGTAGCCAGGAACTCTGATCACTAGATCACAGAAGCAGTCAAAGTTAACCAGTATACTACATGAAAATGAAATTCACGCAGCTAGTTGTAGTGTATGCCTCTCAGCACCGAATTTGGTCATAATTCGTAGGGTGATAATGGAGATGAAATGTATGAAAGATATGCATCCCAGTTATGCGTTCATTCTATGTACCCTGTGCAAGAAATGTTTTAGAAACTCTTAGTCTGCTTGCAGTTAAGATTATATTGTATTTAGACTTTTCCTGCATAAGTGACTCTTTACAGTTCCAACGCAGGCACCATACAACTTCACACTTGTCCAAGTTAAGGACAGTACAACTGCCCTGCTCAGCTGGGACGCTGTCCCTCCAGAAAGTGTCCGTGGTCACTTCAAAGGATATAAGGTAAGTTTACATGTTCATATGCACTCTGAACATAAATTTTGATGATGTATTCCATATTCCCTTATGAAGATGACGCAGAGGAAGGTGTTTTCAAATTAGGAGTACGTTTAATTTCCAGCTGTGTTCTTTTCATTTTGTAATTTGTGATTATTTATTGCTGATGCAAATCTGATATTGACAGATCTGTCACACTGTTCAAGTGTACTTGATTTTGTCGAAGTTGTTCTCTGTACTTTCTTCAAGTGAGACTTTAATTTAAACTTTTCATCCTTACTGTGAGGAATATGTTTACTTCATACTGTTCTGTACTTATCCATAAGTGCCTCGCATCTTGTGGGATATTTTGTATTATGTTAGTTCATATGTTGACTGCATTGTAGTAATAAAATAAGCATTTTATTCCACTTCATTTCTCTTCAACATGATGGCATACAGGAAACATGATAATATGTTTAAGATACAAAGAAACAAATTTGGCTTTCTGTTTTGGTGATATATGCTTATTCCTTGGCCCATTGATCTCTCTTATTTGTCTTTTGCCTCCATCTTTTCACTTTCAGCTCTTGTAAAACATTCTCTGCATCTTCAGCCATCTCAATGATTTCAGTGATATCAAAATACATCAGTAATTCTCACTATAGCAAATGTCACTCACTGCAAATATGTTAACACTGGGGGGTCCACTATGTAGTTCCTACTAACGTAACAGTTGAAAAGTTTATTTTGCATACACATGCATAGAGTCATAAATTCTGTCATCTGCTAATGTGATAATGGATAGTTGAGATGTGTTAAAGCATTTGATCTCGGTAAGGGCTCACTGCCATGCTTGTCATATTTTAAATGTCCTTAGTTAAGTAGGCCAATGAGAAAAAAGTGGACAGAAACAGGCAGGAAACAGGAAGTTGAGAATTCAGCATAATAATTCTAAACTGTGGTATAGTTAATTTCATTTCCTTTATTTATTGCTTTCAAAGATCGATCAATAGTACAAGACCACAAGATATAGAACTTGTTGCATGTTTGACAAGACTTCCTGATGTTAATATTATACAACTTCTTATGCCCCATATCCTAGAATGAAAAATTAGAGGAACAAGAAACTAGATTGTTCAGGAAAGGGTGAACTCGGAGAAGTGGAACTGTGGAACTCTTGATTTCAAGAGTCATTTGATATCAGTAACTCAATTGTTATCATTGTCTTTGCATATTTTAGATCCAGATCTGGACAGAGAAAGATGGAGAAGATGGTTTACGTGAAATTGATGTGAAAGGTGAAAAAACAAACACAATGGTTACGAAGTTCATACCTCATAGCAAGAACTTTGCACGGGTCCTTGTTTACAACAGCAGGTATAATGGACCGCCTAGCGAAACCCTCAGCTTTGATACTCCTGAAGGTGGTAAGGTCTTAGACATATCTGTTCTCTATCTACTAGCATTCCTGTGAGTAATTACTATGTTTTTGTTAGTACAATATGAACCAATTCCTAGCAAAAATCCATTAAGTAGTGTCAAGTTAATACATCTATTTTTTACTTCACTTCCTCAGTTCCTGGGACTGTGCAGTTCTTTGAAGCATTCCCATTAGGGTCTTCAGCCCTATATCTAATATGGAAGCGTCCAGAACAACCAAATGGCATCCTCACAGGCTACAAGATTTACTATCAGACTGTTAAAGGGACCAAGGTTGGTCCTATACTTGAGAGGGAGCCACATATTTCAGACCCTAACCAGACTCGTGCAAAGCTGGCAGGTCTGGAACAAGGTACCAAGTATAGACTTCACATAAAGGCGACGACAAGTGCAGGAGAAGGGGAGGCTTACTTCATTGAACAACGAACACGATCACGAACGTCTGCTGCAGTCATTCCTGACAAACCCAAGTTTACATGGACAAAGTTGTCTTCAGAAGAAGGTTATGCAAGAATCAAGGTGGTTTGGCTGCCAAACATTGATGGAATGCTAGGCTCCCACTTCTTTGTTAAGTACAGGTAAACAAATTCAGACTAACTAACTAACTCCATGGAGCTGAGCCTTTTTTGAGAAACTGCCAGTCACTCAGCCACTCAAGGATTTCCCAACATTTTAAGGAACTGGAAGATTCATGACCATGTTCACAAGAGTCCTCCACCGGTTCCTATCCTGAGCTAGATCAGTCCAGTCCCTACCACCCCATCCTCTCTCTAAAATCCATTTTAATACTATCCTTCCACCTATATCTGCGTCTTCCTAGTGGTGTCTTTCCCACCAAAATCATATATGAACTCCTCTTCTCCCTGCCTGGGCATGCTATATGCCCTGCCCATCTCATCCTCCTTGACTTGTTCATTCTAATTACATTTTGCAAAGAGTACAAGTTGCAAAGCTCCTTATTATGCAGTTTTCTCCAACCTCCTGTCACTTCATCCCTCTTTTGTCCAGATATTCTCAGAACCCACACTTTGCCCAAATTATGAGCTTGTGATATAATAATTTTACACCTAGTTCCAGGGCAATTCAAGAGATTTGGGTTTTCACTGCAGTGAATATGCGTATTGTGGTGTTTTATAGTTTCAAAGGCAGATACTGATGTTCCTCTATATTGTTGGTACTCATGTACAGGTTTACGTGGTGTCACATTGCACAAGTTCACAGACTGATTAATCTGCTTGGTTTAATTTTCAGGAAGAAGGGTGAGACCATGTTCCAGGAAACGGGTTCGGAGATGAATGAGGACTACATCATTGTGCGTGGGCTTATGCCTGGTGAGATGTATGAATTCAGTGTTGTTGCTGTTGACGGAGAACACATGACTGAGAGTGAAGTGGAAGAAGTTGAGATCTCAAGCATGGGTGAGTTCTGTACAGTGAATATTGAGGTCTTACTCTGTAAGGTTTACTAGGTAAATAGTCCTCAGTTTTCTGATGTGGAAACCATTCCTCTTTAAGATAACGCTTTAAAAACGAATTATGACTGTTAAAAACTAATCTTCATAACTTAATGATGGAGAGGCTGTAGTGTACAGGAATGTCCACAGATTATTTGCTGCTGGTTAGATTTATGCAGTAATCATCTTGTTATTCCTCTTACTAAAACAACTTCTCTCTGTAAACAGAATGGTATTCTTACCGTGTCATTGTTAGTATTGTTCCATTAATTATGTCAAGATAGGGCCATTGCCTCTTCCTTCATGTGCACATGTTGTCATCTGTACACACAGTACGTTGTTTTCAGAACTGTTCATTGTACCAAATTAATTCCTTCACTTCTTAGTTTTTTACACATTGACAGGTCCTTCCAGCTCGATTTTTATACATATATCCTTAGTGAAATACACTTCTAGGTGTTACCCACATAATGTATGGTTAGATTGATTTTCTGCAGACAGAACTATATTATATCAATGTCGTTACTTTGGAAGCAGCACAAGCATTTGAACATTCACAAAGCTTATTAAATGTGTATCTGTTCAGGGGTAGTGGTGGAGTTAAAATTGGTGTTCTTACACAGAACTACTTCTCGTTGGAGCCAGGATAACGCAGTCGGTACAGGCTAGACAACTGAGGGGCCGGAGTTTGAGTCCTGGTAGGGTCAAGAATTTGTTTTCCATGTTGTCCAGACCGGCTCTGGGGCCCACCCAGCGTCCTATTCCAGTGGGCATATGGCGGCTCTCCCCGGGAGTAGAGCAGTCAGTGGGTGATGCTGACCACTCACCTCCAACTAATGCCAAGCTCAAGAAAATGTGGATCTATACATCCACTACTCCTTTTGCCTTCATGGCATAGTGCATAATTAGCTGAGCACAAGGACAACTTTAACTTGACTTTCTTGTTTGCCCTGAGAATAATTTTCAAATGTTTCTGTGTTCTTTCAAGCAGATAGCATCATCATAAAGCCAAAGGAGAATGTTGCTACTGCAGGATGGTTCATAGGGATGATGCTGGCCATTGCATTCTTGTTGCTTGTGTTGATAATTGTATGTATCATCAAGCGTAACCGTGGTGGCAAATATGCCGTTCATGAACGAGAAGCTGCACATGGACGGACAGACTACCCAGAGGAGCCAGGATTCCATGAATATTCACAGCCGTAAGTATGATATTAGCAGGGTTGTCAATAATGTACACTACATGACATCACTTCCCAGAAGACCATGATCGTCATATTTATCTCTTTGAGAATATCAAATTTTTGTAAGAAACATGGTGTTTGAAATAGTGTTATAACTTTGTATTGGAATCTTGTCATTTCAAGTCCCATTCTGAGCCAGTTGAAGTAGTTCATGTTCTTTTTCTCAAACAATCATTTAGATATTATCCTTCTGTTTGTAGATCTTCTACTCAGTGACTTTTGCAATCAAAATAAGTGAATTTCTCATTTTTTAATGTGGGTTCTATGTATACTCCTCAGTTAATTTCTGTAATAGCATTGAGTGAAGTAGCGCTTCACTATATTTTTCTTAATCTCGTGTTACCTTCTCTCATGCCCAGATGTGCTTTTGCATTGTTCTCAAACCTCCAGAGCCATAAGCATAATGCCAAACCTTGTGGCATTCTTAATGATGCTGTATTGCTTAGTTGCATTTATAACTGTATTTTTAATTATAATTGTTTCAGACTAGATAATAAATCCCATGGTCGAGGGTCAATGAGTAGTGACCCCAAAGCAGCTCCAGAGAGTGACACAGACTCCATGGCAGAATATGGCGACGGAGACACGGGTTTGTAACATAGGCACTTTTTCTCCTTCATTCTAATTGATACCAAAGAATAATTACATTTTTTGTTAAGTTAAATTAAATTTGTCTTGAAAATTGAGAGGGTTTAAGCATATATATGAATGTTATCAAGACTTAGCAGCCTGGCTGTCCATGACAAGTGAAAGATAGAAAGAAATTAATTTATTCATTGATATTCTCTCTCCTTCCTGCCCTCCTCTGACATCACACTGTGAGTTTGTAACTGGTATGAGTGTCAAGCCTGTTGCTAATGTGACAGTTAAGTGTTTCAAAGTTAAGATGTTGGGAAAAGATAAGTGAAATACAGTTAAACTGGCTTGAGTAGGCATGGTTTGTCTTGTGTAGAACTTCTGTCTGATGGTGAACTGAGCTACCATTTGTCGAGCTTAGCTTATTGTGAAATAGAGGGCTTGCTACTGTGTGCTATTTATGAGATAAAGTAGTTAAAGAAATAGTTTCTGTATCTTTGTCAGGAGATAGATAATGATATAATTGTGGGTTGGACACAGTTCAAGAAGACTTGTTTTCTTGAAGTCCTTTTGCTGTTAAGTGCTTTATATGTCATTCCTTAACGTTAAATATATCTGTGTTAGAAGAAGATTTTCAGTGGTGATTTTGTCCATCGCATTTTTTTCTTCCTATATGGTATATGATTGTGAAGGATTGGCAGAGCACTTGGCTACACAGTTGTACTTAAGGGAAGCCAAATTAAGGTTCTGTTTGGAACTGGAAAGATTAAATTCATATGATTTGTGTATTTGAACTTTTTTAGCAGTCGGGTGCACTTTTTTGTCTTTTCTCCATGCTATACTATTCTTAATGTTTGTTAAGGTTAAGAGCGTCGTAGGTGTGAAGTCAGTTTCACAAAGCTCTTTGAAAAGAGACTGCTGAGTTATTTAGCGAGGTTTTTTAAGTGCATGCAGAGTGAACTGTATTCCCTTCTCAGATTCCCTGCAGAAAGAATACAGATTAATATTAGGTTCACAAGAAATGTGCATCAAGAGGCATTTGTGTCTTGGAGGCAATTATGAAACTTCCTGTTTTAAGTAAGGTAAGGTTGTCCCTGGCTAATCACAATGGCTGTGCAATCTAAGGTATGAACTATCTTCGCCTGCTTGAACAGTCATGGGTTCGAATCCCACTTGAGGCATTGATATCTGTGTGTGTGTGTTCAGTGTTTGTGTTGTTCTGTGTGTAGGTAGTGGCCTGTGGGACAGGCTGATCCCCCATACAAAGAGTTCTGCCGACTGTGTATAGGATTTAGAAACTGAAAAAGCGACCAAGTTCCAAAGGGCTGTAGAGTCATAGAAAAATAAGTTGTCCCTGTGCTTAATTAAGCAGAATGGCTTGAAGTCATATGGAGAGACAAAGGTGTAGCTCCACTCATACAACTCCAGCACTAGATGGAGGTGAGTGGTCAGCTTTGTCACTGACCTCTTTGAGGGCAAGAGGTCCCAGTAGATGTTGGATAGGAGGCTAGGTGGGCCCCAGGGCTGGTGTGGATGCTGTGGAGAGAGAAAAAATCTCTTTTCCCAGCCAGGAACCTGACTCCAATTCCTTTGGCATGGTTGTATAATATTACACTTTAATGGTGTCCCCCCCCCCCACCAGTAAGTGGTAGTAGTCTTTTTTTCCTTTGCAAGTATATGGTGCATGTAGCTGCATTTTGCAGTGTGTTGGATGTCTATAGAGTGTTTGTGTTGACTTCTTTCTTTGAAATGCTGCAGAGTGGTAGTATTTTCTTTTTATTGCTTGTGGGGTGGGGCTAAGTCCCTTGTACTGCAGGCACTTCTGGCCTCTTGTACCAGCATCAGATGATAGGTGAGGGTGATTGTGGAGCAATTTATGGAATGAAGATTGGCAGGGGAAACGGAAGTACTCGGAGAAAACCTGTCCTAGTGTCACTTTGTCCACCAGAAATCCCACTTGACCAGACCTGGGATCGAACCCGGGCTGCCACTTTGGGAAGCCAGCGACTAACCGCTTGAGCTATGGCACGGCCTAAGTGGTAGTGTACTTCTGAAAGTGGCAGGCTGGGAAACGGGTTAAGGGAGTGAAAGTGTAGAGTTTCAGTTCACTGCCTCCACTTAAAGAGGCAGTGGGACTTGATGATTTTTTAACCTGAGTTTTTAAGCTCAGATGGCTTATACTGCCTTTAACCAAGGTAACCACCTCATTTCTTGCATGAAATCTGTTAAGTTCTTTGCAGGCACATGTGATCATATTTATGTCCTTGAAGCTTGTATCCTCATCAAGTCTGTGAGTCCCCTAAATGCCGACAAAGCTCTTTTCTTTATAATAATTTTGCTTATAATTTGTGAAGTTTTTGTTATATTTTAATTTCTGTTTATGTGTTGGTGTTGCACTTGTACAGAAGGCATGAATGAAGATGGTTCATTTATTGGCCAGTATGGCCGCCAGCAGAGGAAGCAAGGAGAAACCGCCTCAGGGGGCTTTGCCACTCTTGTGTAGTGAATGAAGCAGTTGTCAGCAACATATTGTGTAGGTATGTTAATCAGTGGTCTTGCATTATCTGCAGAGTGAAAATTTTGCTGTAGAAAGGTATGTATGAAAAGTTTTATTTTTCTTCATTTCCTTCTGTCAAAATGCCAGATGTCACTTCCAGGATCTCCATTTCTCTGACAGGTGAGCAAATGCATTATGTAGCATTCCTTGAAATTAATTATTTATTTTAGTCCTTGGTCTCAAAGAGAAAGGGGTTTTGTGTACATGATGTGTGGGTGCATGTTGGGATGTTCTGAGTTAATTTAGTGTAACAGTGTTAATGCCAAACATGCCATTGGTGGTTTCCACGCCATGCTATTCGCATGAATCATACAGCAGGCTATGCATACTACACAGTCACTCTGGTGTTCTGTTATTTAGTGCATTTCCATGTAGGTTTTTATTATATAAAGTAATCCTCCATTTTACATGCTGTCTTAATGACATAATAGAGTTAAACCAGATGGTCTCCCCTCTGCAGAGTTCCCTGTGTCCAGTAAAATCCCTGTCATCCAGCCTAAACTGAACTGAAAGGAAGTTGGATAATACAGATACCTTTAAAAATATAGCAGGTATCTATATAACTTCGTTCACAACTGTATAATGGAACAGTATTTAGTTGGTAATTTTTTTAATTCGCTTAGTGGGGGGTGGAGTCCAGCTGGGTCCAATTGGCACGGCAGCCACTGATTGGCCTATCGTACCTGCCCCAGATGATTATGATGATGGAGTATTTGTTGGAATGAAGATTGGCAGGGGAAACCAAAGTACTCGGAGAAAATCCACCCCATCGCCACTTTGTCGACCACAAATTCCACTTGACCAGACCCAGGATCGAACCCGGGCCACCACGGTGGGAAGCCAGCGACTAACCACTTGAGCTATGGCATGACCATTTAGTTGGTAACAACAGTATCAAAAAGAAAAGCAAAACTAAACTAGTAAAAGTAAAAAGGTAAAGTTTACACTGTACTTAACTAATTAAGCACTGCGCCATGAAGGCGTATGGGGGAGTGGATGTATAGATCCACATTTTCTTGACCTCTGCACTAGCTGGAGGTGAGTGGTCAACTTCACTCCCCGGCCGCTTTACTCCCTGGGAAAGAGCGCCCGGTACCAGTTGGGTTGACCCCAGAGCTGATCTGGATGACATGGAGAGGAGATAATTCTTGACTGTACCAGGACTCGAACTCCAACCGCTTGGTCGTCCAACCTGTAGCCAGTCACTATAACAACTGTGCTATCCCAGCTCCAAAATTCAACTACTATAAGTGATACGTACATGGTAAAATCTATTTTAAGGAAGCTTGAATAACAGAATGTGAGATAACTAGAGGTCAGGTAATCAGGATTCTGCTGTGCTTGATGCTTTCACTTTGACTGTGGAATACAATCAGATGTGATTTCATTGATTTCAGTTGGTGTGTATTTGACAAATACTATTATGTAATTAACGTTCCATGATAATTATGTACTATGTAAGGTAACAGATGTTTTGAAAATGTGGCACAGTTCATATATTTGGGAATGACTAACAGGTCAAAACCTGATTCAGGAGGAAATTAAGAGGAGATTGAAGTTGGGTAATACTTGCTACCTTTCAGTCCAGAACCTTTTGTCTTTTCATCTGCTGTATAGAAACAGAAAAATTACAATATATAAAACTATAATTTTGCCTCTGGTTCTGTATGGGTGTGCAACTTGGTCTCAGACATTAAGAGAGGAACATAGACTGAGGGTGTTGAGAATATTTGGATTGAAGAGAGATTAAGTGACAGGAGGTTGGAGAAAACTGCATAATGAGGAGCTTCATAATTTTCACTCTTCACCAAGTATAATTAGAATGATAAGTCAAGGAGGATGAGGTGGGCAGTGCATGTAGCACATATGGGCAAAGAGGAATGCTTATAGAATATTGGTTTGACTGGACTTATGACTGAAAAAACTAAGTTATGCTGTCCGTGTGTTTTTTGTAATTTTGATGGCTTAGGTATAGATCATTCTGTGACCTCTCTAATTCCAGGTCGATTTACGGAGGATGGCTCATTCATCGGACAGTATGGTCCTGGGAGTAAACGGAGACCTGAGGAACAGCAGTCACCTTCAGCTATCGCTACCTACGTGTAGTGGAGCTCACCATTGACTGACCAAACGAACAAAGGACTGACTGCAATGTAGGGAAATTGAACAGAAACACTTTCCTACAAGATACCACCACTGAAAGGGTGCCATGCAACAGGGCACGAATGCATTAACAGTGCATTTATTAGTATTTATTATTAGGGGATATGAACTTCGCATTGCCAAGAGACGAGTACTGCCAGGACTTGTATGGGTGATAGTAGGAATCGAGTAATAAGAGAAATGATGGAGGTCATAACAACATAAGGGGCTATAGAAAGGCAATACCTTAAAAAGAAGCAAGTGTTTTTATTCATTCACTAGGTTTCATTCATGGAAGAACTTAATCTTCTCCGTGGATGAAATCTGGCATGTGAACAGTGTGTTATTCCCTCCCTGCTATGTCTGTTTCCTCTTATGTTGTTGCCCATGGTATCCATTTTTTCTCCAGTTTTTTTATACATTATCGTAGCTTGTTTTTTATACTCATTAGATACACTTTTTTTCCCTAGGATGGCAATATTGCAGGCAGTACCAGATGCTTCCCAGTTAATGATTGTGGGTGGGAAATCACATTTGACTAATATGTTTTCAATCTGCTGCCTGGCTTGATGTGGATGGCATGCAAGGAGAGGAGCTGTAGATCTGTAAAGCCATTTCTCTTCACTTTTATTGCAACATTATCTACTTTTGAAACACACGCGACTCCTCGAGGGTAGTTCAGATTGTATCAGGCCCCTGGACAATTTATCGCTTCTTGATTTATACATCTTTTATTTTGATTAGCTTGTAGTTGCTGCTGCTGCTCCAGGGTTGCATGAAAAAGTAACACACATATTAAACTGTTCTGTCGCCAGGAGCCCAGCATGTTACGTCAATGATGACACCAGTTCTCATGATTCCATTAAAATAGCGTTTGTAACATCGTAGCAATGACCAAGTTTCCTTGTCCAGTGTCCCAAATATGGCTTGTTCACATTTACCCGGTAATACCAAGACAATCTTTGTTTCAGATGAGTCCTCCAGTCATACTTTACATCCTAATTAGTATCTTGTAAACATAATTATTTAATCTTTAAATGTTATTTTGTCATAAGTAACATTCATTTCCTTCACTCTTGTTAGTTAGCATTGTACGTTACATATCCATTCTCCTTTTGTCTCAGCCGTGGTTATTTCTCAGGAATAGGCTTCTGCAAACAAGATACACAGTACAGACTTTCTGTTTTTCTTATTCTTCCTAACGTTATGACGGAGGCAATTAAGCCTATTCCAGCTTCACACTCCATTTTTCCCAAGCTTTTCTTCAGTCTTGGCATCCCTTTTGTTTATACTGCAAAATCTGTTTCATTATTCTTTCATCAGTCATTATGCTTGAATGGTTTATACATTGTGTTGCTCTGTTTTATTTTGTACTGATTGTATTTTCATTTATCTAGTATCTTCATGTTCGTATGGTCTAGTATGGACATACATGCAGAAAGTAAATACTTCTTTCCGCCATTGCAACAAGGTTCTGAATATTTTCATTTGGAGTCATCATACGTATCTTCACAGTATGCATGAGTTCGAGAGCAAGGCTGTCTTGGCATTTGAAGGTCTGAGTTCCATTTACTTGTAATTTTGGATACTATGTATCCTTTTCTGCACAAATTTATTCTCTCAGTAGTTACCTGTGAGTTCAGAAGGGTTGAAATTGACAGTAGCCAATGAGCAGTTAACCCCATTTCATGTTGTGTTGTTCTAAAGAATATGGTGCATGCGACGTTATTCACAGTATGGCTTGAAGTACATGCTGAAGGAATAAGACAATCATATGAAAAAGAGAACCTGTAGTGTCTCTTAGTATTTCAGCTGTTACATAAAGCATTTTGAATCTAACATGCAATTTATGTCAGTATGAAGACACATGGAGGTACAAGATACCAGGTGTTCATGTAAAACTTTGACACTTATTTAATAAGCATAAATCTGTTGGTCTTCTTGGTAAATTCAGAACCTTTATTGATAAATTAGATAAACTTGTTGCACAATTTAGTATTATATCTTGTTATGTCATTTTACTGTTCATAAATCAAAATTCCATATATCATAGTTTCCAAATGTCTCTGCGCACTTTTTGTTATCATTATATCACTTATTAAGCTAGCCGGGGTAGTGCAGTTGGTATAGCAACTGGCTACAGGCTGGACCACTGGAGGTCACAGTTTGTGTTCCAGTAAGGTCAAAAATTTTTCTTTTCTGTGTTGTCCAGGCCGGTTCTGAGGCCCACCCAGCCTCTTCTCCAGTGGGTACCAGGGATTTTTTCCCTGAGGGTAAAGCGGCTGGAGAGTGAAGCTGACCACTCACTTCCAGAGAATGCCGAGGTCAAGGAAACAAGGATCTATATATCAATTCCCTCATATGTCTTCATGGCATAGTGCTTAATTAATTAAGCAAAGAGACAACTTTACCTTTATATTAATTTTACTTATTCATGTGTTCATATCAGGTGTTCAAGTTTTAAGGTAGTATATAAAGTCTTTCATATCTCTGAAAATTTATTATAACAGTTTTGGTGACCTCTAACAGTAATGCAGAACGGGCAAAAATTTGTATTGTATTTGGTATTCACTGTGGTTGGGATTAAGAACTTTTCAACTGTGCTGTTGCATTACACCGGCTGTGGGTCCACAGTGCCGATACTTAGCCATGCTATCCACTTGAAGCAGGGGTACCTCTAATTGTCAGATCTTCAGTTTGGATGTGTTGTGTGTTATGCTGCGTGTTGCTTGGCATCCCATAGCGTTAGATTTTTTATTGTAGGATAAGAATTTACTTCGGCTATTTTGTTGAAAATTGTTTCTGTAACCAACTCACTTGGTCGTTAATGGCCATACAAAATACCTTGAAGCACATGTTAAGATATGTTCGTTGTTCTTCAGTTTGTCTTGTTGGTTGTATCAGAAAAATCTTACAGGACTCTTTCATACCTGTGATGGTGTATTAAGCGACTTTCAGTTACCTTTGAATATGCAACATTTTCGTTATATTGGAGTTTTCACTAAGCTGGATACCAATCAAAATGTTAATTATTCTTTTTGGTGGCTTAGATGAAGTGGCTGTATTTTTGTCTTGTCTGACGTTATATGAAACAGTCATACTTTTTTAGTTTGTTGCATTTTTCGATCTTGTATTAAATAGTAGCAAGAATTTGGTTATCTATCACGGTATGAGCACTTAACATAATCATGCAGGACCAATAGAGGAGATGCATATGTCATAGAGTTAGGACTGGAAAGGAAATACAGATATGTGTTTCTCAGATGGTGGAAATGTATACATAACTGTTGGTGTGATTTTTCTTGATGCGTCATAAGCGCATAATGAAAAAGACTGGTGGTGCTTATATTAAAAAAAATACATGGTATGTGGTGAATGGCTTTTGTGATGCGTACATTAGAAACTTTTTTAATCTTTGAATGAACGTTTTCAACTATCGAGAATTATGGGTGATGTTTAAAACTGCTTCTGACTGTAAAGTATTCCATTGTCTCACACTTCACATATTAAAAGCACAGTAGAAGTTAGTTGTTAGAGTTTAGAGTATCGTAGTTGACACGTTAGATGAAATATATATACAAATGAAGTTTTTGTAAGTCTCACATACCCTGCACTGCACCCCCTCCCCACACCTTGCTCTATTATATTTTAAAAGTATAATTTTTTCTTGTTATTGTACAGTAAAATATAATAATCTGTATATGAGGGGAAAGAAAGCAAGTTGTATGAGTGGGCACGGAAGAACGATAGAAATGCTATATATCATGCTAATGTTTCATATTTTTTCAATAAAATGTGGCCAATAATTTTTAACGCGCATTTCATTGATGTTGGCTGCTTTGTATCCTTTTATGCCTTACTTATATTGCTTGTTAATGTTTCTGAAAATAAAGGACTGCGGACTCCCCATCCCCTGATAGTGTCAAGTTTAAAGAAAAGATATTTTTATGTAACTATTTTATGGACTTCATGTAATTCAGAATCCTTGCAAGATATAGGTTTTTAAAGAGAAAATGGTGAGTTGCTGTACATACAAGAATTGTGATGTGTAGATAAATGTTAGCAGTGAATTTGTATTTGCTGGCGAGCATAATGGTCTATTCAGTCCACCATCATTGTTCAGTAACTACATAGCTAAAGGTTCAGCAGATATCAGCTATATGAATTTGGACGTCTTGCAGGATGAAATTCACTTACAAATCAATGAAGAAGTAAATGCATGGAACAGAAGTAACAAGAATTTGGTGACTTCTGGCATTTGCAGCTTTTTTACTCAGTGCTGAGTGTGCTAAACCAGCTGTGTGTTTCTGAAATACTCCCATGTGGGGTGTTTGTGGTCCCTGCTCACTACTGCATATTTATGTAATGTGATCAGTTGCTGTTTTAAGCTCATTGCTTGCTGCTATGCTAGTTTTCAATGTGTTGTGTGATATAACAGAGGCAGCTGGGAAACCATCTTGTACTTGAATCTCATTCAGAATATTTTTGGCTGTTGATCAGGAATCGATAGTTGTTGAGTGATGGTATCATTAAGAAATCATACCATATTGCATTTTAGGGTAATATAATTATTTTTTATATCTACTTACTTTATTTTATTTATCCACTGATTTAAAACAAATCATCTAAAACATTTCCATGATCTATAGCATTAGTAAGTTGATACTAGGTGTCATCTGAAAGTAGGTCTACATTTTTAATTGGTTACAGATTTACATATATGATGGATTACTAAGTATATCATGTAACTTAATGCACCTCCTGACTTTTCTTTGCAATTTTTGGTAATGGTAAAGGCAAAACGCTTTTTATATTTTGTGTTGTTAAATTACACATTTCCATTATAATTCTCTTAGCACAAGTGCCTTAGAAAAGGCATTGTTGTATTACATGGGTAAGGCGTAATTATACAAGTGCACCAATTTATTATTGTATCTGTAAGAGGAGTATTTTGAAAAAGTGCACAGTATGGTCTCAAATTCTGTTGTCTTAAATTGAGTATGAGATTTCTTAATAAGAACAAAGATCTGATAAAATGGGAAGGTATGATTCCCAGTTGTGAAAGATGCCTGTATTTTTCTTTTTATTATTGTATATTTTTGTATGCTTGCATCTTATTTTAAGATTGCAGTGTTATTTTTTTTTAAATGGTGTAATAGCTGGAAGAAAAAAGTTCTGAGCCACTGCACATAAAAATTAAAAGAGTTGATTTGAGTAACTTAGCTTTGGAACTTAAAAAAGTTGCACAACTAAGCTATTGTCAAACAAGATGTATTGTGTGCAGCTTTCCTACATTTTCATGTATCACACTTAGCATTTCTTGGGTATGGATAGAGTTTTTAACTCTTCATGTCAGGTTCTTTATGAAATCATTATTGTATATCTATAAAGTCCATATGCGTTGACAACAAGACAGACTTTCTGCAAATCATGTGCAGATGAGGCTTTGCATTTTGAACTAAATACATATGTAGACCTCTCTTGTAATATTCTGTTCTTTTGGTATTGAGCTGTATATTGAAGATGGTTGAGCTTAAATGACACCAGAACTGGTGGCCTCAGGTATTTTTCAGTTACAGAACCCCACTGTACCATTACACTTCACAAAACGTACACATACTGAGATGAAAATATTAATACCTACATGTTTTTGTCTTCGTTCCTCAGTTGTAATCCTGTTTGTAATGTTACTGTGAAACTGTTTGCAGAGACATAATAGTTATCCTCGGAATTATTTAATAGACACTGTATTATTGAGAAGTATATTTTCCAAACGACTTGAACTTCATAGACTACAGAACAGTATTTCAGGTGTTTTATTAAGAAAATTTAAATGTGCATCATACAGGTCAAGAGTTAAGAAGAACAGATCCATTTTTATTTATAGCTAGAAATTCAGCCCCTGCGCTCACACCTGAAAGAATGTTTGATTTTGTTGATTTTCTCCTGGAAAGTAGTGTTATTTGTATAAGCAGTGATGCAATCTAGATATTCTCACTCATTGCATCATATTGGTGGTATAACCCTCTCAAAAATGGGTTATTTGTTTGTGAGCCCAAGTCCTTCTATTATATAGGACTGCTATTGTTTAATGTTACTCTGTAATAATAAACTGGAAATACATTTAAGCCGTTGTCCAGCTGGGTAAGATGGTAACAGCTTACTGTGGTGTAGCCATTATGCCAACCGCATGCTTCAGTAGATGGGGAACAGAGGAACCACAAACTTGGATCTTGTGGTCATTAGAATTAGTTCACATCACCTTGACTTAAGAATGCGGTGGATTAGTTTAGTATCTGAGATATGTTACGCAAGTTAACACACATTCTGTTGTCACGTTTATGCATTACATCACTGCACAAGTTTTGTGTCCCCATTTGCTAATTTGTTTATGCTGCTTGGTATCCAGAAGAGTATCAGCATTTATGTTCATGGGTATGTTCAGATTATTCTGGAGAATATTCAGCAGGAGGTATACATGTATGGTTTGATAGATGCCTTGATGTATTAAAAGTGTAATGCGTGGGATAGAATCAGACCCAGTGCTTTATGAGAAAGCACACCATAAATGTATTAGTCAAGCTTAATGGAAAAAATATTTTATTTTTTACAATGAATATAATTTAAGCTTTTAATGTAATTAATGGTTTTTAAATATATCTGTGATGCAGGTTTGGCATCTCATTTTTCTTTCTGTTGCTAGGCAACGTGGAGAAGAGAATGCATTCCTTTATTTGTGGCACTCCTTTCGCCAGTAACTCTGTCGCTAACTTGTTTAGTGCAGTTTTTAATTGAATCTCTTCCATAGTAGCTTTTTCAGAGTATGAAGTTGACTTAAGGATCCTATCCCTTTTAAATGAATCATTTTTTTTTTGTATTTGTATTATATTTTTTATGTTTACAGCCTAAGGAAAACAAATAAATGATCATAATATTGTAATGTCTGAAGTTTACCTTTTGAATTCTCTGTTAGTATGATTCCCTCAAGGATTCATATACTGTTGATAGCCATCTCTTTGTATCGTAACAGAGCAGCTGTATTTTTAAAAAAATATTTCCAAATCATACTTGTTCCTAGTGGTTTATCCTTATCTCAGTATATCCGTAATACTTAACCTGTTGCACTTGTGAATTTGGGAGGAGCTCACAACACCTGCTTTCCTTCATACCTTTAAGTCTCTAGAGATAGGTTAGTGAGGCAACAATTTTGTGATCTTAATTTGCCAATTTTCAACTAGTTCAAGACATAATACTTAAAAACTTGCCAACCATGACCTCGGAGATTTGCGTAGAACTGTATTTCTAACAGAACACACAATAAATGTTTCAGACAGAGTTGGATTTCAGGTTGTCAGCAGTAATTAAGGAGTTGGCAAGTAGGGCTTGCTCTCTGTTTCTTACTTGGTTTACTCTTTTACTCTGAAGATAGAGTCAACATGTTCTTCTGAAACATCAGCAGACATCTAATATGGTACATGATGTTACATCCCAGAAGATGGTACACTCACATAGAATCTTTGTAGATGTGTTTACAATCTATCACCATACCAAATTTTGTATGTGTGACTGCAGTCCATATTGTGGCATATAGCCTGTTCGGCAGAGACCTCAAAAGAGACGATTACAGCTGTTGGTATGCAATAGGCAGGTAAACAAATGGCCTTTTCTAAGAAATGGTAAATAGACATGTTGCTGCAGAAATAATGTCCAGTCTATCCCAAGGCAACTACCCATGACAACAGGATTGTTGGAGGCAGTGTTTTCTGTTGGGTTCACCCCAGGGACATATGACAAGGACATCAACTCCAGACACCAACCAAGCTGCAGTCAGAGTAGTGAGCCAGTTACTAGAGAGAGAGTAACCGTGTGGAGGTGGGGTCGAATTACTCCACCGTGACCCTGCGAGTTGCAGGAGGCGACGAAAAGGGAAGTCTCAAATCTGAGACAGTAAAATATAGTCACGAGTCCCAAGGGACTCGGACCCGAGAAAGACTGTGGTGGCAAGGGCCAGCATCATATATAAAAGACAGACCCGTCCTCTTGTCAGAGAGGGCACCCCACAAAATTTCAAACAGTAATAAATATCTGGTCATGAGCCCCAGATGGGGCTTGACACCAAGACTCACTGACTGACCATCAGTCGCAATGTAACTTTGATTTTGATTTTGACGTTGACAAGCTGCAATGACTTGTCTGCACTTTGGTTGTCAGTTGGGAGTCAGCCTGTGAAGAGAACATACAGTCATGCCATACATGACTATGTTACTGATTCGATATTGCCAGGAGAATTCAAGTTGGAGTAAAGGAGAACTGAAGAAATAGAAAGTATTATAAGGAATATTTGCATTATTGTTTACAACACCATTACTGTCATATGAATCTGTAAAAGGCTATGTACCACTTAAATATCTGGGGTGTGACATTCACATGGTCATCCTTACCTTTAATCTTTTATTAACAGCACTAGTGCAAGGATGGAAAGCCATTGCCACTGAATAAAATATCAACTGGTACCAGCAATCACTGGTTTTAGCTACATGAAAATTTAGCAATTTACCAATTCATTTTTGTATGATATATTTTTGCTGTTAACTTCATACATCAACACTGAATATGAGATTTATCGTTACCCAGACAACTGTGCCTGCAAGAAAATGGCTATTATCATATAACCGTTAAATATGCATAACTAGGCTTAAGAATCCATCTCACATGATGTAACAAATGTGTAACTCAGAACTACATACAGGCCAAGAATTTAACACCCCTCTAACCTGCAACATTAGTTATGTCCCTAAGATCACCTGAGAATAATGAAGCAATCGCAGCATGTATCAGTTGACGTCTCAAGAACGGCTCAGGTCCACTTAAGTAGTTATTTATGTTCTCTATCATACATTTTCTTCATTTGAAGATGTAAAGAACAGGAAGGCTCTGTAAATAAAAATTATCCAAGGAACTCGAGTCGTAGAAAACAGCCTATTTTATATTTTTTGTTCTTCCGCGTCGGTCGACTAATAACGAGCCTGATTGTGAGTGCCCGATATCTGTAAGACTTTCGTAGATTTGGGATCCATAGTATATTGTGTTCCAAAGTTTGGTGCAGGGCTAGAAATGTGGGTATATACTACCTGCATACTTCCAGAGTGCTTCATTTTCAGATTTTTTTTTTCCTGCGCCTTAAAATTTCCTTCGGGGTAACGCGCTATGAGCATGGAGCTGACGATTCATCTCAATTTAGTACCGTGGTTACAAATGGTGGAGCTATATCTTACATGTATTAGATTTGTTGCATACACATCTATATATATTTAAATTACGTATGTATTTCAACGACTTTATTGAGTCGTGCGTCCTGCTGTATGTTACTAATTAGAGATGTAATCTTTGCTAGTAAATGTCAACGGATGGTGGATATTTACCAGAGATGAGTTTCACCCTCCATCACGTGATGTCAGGGTAAAAGGAGGGAGAAATTTGAACTTTGACTAAGCAATTACAGTTTGTCGTAGGCAGTGAATGTTTCGGCAGACACTTGGAAGGTTAAGACGGCGTAATTGTCAAAATTAGTTTCAAATAATATGTCTTCGTTGGCAGACAACTTTAATTCTGAATCCATAGTACACTATAACGGTGATATTTCTACAACCAGGTAATCAAACGCTACAAGTGAAAATGAAATGTAATTTGTGTATCTTGATAGGTTAAGTTACAGAAGTCAAGTAATTGTAAAGTACGAACAACAGAGAAGACCAAAAGAGTAATCGTTGATTTATTAAACAAATGTTACGCACGAGCGCACACTCCAAACGTTTTAGAAGTAAAAACTAGCACATCTGCCAGTGCAGTATATATTTCGACTTTGAGGCCAAAACCGACAGAGGAAGAGAGAGAGAGGGGGTGGATAAACATCCATGTTTAAATTAGTATAGGAAGTTGACTAAACTAATGATAGGAAATAATTATTTTCAATTTCCACAGATATAATATTTCCCACAGCACTGAACAATTTTTAGAAACTTGATTTATGCAGGGATAGTGTGCTTTCACAAGCATGTATGCATGCACTCACACACACACACACACACACACACACATATGGTCTCGTGAAGGGTAAAGACATTGCGGTGCCTAAGTACTGCTAAGCACTATGCTATGAAGATGCGTAGTGGACATGTACACATATGTACCACCTCACATGTTCTAGACCTTTGCACTGGAAGCTCACTGATCTGACCCAGTCTACTCCCAGGAAAAAGTTATGCATTGCATATGTGGGAGGCAGCTCTCAGAGATGAGGACATTATGAGTGCAGAGAGAGAAATATCAGTCCCTGCTGAGAATTGAATACTGGTCTTTTGTAGCAAATTATTTTAATGATTGAGCTTTCTTGTCTCTACACATGTGTATAAACGTAATTATTAACACTTGTAAAAGTGTCCACCTTGAAAAGCTGGTAGTCATCTTTAATGAAACCCAAAATTATATGACCTTGTTCATAAAAGCTTGCAACTGGACCTTATTCTGAGACAGTGATATCTAGTCCTCATACTTTTTGTTTATTTCAAAAGGTTACTTGGAAAAGGGTATCAGTTGGATTTTGGCGAACTATTTAATACATATCATGAACATGCAAGAATAGATATGTATGAATATTCCATGAGAAAATGAGATGGTTCTGATCTTCCATTGTACTAATCTCTTGATGAAAATGGCATGAGTCAAGACAGTTTTATTTGTATGAATAACAAAAAGTTATGTGTGAGCACTTAACAGTAGGTGACTTATACAAATATATGTAAATGAGATTGAGTTCGGCTTTTCATTCCCTTGAAAAAGACCATGAATCCAAAATTTTTATTTTTATTTATGAGCCATAGAGTCATTGAAAATTGTGAATTACAGTGAAGGAAAGGTTAGTTAAATAATCCTGTTTTATTTTGAAGTTAATGGGTAGGTATGTTCATTTCCACTACAGTTTCTTGTTTCTCTTCTAAAATTTACTTCCTTGGACTTATGCATTTTTTTCAAATGACCTCTTCCTTTTCTGTAAATCCATTAATGTTGACCTCTTATCTGTGACTAAATCTCATAAATGATCTTGTCCCTCTGAAGTTTTATTTTCTTCTTTCTTCTGCATGCTACATTCTCTGGAAATGATTATTTCCATGGTTAATATTTCAGCTGCTCACAAGGAGGTGCAAATCCACACTCAGATTCTGGGTGTAACAAGACTAGCAGCCATATCCCGTCTTCAAGTAATGTTACAGAAATCCTGCCTCAATCTTCTGATACTGAGAAGCAGTATGCTACAACAGACTCAAAAGAGGATATGGTAGGCACATTTTATGACTGTGGATGTAACTGAAAGCTGTCATTCACATGCAGCTTGATGAGACAGAATCTGTTGCAGAGCCTCATCTTATCCAATGCAATGTTTGCTACCAACTGCAATCTCATCAAGATAGATTTTTATCAACTTCTGTGTTTCAGGTGGTATTATCCGTCTTCTGGCGTAAAGGTATGCTTGGTGCCGCTTATTACTCTGCTGAAACTTCAGAGGTATAGTTTATTATTTTAGTTTTTCAGCTTGATAATAAAATTATATACTTATTTTCTGATCTTCAAATAGTTCTTCAGTTTTAAAATTATAGAAAAGCTCATGAAATATCTTATGCAAAATATTTCTGCCCTTAATTCTAATTTAGCCATCACTTGATGTATCTCATTTCCACAAAGATGGCTTTGGAGACAACCATTGCATTTAATATCAATTATTTATTTGTCATGTAAACTTTTACAAAGTGTGTAGTTGGATCATGAGAATGTAACCATTATGTATAATGTGGAGAAAGTGCCACTGCCAGAATTTTGGTCATGTCGGGTTTGTGTTTTTAAGTTTATTTGTTTAATATGTTAACAGATGTAATTAATCAGTGTAGCTGAATTGCATTAAAGTCAAAATGCCCCATATGTGGATTGTAGCCCTTTAGCAATTTACTGTAGTCCCTCTGTAGGTAGGTACAGAAGGAAATTTGAATATGTAAATAAATAATTGCATACAAATCAGTGCCTGAAATAAGATGAGATACAACAATGACAATGGTGTTGATATATATGTACTATTTTTCTTTTGTATGTGTAGGATCAATATGTTTTTACCCAGGGATTTTTTCTTGATGTATGCATCTACATGGCACATATTTTATAAAACAAAAATTAAAACTATTACAAACACATTGGCAAGAAGTGAGGGAATATTTGAAGTTGAAATAATGATTAGCATTTTTTGTCATGTATTAGAGGTTTGTTTCTTGCCCAAAAAAACTTGAAAAATATACCCTGTTTTCTGGCACTAAAATGGTTGACCAGCCTCAAAGAAGTTTAGATTTGAGGGCCTCACGTTGGTATCAAGATTACAATCCTACATTTTATAGGAACCCATGGTCTCCATCTCTGGATACCACATCCAAGCAAATCATAATCTAGAAGTTCAGTCAAAATATATAAACAGTTTCTAAATTATTGCTGTTGATATCAATCAATGAATTTATTTGTTCTGAGAATCCATATTTGGAGATACAACCTCCAGATATAGAACAAGTCAGTAACTACATATTAATATACGACATGAGTCAACAATACTATGAAACTTAATTACCTACAGATTTCATACACATCAATCATATAATATTTCATCCCATTTTCAACAATTCAACACCAAAAGAAACCCAACATCCAACATTTTCTTTTATAGATTAAGTGAGGACAAGATATTTGTCATAACATAAAACCATAACACACTCACATCAGAATTGAAGGGACACAAATTCATCAACGAAATAAATGGAATGTTTCAACAGAAAGGATTTTAAATCCCTCTTAGAAGCGTTAAATTTTTTTTTTTAATTTTATCTCGGGGACATTTTTATACAAGGTGATACCCATATTTATAATGCTTTTTTAAAAGGATCTGTATTGCAGTGATTTACATGTAAATCTAGTTTTCTTTGCATGTTGTGATTATCGATGTCCACATTTTTTTTCCATAAAGTCTTCATATTCTTAAATAAAACATCATCATCATCATCATCATCAGTAATCTGTCAGACGACAGGTCCACAGTCTCTTCCAAAACAGTTTCTCCACTTAATGCGATCTTCTGTTTTTGGAAAGAGACTATCCAGGAAAAGTGATAATGTGGTAGTTTTTCCATTTGCTTTCCACATCGCAGTACAACAGCCGTTCAAACCACTCTGGTCACGCCTGTTGCTATACGAACTTGAACCNAGAAAGGATTTTAAATCCCTCTTAAAAGCGTTAAATTTTTTTTTTAATTTTATTTCCTCGGGGACATTTTTATACAAGGTGATACCCATATTTATAATGCTTTTTTAAAAGGATCTGTATTGCAATGATTTACATGTAAATCTAGTTTTCTTTGCATGTTGTAATTATCGATGTCCACATTTTTTTCCATAAAGTCTTCGGAGGGGGAAATAAAACATATCACTTCAAAAATGTATAGCATTAAAATAGTGTTAAAATATTATAATCTTTAAAAATTTGTCAGCATGACATTCGATTATTAACGCCACTGATAATTAGAAGGACCTTTTTTTGCAGTTTAAAGACTTTGTCACATCCTTACTGAGCACTAAGTCTTGTCTGAATTGAAATAATATCTGAAATATCTGTTTGTTGACCAGGTGCATATAGCAACAGATATTGTTGATGTGAATCCTGAATTCAATATCCTGCAGAGTCTCTATCACCTTGTTGAGCCAAGTTGTGTACTAGTGATCTCGCAAGTTCCAGACTCTTTCATTTCAATGCTAAAGTCTCTGACAGGGGCAGACAGCCCATCAGATTATGGTGCCAGCAAAGAAAATATTCATCCAGAAAGAAAACTGAATATTTTGCCACGGAAAGATTACAGTAAGCTAGTTCTATCATGTTATTTATTAAATTGTTATTCCATGTCCAATATAGAATTGTGTATGATTATAGCAAGTGTCCACAACTGGTGTGCTGCCACAAGGTGTCAGATGTGCCACACGTTCTTATATGACATTGTATATTTGAACATCATGGTTAGGAAAAGGTAAAATGTTAAATTAAATTATTGAATTTGAAACGTTTATTATTTGTTCCAACTTGTGCCTTTTACTCTTCTATAGTAACTTGATGCCTCCCCTTCAGTTATTACTGATGCATGTATTATTCTTAATATAATACAGGCTAAGAAAGTACATACATATTTATGGCCATGTATAGTTTTGCATGCTTTTTTTTGTGAGGCCAAAAAATGCAATGTGCCATCACGTGTTTTTGAACAATTAGGGTGTTTTGTGGGTGAAAATAGGCCGTGGAACAATGGGTTATAGGATGCTGTGTAGGATTTGAGGTTCTCACAGCGGTGGTTATGAAGAGTTGTATTTTCTGGAATATAACGCCATTGACTGGTTGACTTTCGGTGGACTACATGCCATTACATTACAGAAGATAGAACCTTTTATAGGATGCTAGTTCATGATTTGTTTTAGGGACCTAGAATATTCTGCACACGAGACAATTTAAAATGTATCGACTTGTTCCAAAAATTTGATCATGAGTCATAATCGAATGCTTTCATTCATGTTGTAGTTTTGAATGTTCCTACTTTGTATTTGAGGCACCAAAACATAAAAATCGGTATATACAAAACTAGAATTTTGCCTGTGGTTCTATGTGGGTGTGAAACTTGGTCTCTGACATTAAGAGAAGAACATAGGCTGAAATTGTTTGATAACAGGGTGTTGAAGAGAATGTTTGAACTGAAGAGGGATGAACTGATAGGAGGTTGGAGAACACTGCATAATGAGCAGCCTTATAACTTTTCCTCTTCTCAAAATCTAATTGGACTGATCAAGTAAAGGGTGATGAGTTGGGCAGGTCATGTAGTATGCATGAATATGAGGAATTCATACAGGGTGCTGGTGGGAAAGCCAGAGGGAAAGAGACCATTAGGAAGACCTAGATGTAGGCAGGAGAATAATATTAAAATGCATCTTAGATAGATAGGATGGGGTGGTATGGACTGGGTTGATCTGGCTAAGGATAGGGACCAGTAGATGGCTCTTGTGAACATGTGAACATGGTAATGAACCTTTGGATTCCATAAAATATTAAAAAATTCTTGAGTAACTGCACAAGTGGCGGCTTCCCAAGAAGGTCTCAGCTCCATGGAATTAGTTAGTTAGTTATGTATTTGAGAGCTTTTCAGTTTGAATCTTTGCTATGAAAATAGAGGTTTTACATTGGTTTCCTCAGTCCCTTCAGACAAATGTGGAATCAGGATCCTAAAGAAGTCTGTAACCACTTCCTTCCCAGTTCATCATTCTTAACCAGTGACATAGATGCGACCATTTTTACTGTGCAAAGTTAAGAGAAGAGGAAAACAGAAATAAAGAAGTAATGTCTTCTATACTCATGATAAATGAATCTGGCTGTTTACCATAGTAATTTGAGTTTTGCAATCTTTGCAGTTTGTCAATTTTTATCTTCTTATGTCATTATGATTAAGTATTACTGCCATAAAGAAGAGACATAAAAGCTGAGCTAATTTTGAGCTCTATAAACCAAGTGTCTTTGGTAAATGATAAGAATTTAATTGTTTGAATTTAGATTTTGAGGCATGCAGAAGGAGAATCTTCCTGCTGAAACTTCCCAGTGAACCAGTAGACTGTAATGAAGAGGAACATCTTATGTACCTGAACTCACTAATTGACATGACAAATGAATCCATGATACAAGCACTTGGTGTTCTACTGAAGTGGCTTGATGTATCCTGGGGTTTTCTACATCTTGATGAGCAGACTCAAGCTCCAATAATGGCTATTAATACTATTTCACTGTGAGTTGACACTGACACGTTTATAATTTTGAAGCCCCCCCCCCCTCCCAACATGTGACATGCACGCATGCATACACACACACACACACACCATTCATATTCCTGTTCATTTTCCTGCCCAAATATGTGATTGTGGGTTTTATGTCTAGGTTTATTTAGAACGATGCTGCTTACTATTGTTCATTATCAATAATGATCACAAAGGGAAAACAAGTATCGGGTATCAAGGTTACAGTCTTATTGGATGTGAAGCTATGTAGTTTGGTTCATAGGTACCAACATTTGGAAACATCTGCTGCCTTGACCATCCCAAAGTTGGATGCAGTAGATTCCTCAACAATGTTGGTACATGTCTACCTAACTACATGGCACCACATCCCAGAAGGATGTAAGCTTTTCCCATAATGTTTCTTTATTATACATTTTCATTTTTAAAGCCAGCGAAATTCAGCTAATGTCTATACATTCCTCATGGTTGTATCACTGTATCATTAATTTGACTAACCTTTCCTGTAGTGTCTGATGTTTCTGATCTTTTTAATATTTTAGTTTCTTATTTTATCCCTTATCATTTGTTTTGTAATGCTGCATAGATATGTCTTTATTACTGCTGGTAATCCATGGGAATTTTATTGATTCATATCGAAGTTCCCACTGCATAAAGAATCGACCAGCCATATATTTCATGTGACAAATCAGTAGCCTTATCTGATGTTTTTAAATTCCAGATTTTGTTTAACTGTGGTACAGTTGTGCAGTTCTGTACATTCTCTCTGTATCCTCTGTTATATGCCATCTTGCTGCCCAAATGAGAGAAGTTACAAGTTTCTTCACTGATTCTGCTAGGTTTTATTTTATGCTTCTCTGTTTTGCTCATTCATTACTCATGGCTGTAGTTTTGTCATTATTGGTCAGAAAGCAAGAAGAAAAGAGACTGGATAGAAGACAAAGCTGTTGGTGGGTGGATAACATTAAAATGGTTCTTAGAGAGATAGGATGGGGTGATATGGACTGGACTGATCTGGCTTTGGATAGGTACCAGAGGAGGGCTTTTGTGAACACGGTCATGAACCTTTGAGTTCCATAAAATGTTGGGAAATCCTTGAGTAGCTGCACCACTTGCTGCTTCTCCAGAAGGGCTCAGCTCCGTGAAGTTAGTTGGTAGTTTTGTCATAGATGGTATTAATCAAAAATTAATTTTTTAAATTTGTACAAATTAGGCAACAAGGACTGCCACCATATTTTATATAATTAGAAATATATCAGTGTAATGGACATAAAGGTATAGCTAATAATGGTATGAATATTTAATATTATTAATTCTTCTCTGTAAAGCACGTCATTATCAAGGCAATTGTCATCTGTTGCTAAAATATATTTCATGATGGTACATTATGAAAATGTGCTTATTTGAAATATACTGTTTTGTCTTTATATGTATGTTTTCATGACAGGGAAGACATTGTGATGATGAACCGTGAGACATACGAAGCCCTGCAGATTTTCAATCAGTTAGCTCATCCATCTAGCTTCAAGCGAGGTGCACGTGGAAGTTACAGGGAGGGACTCAGTGTGTATGGGATATTCAACAGATGTAAATCCCAACTAGGATGCAAGTTTATGAGGTGATCATGTCTTATTATTTCACTGAAAACTTCTATCAAACAGAATTTGCTATATGTAGCATAGTGAAGATTTACCATATGTGTCAAAGTATAATTAGTTTGAATGTGTTCTATATCGGCTGCTGGTTATTAAATGGGTCATCAGCCATTTAACCTTATATTGATGCATTTTTGTGTAAAATTTTCTTTTCAGGGTAATATGAAACCAAGCATATTATAAATGATGCTAGAAATGATTTGTTTAGTTCTCATTTAAATTCTACATCTGCTAAAGATAGGCTGTTTTTTGTGGGGTTACTAAAGTTTTTTTTTTGGGGGGGGGTTCTAGTTTTATCTAAGTATGTCTTTTGACAGAAATTATTAATTTTTAGTCTCAGATTATTTTAAAATTGAATATATTTTTTTTTTAATTCATACGTCTTTCTTTTTGCATACTGTAGATATGTAAAGAAAATCTGCCCTATTAGAATATTTATAAAGTTATGTACATAATACAATATGACATAATTGTGACCTCACCAGAATCTGTATCTGTTACATTTTAAATCTAATAAACATTTAAAAACTTGGACAAAACATTTTGGTTTATGAAATTTCCACATAGATTTGGATCTGTCCTGGAAAGTGTAGAATTATTGGGTACCATTATTCTATTCCGTTTAGACCCAAAATTATATAATTGTATGGTTTTAGAACATTATTTCTTGTCAGATCATAGCACTGAGATGCTTGAATCCTGTTTTGCATTTAAACACAGGGCTCTATATTAGAGATCTCTTTCTTGTACATTTCCATCTGAAGGAAGCTCCACAAATTGAGGAAGAATAAACAAGAAAGTAAGTAATTGTAATACTCTGTCTTTGGGGGCACGCAGTAGTGCTGTTGGTTGAGGCATTATGCTACAAGTCGGAAGGTTATGGGTTCATTTTCCATTGAGGCCTTTGGATTTTTCAATTCTTCCAGCTGCATTATGGCCCTAGGGTTGACTCAGCCTCTAACAGAAATAAGTATCAGGATTCTTCCTGGGGATAAACGGTAGCCAGCCGCTGCATAAGGCTGACAAGCACACTACCATCTATGAGCCAATTGTCTAGAAAATGTGAGAGCCTCAAGGTCTCACAACATTATGGGCCTCCATGGCCAGTTGCATGCATAACTTTAATACTGTGTCTTCTGTGTACTTCTGATGTTCATGATATGATCACTCTCAAAGAATACCAATGCATTTGGCTCTGGAAGGGCTCAAATAATTTACCATAGATTATTTACCCATGTCAAAGGTCAAACAAAAATCTCTCTCTTATCTGGATGTATGTTGTACCAGTTTTACATTATGAATGATTTCTGTTGTGGCAACTGGAATTTGTCATGTAATGCTATTCTTGTATTTGTTGTCGTTAAAGGGTCATGTTTCTCCACCCTTCTCGGGACATTGATGTGCTTAACTCACGCTTTGATGTAGTCCAATTCTGCGTTCAGCCAAAAAATGAAGACATAGTGAAGAACATGCTTGTGTGTATGAAGAATATAAAAAACATCACAGTAAGATTTTTCTATCATTTCTCTGTTGTCATGGTTATAAGCAGCTTTCTGATCCATCTGAAAGTTAAAATACATGGTTGTGCCATCTTCTTGATTCATTATGATTTAATAAGCAGGAAATATTTAAATTGGTTTTCTTATTTTATAAAGAAATATACCCTTATGATTTCACTCTATGCATGTATCTGCTCCCTCTAATAACTTGGTATGAACATCATGCCACTAAAGGCTTCATCTTTGTACCTCTTAATTGTATACCTTCAGTAATATAAACATGCAGATTTCTGAGGTGGGAGCGATACCATTGAGCACTTAATGAGATTTTGTGATAATAAATGTTCAAAAGTTATGAGACTTTTGTTAAGGTAACATTATTTTAGAAAATGAAACAATGTGTTTGCCATGCAAAATCAGTAGGTGGCAATTAGTCTGATGGTGTAACTAATGAACTATAGTAGTTCAGTATTTGAAATCTTCTATGGAGAGAAATGAAAAACATGCCTACATATTGTATATGACTACTGTTTAAATGTAGATTCTAAAGGGTTCTGATGATGGTTCATAACACTCAGACGGACTTTGTCTGTTGTTCTGTATTAAAAAAACTAGAGAACACAGTGTTTCAGAAACTGGATCTGCTTCTTTCCTCAGGTGAGGAGCAAGACACCTACTCTGTTCGGTTGCTTAGAAAGAGCTACCCTCAACCTCAAATTAATTTTACTGAATTATCAGATAACTGCACACAATAGGCGTTGTGAAATGAAGCAGATTTATATGTTTGCTCAGCCTGTCTGAATCAGAATTAAAGAATGTAATTGTACATATACTGAAGAAAGCATCATTAGCATGTACATAACATATTTTATGTATTTTGGTTTCCAGAGAATCATAAGTAGACTGACCAAACTGTCGGCTTCTGTTCGCGAGTGGAAGTGTCTTCATAAGGTAAGACTTTATTCATCAGAGAAATTCCACAGGAAATGTCAGTATGAACTTAGAATGTCTCTGCAAGAGCCAATGGATGGGAATTGATTGATGTGGGTTTCTAGCAATAGTGGCTAATTATATGATAACTTCTGTATTTTCTGATTTTGAAACACACAATGGGGAGGAACAATGATAGCTCAGAGTTGTGGACTAAAGTGATGCAGTATGATTGTCAATAGAAACACTGGGACATTCTTCTTTGCCAGAACTTCCAGAATGTTTCTAGGCTTTATCCAGCCACATGTTCAGTTGGTACCAGGGCTACTTGCCTGGAATCAATGAAGTGGCAAAAGTAGATGATGCAAGAAGATTGCTAATCATGTACACATTGCACCAAGGTTAAGAATGCATGATGTTTCCTTTCTACAGTCCCTATACGCCTTCATGGTGTCGTATCTAGGCTTAGGGATACTGTACCTTTGTACTTAAAGTTAGGAATTCCTTAAAGAATTCTTTAAAAGAGACTTAAAATCCTTTTTATTGAAACATTCCTTTTATATGATAAATGAATTCGTTAGTTTTAAATAAAAAGATGGATGGTGAAAGTACTCATATTTGGATGTCATAGCAAATCATAAGTTGTATACAATGATTTGTGTATTTGTTTTTTCTTTTTTCTTTTTCAAATGTAGTATCTACATATTGCTTAGGATTGTAAAATGTTGTTAGTATCCTTGTAACTTTGTAGGTTTGTTTGTTAAGTTGTACTCCTGGATAAATCAATCAATTAATCAATCAATATAGTTCGTAGTATGCTTGTAACTATGTAGATTTATTTTGTTAACTTATATTACTGAATGACGTGTCCAAATGTTACTATGTAGCAAAATGGATGAAAATAAAATACAATACAATACAATACAATGAATGAATATAATGTGATATTAAATAGTGGATTTATGCTAAATGTTATAGGTTTCTGTGAGCAAAGGATTCCATAGCCAGTTAAGTTTTATTTGTTATGGCTTTTGGTGAATGCTTACATCATTGACTTCATTTTTCTGGTGAAATCATTGTATTCTGCAGGCTTGTAACCAGAGAGTTGCTTCACTAATCTTACTCATTGACCTTTGATCATGTTTAATACCGTTGCAAAGTCACACAGTGTGCCACCCAATAAAGGGCTTGAACCAGTGTACCTTTAATGCCTATGGCTTGTTAGCACAAATATTGTGGTTTACTAAAGAATACTGTTAATGTAGTTGTTTCATGAAATTATTATTCGGCAATTAATATTGGGTGGAAGGATTATGGTAATTCTTAATAGTCATTAAATATCCATTAATAAAACAAATTCTTTTTTACTGCTCACCATGATTGATTCAAAGATCTTCCAATAATATCTACTCCTTTCAGTAGAATGAACATAAAAATAACAGAATGCTAGTTAAGTGAATTTATCTATGCTGTGATGTAATGTGTCCTATTACTGGTTATATGGGTTAAGATAGTAATTTTAAGAAAAATACGTGATATTTGTGTCACATTCCTAAGTGTTAATTTTTTTGTTTTGACTCTGTTACAGACCATCTACTATGGCATAATGTTAGGAAATTTGTGTGAGGCGATTGCGTCCGAAGCAAAACTTTTCAGGGAAGTAAGTCACAACACAGCTTTGGTATTATCTCAAGAGCTGCTAGGATCGTTTCCAGTAACATGTGTACAGAGTGGTAAAACAGTTTTTTGAACAGCCTCAAGAGAAGTACTGTACTGTATGATGTTTTGCAGCCATTTTGTGATAATATATTGCAGGAGAAATCTCACTTAAAATATTATGTATTCTATTATAGGATAAATTAAAAATTATTTATTTAATTCTTCACATATAATCAAAACTCAACATAGATAGTCAGTTTATTTTATCATAACAACCTTCTTTATTTATTGTTTTGCTCTTAGTCACCATTCATATAACTGTTAACTAACTTCATGGAGATGAGTCCTTGAGAAGCGTCCAGTTGTGCAGCCACTCAAGATTTTCCCAACATTTTATGGAACCAGAAGGTTCATTACCATGTTCACTTAAGCCCACCCCTGGCAGCTATCCTGAGCCAGATGAATCCAGTCCATACCATCCCATCCTATTTCCATTCATACAAACCAATATTTAAATCTTAAATTATTATTTGATATCTGCTAACTAATTGAAATTTCAAATTAAGTTTTTAAATCAAACCTTGTCAAAAACATGTAACATCAAGAAGTTGAAAACTTTTGAGGCACAATTACATTTACACAAAGGTACTAAACTTGGTAGAATAATTGTGTGTTCTAGTGATGTTACTGTCTAGGAATTTTTTGGCAAGGGTTGACACTGTAGCACTGAGTAAAGCATACCTTATACTGCTCCCATTTCTAGCTACTTGCTAGTGAAGACATGACTGTGGATGCTAGTGCGTGTGTAATAGTGAACTGTAAAGTGTAGTCATGTGCTGTATCAAAGTGTGCAAGAAATTCAGTCATCAATCCAAAACCCATCTATAGTCACTCATACACATGACAGTATCCCTTAGCCTTTTATGTATAAGATTTCAATTGCATTAACTTTCTGTATTTTTTTCAGTGAATCTTCACATCACTTATCAATTAACACTTTATTTTAGGCTGCGCCATAGCTCAAGCGGTTAATCGCTGGCTTCCCACCGTGGCGGCCCGGGTTCGATCCCGGGGTCTGGTCAAGTGGGATTTGTGGTGGACAAAGTGGCGCTGGGGCAGGTTTTCTCGAGAACTTTGGTTTCCCCTGCCATTCCACCAATTGCTCCACAGTCACCCTCACCTATCATATGAGGCTGGTACAATAGGCCAGAAGTGGCCATAGTACAAGGGACTTAGTCCCACCCCAGTAGCAATAAAAAGAAACTTTATTTTTACCCAGTAGTTCATCATCTTGCTTTCATATTGCATCTCTGTTCCCTTTAACATCTTAGTTCCCCAAGTGATGTATGCATATAAATTTGTAATCCTATACTATAATTAATATTTATGATTTACTGTATCAATGTTGGGAGAATGTATTAATATTAAATCACATTTATCTATTTATTTCCATACAAACATTTGCTTCTTAACATAAACTAATTATTTCTGCTGCATAACTATGTAGTCTCGTCATCAATAGAAAGAAATTAAATAAGTGTAAACATTTGTATTCGTTGCCGCTGTGGATATGGATGGTTGATTATTTTCTTTTATGTTCTCATGCCATGTGACACATTTGATTAAGACACAAACATTTTAAATATAATATATTTTTATTAAAATATTACTGGGTGATTAGCTTTTCAAAAATGTAGTTGGTATCTCTCTCTGCCCCGTCATCTGGCACTGATGACGGGGGCAGAGACAGACCACAAGACATTGAATGCCAGTTTCATTTTCACTTGGCTGATTGCCTGAGAAAACTGTATGGTCGTTGTAAAAGCCTAAAACCCTCGATTCAGATTGCAGGGTGTATCACAGAAGAGATGTGCCAGACAGACTACTGCATCAATCGGATAATTGACTTTAAGGAGGCAGAACTTCAGAACACATTTGTTGTCAAACTTGGGGTTGATGAGGAGCTTGACAGATGTAAGCACAGAAGCTGTAATTTACTGCATATACCATGTTTCTGCTTTTTATTTATGAACAGGAACTTTGAACTTACCTAATTCCCCATAGATGCAATCTTATAAATGGTGGTTATGTTCCCATTCTAGATGACAGTAAAAAGTAAGTAAGTAAACCTATCCCTGTACCAGGCCATGAAGGCCCATAGGGTTGTGAGATGTTGAGGGTCCCACATTATCTAGAGAATCAGCTCAGAGACGGCGGTAAGGTTGTCAACCTTACGCGCTGGCCGCGTTTTACTCCCCAGGAAAATTATTTAATTAATTCCTGGTACTCATTTATGTTAGAGGCTGAATGAACCCCAGGGCCATAGTTCGGCTGGGAGGATTAGGTTAAATGAAAAAATCCAATGACCTCATTGGGACTTGAACCCGCGAGCTTTCGGCTTGTACCATAGACCCTCAAACAACTACACTACTGCGTGCCCCATCTAGCTGACAGTAGTATATTTAATTGATAATGAAGTTGAAATATAGTGTATATGGAATGAATATTAGCAGAAAACAGGGAAGATACAGCTTGGACCAAAGGAAGACAATTTCTACATTTCTTAAATTTACATTACTGCATTTTTAAGCATACAGAAGTAACAGAAATTTGTTGACCTGTGAGTCATAGGCCATTTATTCCTGCTCTGACACTTTCTATAATGAGTTTACTTTAGAAAATGATTGATGTGTTACATTTCTGTATTGTCACATTATCTTTGAAGGGGAAGAATTGTTGGCTTGAATTGTCAAGAGATGTCAGGAATGATTAATTTTATTTATGTTATAAAATTTATTTACAATTCTTCAGAACAGAAAAGAGTGGGATTTTTAATGAGATAACCTATTAACTCTTTGACTGGCATGAAGGGTATTTAAATCTCACCCCTGTCCTGGCAGGCCCTTTAAACCTTATGTCGCTAAAATGCATGTAGTTACTTTTTCCTAAACAACTTCAACAAAAATTGGTTTTTAAAAACGAAATTTTTAGGAACTAATTAAAATACAATATTTTATGCAATAAATGCTTTTCCACACCTCTTTATTTGTTTTTCTTCGTGTGATAAACATTGAAACATGAAAGTTTGCAGAGAGCCACACCACAGCCTGCACACATGATACTTGTTTCTTTTCTAACCTTGTGCTTAGCACTCACGCGACACTTTCTCAGGGCACCATTCTTCTTATTGTTACTGTTAGGAACATGGACCATTTTGTGAATTTTCAAGCCACCCTCTAGACGATTTGCTGGCTCTTTCACTGGTGGTCTTTTCAAGGTCGAGGGCGGAGGCGTGACTGCACTCTAGTCTGACCCAATAGATTCGTCATCCACTTCATTCCTTGACTGTTCTCCCTCTCCACACTGTTTGTTTGGTTCAGTCATTTTTCTACACAGTCCAATATAAAATCTTTGAATCTGTAATTTCTCTTCTTGTATTTTTCGTTTGTTGTGTTCTTTTTGAATAGAATGAAACTATTCAACCGCAAAGACATGTTTTGTCCAAACCATGGGTGTGAAATAGGGGCCTAGTGGACAAATATTCTTCAATTTCAGGGCGTTTGTCGATTCCTGTCATGAACACAATTCCTAAGTATGTCCAGATTTCATCTGATGTGACATAATTGTAATTGTGTTTTCGAGAGTGAGGAGCTAACTCATGTGTGTTGAAGTGCTGGTGAGCATAGCGATTGGTTTCAGTTGTGATGTGATTTACCAAGTCGTCATCCAGAAAAAATTTTAATCCATGAAAAGGGATGTATTTTATGTGTTATATCAATTTTGATCCCGAAACTATTAGCAAATGGAAATATTGGGGGTACAGTGTCTCCGTACGTTCATGAGATGGGCGTGTCAGGCACCGCACTCGTGGTAGGTAAATGTTCATGATTACTGTCTTGTGGATCATTGTCTATCACTGTATTATTGTCACTATCAACTTCATCCAATTCAGGAATCATTATTTCATCGCCACTATCATCATCAGAAAAAATCTCGTTCACAACATTTTCCAGCTGGTCTGTAGGAACACGAAGACAATTGCTGCAAGAAGCTATGGTGAAACTGAATGAATGTGAAATATTTTTTGACCTTTACTTTCTCAGAGGGTTCTGACAGTAATATAGACCCCCACAAAGTTTACAAGGGTTCTTTACAAACATGCACAAAAACTATCATATATATGTCTTTGGTTGATGAGTGCCAAGAGAGCAAAGAAGGGACGAGATTGTCAAAGCGTTAAAACACGCCAACGCCAGGGAACGGCTGGCATCGTCCGGGCGTTAAAACACGCCCGCGCCAGTCAAAGAGTTAATAATATCAACAAATATTAAAAATTGTAAGACTATAGTGCCACACCCTGTCAGTAACTGCCTCATTCTTCCAATAGGCTCAGTAGCAGAGAAATACTTAGTTGACCACTTTATACCAAAGCTGCTTCAGGAAGAAGGAATTCTTACAAACACTCTCTGAAAATATGTATTTTCAGTGAAGCAGAAATGTGGTGGGATACCGGAACTGATCTCAAGTGTGGCGCAACAAGAACTGAAGCACTTGCCCCCATACATCAAGGAGTGTGCGCTCGTGTACATTCCAGAGATAGGCTACTTGTTATCTTTGCCCCCATGGAAAGAGTCAATGACTGAAGAAGACTGGAATGTTCCTGGAACTGAATTCATGGTATGCATTTGTGGACTCATGTCTGTACACAATGAAGAAACTGGCAGAAGGATGGTCAAGTTAAATTTGTTTGATACCTTCTTGTGTTTTGGTTTTGTTCTGTATTCTTGCTGTGAGATAAAATGAATAATTTAATATATGAATTGTTTCTTAATTATGCATTAATGTCAAATGTAGTATTAAAAATGAAGAATGGAGATAGGGCTTGCACTACATCACACTCTATGATCGTTTTTGATAACAAATGTTGCTTCCTGACTAGACTGGATTTGATTTTGAAAAGCTTGATTTGTTGTTGGTTTTGTTAGGTTAAGATATATCAGGTTAATTTAGGGAGACCCAGAACCATATTTTGCGCTTTAGTAATGCATAATTTTTGTATAATTCAGTGAGAAATTGAAGTTTGAGTTTGGTAATGATTTGGGAAGAAACAATGTTGACATATTTTTAAATTATTACCCCAGGATTTTCCTTGAGCGATTGAGGAGAGAGATGTTGAAAATCAGTTACGATGATTACTCTCTCAAATGTAAGGTAAGATAGTTAGCCATTACACTGCAATATTTGGTGAAAGTAAAAGAGTTCTTGTGCTTAAGCACTAGACCATAAAAGCATAAGTCCATATATTTTTAACCTGAAGACTGGATAGAAGTCAGTAAAGTGCTTTGTGCTCTGCCTGCTTTATCTCAGAGGGGAATGCCTTTGGAAACTGTTGGATAGGAGGATTTAGTGTCCCACACATAGTCTAAATGTGTACTGAATTGAAGAATCCCTCTCCTCATTGGGAACTTCAGTTGTCCAACTGAAACCTAGTGATTTCATTGATTGGGCTATCTTGATGACTTTAATTTTGATTATTTCTCACATATATAATGACTTTTTGTTAGATGAAGAATTTATGTAGCTCTGAATTAGAAACAGAAAAATGATCATGAATCATATTGAACAAGTGTTGTTGTCTATTTTAAAATATTTTCCCAGATGTGGAAGGGCTGAGGAAAAATGTCAATAATCTGATTCATTATGGCTAGTCTCCAAAATATAGAATAGGAATACTAACCTGTGTACCGTGTTTATAATCTTGGGGCGGGTGAGACTGAGCCTACTTGGTACGCTGGCCACTATTTGGCCTGTTGTACCAGCCTCAGGTGATAGGTGATGATGAATGTGGAGCAGTTGATGGAATGAGAATTGGCAGGGGAAACTGAAGTACTTGGAGAAAAGCTGCCTCGATGCCACTTTGTTCGCTACAAATCCCACATGACCTGACCTGGGACCGCATGTACCATGATAAAGAAAAGGTAAAGCTGTCCCTGTGTTTAATTAATTAAGAACTATGCCTAGATTGTGTGTGGGGGAGTGGAGATATAACTGTATCATTCTTAACCTCAGCCTTAGATGGAAGTGAGTGGTCAGTTTCGTGCGCCTGCCGCTTTACTTTGTAGAAACAGTCTGTTACACATTTAATAGGAGGCTGGGTGGATCCCAAAGCTAGTATGGATGCTGTGGAGAGGAAAAGAATGTCCTACTCCTGCCAGATATCGAACCCCAATTCCTTGGTCATCCAGTCTGTAGCCTTCTCTATAACATGATATTCTGTAAGTAAAACATAAACACTGAGTCTGACTGCTTTATAGTATGTGATATTTGTTTCAGTTCAAACTGGGGAATGTAGGACACTACAAGACTGCTCGCTGTCAAGGTGAGTATGAAAGTAATTATTGTCATCCCTGTATTTTAAGGTTAAGTGATCATCAACCATTATGTTTGTGATAACAGAATGAAAGATTTTGTTCTTGTACAAATTAAGGGACAATGGGAAGGATACTAATTTTATACAATAATAGCTAAATGGTTGAGCAAGTAACTATCAGCACTCCTCACCCACTCCTTGCTGTTACATTGAACAGCTTAGGTAAATATCATTCAGAACACACTTTCATATGCTGCTCACTTCAATCTAGAACAAAATATAAGAAGCATTGTGTCAGACCACTTTTCCATTTTAATTCCATGGGAATGACATAATGATGCTATTATGAAATGCCAAACACTGCCCTGCATAATCTGAACATGTAATGATAATGTCATAGAACCCCAAATGCCTTCAGAGCAGAGATAACCAGAATTTCTGCCCATATTATCACATTTGTAGCATGGAAAGTCCAATGCTTGTGGCCTCAGCTTAGTTTCTTAACAGCTTATACATTTCCTTTCTTTCAGAACTAGATGGGATGCTGGGTGACACTACGGTTGAAATAGCAGAATATGAGTCTCGTATTTTGCTGAAACTCGTTCAATTCATTCAAGAACGAATTGCACCACTACACAAGCTCATCAAGTTGGCATCTGAGCTAGACTGGTAATAAATTACGTTTAACTTCATATTTAACCTTCTGTAGGATCATGTGAACTATATCACTGGTCAGTATCGCAGTATTCTACCCACAGGGTGAATTTAAGTCTGCCTTTGGTTCTCAGAAGAAACAATAATTCAATGAAGTTTTCTTCAGCAATCAGCTGTGTAATGTGGATTTAGTGTTCAGTGTCTCAAATACTATCTCTGTCTTCATCATCGGTTAATGTGATGATTGTCATGTTTGCACACTGATGACGGAACCTGAAACAGTCTGAAGTGTCGGACACTAAATCGATATTGACATTTCCAATTGCCCGAGAAGACTTCTTTGTATTCTGTTGCTGTGAAAGCTTCAGATCATAGTCAGCATAAACAACATAAATAACAATTGTTTCCATGAACTTGTTCTTATACGGTTTTCACTTGTTACAAAAGGAATGCAAGTAATATAACACATAGGTCTGGTCAAGTGGGATTTGTGGTGGACAAAGTGGCGCTGGGGCAGGTTTTCTCCGAGTTCTTCGGTTTCCCTTGCCAATCTTCATTTCACCAATTGCTCCACAATCACCCTCACCTATTATCTGGGGCTGGTACAATAGGCCAGAAGTGGCCGCAGTACAAGGGACTTAGTCCCACCCCACTAGCAATAAAAAAATAACACATAAAGAAATTCTCTGTTCTTTCATATTAATTTTTAAAATATGTGACAGTTGATAGCTTAGATAGACTTGAAATGATCCTGACGATGGTGTATACTGTACTTCTTTTGGCTTATTTTGGACTTCACCCATCGTCTGGTATGTAAAAGACAAAAGACCACGACGTTTCGGAGACTGGATCTGTCTCCGTCTTCAGGTGGATAGGGAAGGATAAACCTACTCAGTACGGAGACAGATCCAGTCTCCGAAACGTCGTGGTCTTTTGTCTTTTACATACCAGACGATGGGTGAAGTCCAAAATAAGCCAAAAGAAGTACAGTTGATAGCTTATTCACACAAATTAACAAGAATGTCATAGCTACAGGATATTTATCTTTACAAGAATGTGAACCAGGATTAGAAATGTTTGCTCAGTATATCTCGTCAGAATCAATCAAAGGCTTGGGTTACTAAGGTGTGTTCCCTGTTGTCTGACATCAGCTTGATTGCACTGGCCTTGGTGGCTAAGGAGAACAACTACGTACGCCCAGTACTGACAACAGAGCGAGTGCTCGAGATCGAAGGAGGGCGACATCCCTTGCAGGAGCTGTGTGTTGATGACTTTGTTCCAAATGACACATTCTCTGGAGAACAACATAGCCTTATGAAGATTATTACTGGACCAAATTCAAGCGGCAAGAGTGTCTATCTTAAACAGGTAATGAAGTGACGGCAGTTAAAGTGTTGTATCTAAAAGAAAAGTGATTTGAATGCCATACATAATAAATATACAGGTCTGTGACAACAGTAGCATATTTTTAGTGTTCTTTTGACTAGCATGCATTACATTTCAAGATGCAGAAATAAAATATAAATTAAACTATAAAATTATTTTTGGCCATATTCATGTTAGTCTTTAAAGTGTATCTATTTCTGAGTATATGGATCTCAAAGGGATAAGATCAAATGAAATGTTTTGGTAAGATAGTTTATGAAAAGTAGGTCTTAAAAACAATTTGATTTTCCTGGATATTACTTTTGTAGGATATAGTTAGCCAGAGAATGAAGCTGAGCACTCTGTTTCATTTAATGCCATAATTGAGAATATCATGCAGTTTAGGTGTAGCTGATAGTGTAACTTCTGTCAAGCGTGATTGCCTTCCTGTCCTGTTAGATGTGCTTGAAGAAAACAGTTCAACATGTACATCACAGTAGTATTGACTTGTAACCAATGAAGGATTGTGATAATTCACATAGTAAATTTGGAAATCTAAAATAATCTTTAACAGTGCAGTCTTTTGGGAAGCCAGCCATTTAGTTTGGTAGATACTTAGCAACATTTCAGAGGAACCTGCTGCCTATATATTCACGGTCAGTAAGAGTCAACATTCATAGTCTGGGCACCTAAAAACCTTCTGCTTCACAGCACTTAATGGTTAATCAGTTTAAGTTTTGTGCTTTGCATCAGAAGCCTGTGAAGTCACTGTTCTGAATGTCTGTATATAGGTGGCCCTCATTGCATTCCTTGCTCATATTGGCAGCTTTGTTCCTGCAAAAAGGGCAAAGATAGGGGTACTTCATCATATTCACACACGTATCCAGACCGTTGAATCTATTGCAACCAACATCTCTGCCTTCATGATTGACTTAAAACAGGTAAGCAGTGCTTATTCTATGATCCATATATGGCAGTAAGTTGGTGTTATTTGCACATTGTTAAAGACTGTAATGTAGTGACATTTGAGCCAGTCAACATCATGCAGTGTTTGAGGTATATAGCATTCGCTTTCTGTCATGGATTTCATATATATATATATTGTTTTTATCGTGAAAATACGGTGTTTCAGGTGGTTGTATAGTTTTAATGTTGTTTTTCTTTGTTTTTAAGCTCGGAGGATCCAAGAATCACATTTTGCACAAATTGAAAACTTAGTTTTTTGGATGTCTCATTATTTAAAATGAGAGGTACAGATTAAGGAGCCTCTACACAGTGTTGTCAAGTAGCAAGAACAAACTGTTGATTTTCAGCATTATAATGCAAGGCATTAAAGTTCAAGTATATAATTGTATTAATATTTTGATCTCTTAGTTCTATATCTTTTGGAATGATAGGCTGACATGTCAGAATCCCAGTATATAGGCCATGAAAATGGTGTTTCATGTGTATGGAGGCATGAAGGGGTTCAAGATTTGTGTGGGTCCTGAGCCTCAGGCAGCCAAAATTGCTATATTATCAAAGAATTTGTTACCTGTCTGTGGTGATTTTGTCCTGCATTCTGCTGATGAGATGTTAGCATTATAGTTAATCTAAGTAGGGCAGTCTTTGTCACTTATCATTTCCATAGAAACCAAATACAAGACTAATCTGAGTTAGTTGAGGTAGGACAAACAGATGGCAGCAGAAATGTAGACCTTTAGACTACTGTTGTGCATGTATAGGATATACAAGGTATTTGCCCATATGGCATGTTTAACCTGTATGATAAGCCAGCTGAATTTGGATATTTTTCTCATATGAATTCCCCTTAACAGCAACCAGATTAGAAACTCACAGGAAAGGTCAGTATGATCTGACACATTCTTCATGAGTATGGTTTTAGTTCTGGGGTTCAAGTTTTTATTTCACAGATGGCGTTAGTGGTAGATACATGTAGCCAGAACATCAAACCTTCAAATTATTCCTGTTCATTGGTATTAATGTATTTGTTGTTGGTTCAGTTTTTTAAATTTATTTTACACTTCCTATTCTGCCTTAGTTTCAAGCCTGTATATGCATTATCACAATTGATATTGTACATTTTCCTGTTATCTACTGTTAACAAACTCTGATGTCTGAAGTATGTTTATAGCTGTAGTGCTCCTGCTGGAAGTTGTTCACTGATGGAGGTTAGCTCTTACTAATGGACCCAAGGGGAGTAGCTTGGTGTTGTTATAATGTGGTGCTTGAGAGATGGAAATACATTTTGATTTTGAAGTGTTGCTTTTCAAGTTCACAGTGTGAATATTCAGTGAACTCATGAATTCAGTATATCTCAAAGAACGTAACATGTGATAGTTAATCACTGACAAAGTTCTTTGAAACTAAATTTGGGAGGAAGTGACAGATTTTCTTCACTGAATTATTAACAGACCTTCCAAAAATATTTGGTAATTTTGAAACTGTTCCAATATGCATTTTTCTTTCAAAACTGGAAGCTGTATCTTGTAACCATCCAAAATAAAAGACTTAAGGTAATAACATAACATCAAGTGGAATTTATATTACATCTCAACAAAAGATATTTTAAATCCAGAAACATTTACTTCAAGAGAGATAATAATTTATTTTTATAATTTTACTATAGCTCATTTGGTGGGCTGGGACCAGAGTAAGGAGATACTTTATAAAGTACAACAATTTTTAGTTATCCTGCAGTTTTTACAAACTATTACAGATGATTTTGTCACTGTATTCATCCACACCTTCTTCCCTCATCATTGTGGATGAATTTGGAAAGGGTACAACTGAGATCGATGGTCTGGCATTGCTTGCTTCATGCCTGGATCACTTTCTGAGCCGTGAAGTGAAGTGCCCACATGTTCTAGCATCCACACACTTCCATGATGTTGTCAGTTTAGTACAGAAGTCTAGATACCTCAAATTACAGGTAAGTATCTCTAAGAAGAATACTTAGAGATATTGCTTATACAGTAATTTTCTATTATCACTAGAAAGGGTAAAAGGTAAAGTTGCCTCATGCAGGGAGATGTCACTTTTTTAAAAATAGACCTATGTACAGTTAGAATGCTGATTGTCTGAATCCAAATTGTCCAAATTGCCTATTAATCAAATTACTGCAACCAATCTTCTTACACTGAAATGTTTGTGAGACTTATCAGCTGGGAAACAAGTTTCATCCACTAAACAGACAGCACTGTTGAACTTTTTCAGATGAAGTGTCTGAAATTGTTAATTTTTTCCTGTAGATTCTAAATGGTTTTAATGATGGTATAAATTTTTGGTTTTTATTATTATAATAGTACTACAGTTTACAATAAGTGTTTTTTGTGGATAACAGTTTAATCTGATTGTTAAAATTTTTGATTATATGAACCACATTTGTCACTAATTAATTCAGATAATCAGTGTTATACTGTAACTCCAAGCAGCTGATCCACCAGTCTTTCAGCTACTCAAGAATTTCCCAGCACTTTATATGAAACTCAAAGGTATGTTACTGTGTTCTCGAGTTCCCTCCACTGGTTCCTGTCCTGAGCCAGACGAATCCAGTCCATACCACTACGTCCTGTTCCTATAAAATTTATTTTAATATAGTTCCACCTATGGCTAGGGCTCCCTAGTTGTCTCTTTCCTTCTGTCTCCAACAAAACACCTGTATGAATTCTTGGTCTCCCCATATGTGCTACATGTCCTGCCAATCTCATCCTCCTTTACTTGGTCATTCTAATTATATTTGGCAAAGAATACAAGTTATGAAGCTCCTCATTATATAATTTTCTCCATCTCCTATTATTTCATCCATTTTTGATTCAACTATTCTCCTCAGCACTCTGTTCTCAAACACCTTTAATCTATGTTCTTACCTTAATGTGAGAAACAAAGTTTCACACCCATACATAATTACATGAAAAATTATAGTTTTGTATATTTTAATTTTTATGTAAATTTTCAAAAATAAAAGTTATTAAAAAGCAGTGGCAACAGAAGAGTGCAAAAATAATTGATATCTTCCATACTGTGATCTTCTGGGTTATGAAACTGATTAGCCTGGTCAAATTTTCTCCTCCCTCACTCCTCATCCTCCCTCCCTCCCTCCCTCCTCTTTCTCCTTTTCCTCCTCCTCCTTTAACAACATGGGAAACCCAGACTACGAAAAATGAATGTTTCTGGTGTGCTGTAGTCTTCATTATGACATAGTTATTCATGAAACATTTAATGTCTATTCTCTTGCCTGATTTTGTGGTTTCAGACTATGGAATACATTGCGGACCATGACGGCCAAATTGTTAACCTTTTCAAGTTGAAGGACGGTAGTGTACAAACAAGCTGTGCTCTTCCTATAGCAGAATCAGTTCTCCTTGGATCTGTTGCCTGTAATAGAGCTCAGAAGGTGAGTATTATGAGGAATTCTCTGAAAAAAGAACCCAGAGATTCAACATAACTGTATGACTCAACTAGTTCACATACTGTGAATTTTCAAAAGATTTGCATTAATATTATCATTCTATTTCCTTCTCAGTTTCATGATTTCATCCTCAAAAATGTTTTTTTATTTATATAATATTAGCAATCAGAATTACATTTGAGTCTATAAGCTAATTTGCTGTAGTATTCTTTGTGACGTGGAGAGGGCTTATCCAGAGATAAGTCCTCGTTAACCCTTTCTCAGGTCAGCTGGCTAATTCCTTTTTAGTCTTCGTCCATTGTGTGGTTCCAGTAACAGTTGAATTAGTACATTCTCATGTCCTTCTATTTTGTTGAGGTATCTTGTGCTTTTCCCTTTTATGACTTCCTTTACTAGCGGCACTTTCAGGTCTTCATGGAGTGTTATATTGGAAACATACCATGGGGCATTAATAATCATACGTAGTATCTTATCCTCCAAATAAGATTCTGAATTCATTTTTTGTTGCTCCCATCCTGCCTATATGAACAGTCCATTATAGTATAATCACTGAACTGGCTGTACCAGACTAATAGAATGGTATTCTTTTGTCCAGCATGTGGTTAGTTTCCTCAAGAATGGCAAATACTCGTAAGATAAATCTGCATTGGACAAATGTAATACCTTATGGGTTAAATGTGATTATGTGAATGCACCCGTGTTAAGTTTCCCATTAATACCTAGGTACTTTGCACACAGATAAATTGATGCTCTAGTCAAGAGCTACACTGTGCTTGGTCCATAGTCAGATACAAACTTGCTCTGCTAAAGTCGGATACAACTGAACTTGTCTGGCCAGCGTTGGACTCTCATAACATGAACTTGGAATCAATAGAGAATACCTTGTTGAAGGGTTAATTCTGTCTGCTGTTATACAATGAATGTAGGAATATGTGTCTGCCGCAACAAGTTGTGTGTAACTGTAGAAACTCCACTGTTAGATTGCTAGCCGTTGTATAACCATGGATGCGTTTCGATTCCTAGCCACTGTCTCGGGTACGTTGGTCGTTGCCTAGCAAGTCAACCTTGTATGTATGAAGTGACAGCAATGCTGGTTCTGCTTAGAGCAAGGTCCAATGTTGTTATACGGTCATTAATCATTGCAAAATATTGTCACATCTGTGAGTGACTTTCAACAGGGTTTTGGATTGGATATTGGATTTATTGACCACTTATGGATTGTAACTACAACTGTAGCAGTCTTGGGGAATTACACACTCCAAATATCACTGTAACTACAACACACATAAGATCTTCTCTGCCTTCTTGGTAATGGATTTTAACATGGTAACTATAACAGTCTCACAGAATTACACACTCCAAATATCGCTGTAACTACAGCACATGTAGAGCCTTCTGTTCACAGCTTGGCTTTCAAATGACTAGCTCTGAGACTGGTGGCCATTTCGCACCAACCTCCTGGTCTTCTCTTTACAGCCTGACTTTCAACTGAACACTCTTGCAACTGACTGGTTGCCCCATACTGTCCCAGTTATAACATCTCGGCACGGATGGCACAGAAAACGTTGTTCTTCTGTTGTCATTCAGTTGTCACTTATCAAGAATCTGCTGCCTAGCAACAGACATTGTTCCATTTGTTTTGCAGTCATTGCATAGAAATGAATGCGGTTTCAGAGCCGTTCACTAGCAACGGCTGTTTCTCTGGCTCCACAGTTCTTGCTTGGAGCAAATATGCCACAGTATTTACTTTTATTGTCTTGTTTTGATTTTGTAGATAATGCATGTTCTACTCATACTGCAATGTCTGTGTGAACTGGTAAGGCTTTCTTGCTTTGCAGATATATGAGGCATTGAAGACTGGAGGAAAAATTCCTGTTCCTGCAAATTCCAAAAGAGCACTCAGAATGGAAAAGTAAGCACAATAAAAAACATCCTTATGGCAAAATTCTGTGTTCCTGCTTCCTTTACTTCCTTGCAAGGGAGTTCTTTATGTAGGTTGTAGATAGGTCAATAGAGGAAGAAAAGAGCACTTATATAGTAGAGTGAATTCATCAGATTAACTGTTGATAGATCACATCAGATGTCTGTCTACGCTGTCCAACATCTTAATGGCAATTACATTTGCACATTTCTATTTTCGAGCTTGTGGTCTTTTTGGTTATGGAACCATTTAGTCAAGTAGGTGGTTATCAAATTTTTGCAAGAACCTGTTGCCTCCATTTCTATTATTCAGGGTGGTCTGGTAGGCGGTTACCAATGTTCTGAATGAACCTGCTGTCTCCATCTTCAGTATAATCTGAAGACCATGTCATAACTCAGATGAAAATCTAAATTTTTTTTACTGCTTTACATGGAACTCTGATATAAATTTTTGAAGCTGCTCACAGCGAAGAAAAATGGTACATTTCTAAATAATTATCACTTCTGTTAAAAGGATTTTCAATATTTTAATTTTAGGTCTTCTCCTTCTTACTTTCTTTCCTACTCTTTTTGAAGAATTTCATCCTAGCTGCATAAATTTTACATGTATCCAAATTTGCAAAGGTTCTTTCATCCTTCTTGGAGGATCTGATATGTCTGTTCCATGATTGAGGAAGAAAACTTTTATTTTTAAACATTAAGTTACTCATATTCAGTAACTGTGGTGTATACATCATGCCACTCGAAACCTCTTTTCTTTAACCCCCTGTCAATATTATCAACATAGTGAATGTAAAATTGTGTGAACAATACCAGTGCCATTTGGTTCAGGGTCCAGTGGCTATCTTTAAAAAATAAGCAACTTTTATTGTGACATATTTTTAAAGGCAATTAAGAGCTCCTTTGTTACTTCCTGTTTATTTCACTTGCCAAATATCCAGATGGGTCCACCTCTTCTGTAATATAACTGGTTATGGTCTGGATGACAGCTGTTTAATTCCTGGTGGGGACATATTTCTCAGACTGATTCTGGGTCTCTCCCAGTGTTAGTTCATACACGTAGAACGTAAAGATATTTCCTCACAGGTAAAGTAGTTAGGGGTACATGCTAACCATTCACTTACATTTAGTGCCAATAGGTCCAGAATTCTTCGATCATTAATTTGTAATTCCCTTTAAAAGTGTACGGAGAGCCTTAACATGAGGAAAACTTCGCTTCTGCCAGACATCTTATTGTAGCTCCAAGTATGGAGACCTTCATAACTCAAGTCTCTTTCATGTTACATTTCTTAACTTATTTTTGTTGTACAGGGCAATAGGATGTTTTCAATCACTGAGAAAATGTGAATTTTCCTTGAGGAAAAGGCTTATGACCAGCATCCAGGATTCTATTTGCTTACAGGAGGTCTGCCTGTACTTGAAATAGGGCTAAATTGTTAGGTAACTTGGGTATTTATTATGAATTATTCCAATTATGAGCACTGCTTTATTCCACAGGTACAGGAATCTTGCACAGACGATCATATCCTCAGATTATATAGATATTGAAGAAATCCAAGAAATGTGTAGCAAGCCATGAAATAGTTGCAAGGAAAGTATGAGTTCATTTAGTTTTATTTGTTTTAATATAAACGTTGTATGTATCATTTGATTTTTACATAAAAGTAATAACACAATGTTCAGGATAAATACAATAAAGTTCATGGTAAATGTTAAATATATAATGTATTAATTATATAAGAACTAGAGTCTAGGTTACAAAATAAAAATGGATATAACTGACACAAAAATGGAAGAAAAGGACAAAGTTTCTGAAATGGTGGTAAGGTCTCCTTGCTTCAGCACGTTTCAGCTCAAATGTAACATCAACACAGCTCCTTACAGCTTCTGAAAAGAGAGACAGACAGAAACATTTTATCATTTCAACACAATTATTTTTCAGTTAAACCCTACTTTAGTTGTCTCACATACTTTGACAGCTGAATTCTCTTAGACTCAAAAACACAAAGCCCTCTGCATACACTTTCATCATCTATTCAGAACAAAACAAAATGTATTATTTACATTCATATTTAGCTTCAAGTAAGTGTAACAGTGTTCAGCTCTAGTGCCAAATAATTATAGCTTTCAATATATGAGACCATAATAAGCTATATAACATCAGTTTTATCAATATTCTTAGTATAACACGTCACAAATTTGGCCTGCTAGATTTCAGCAACATCTATGGAATAGTGACTGAATCTATTTTATTAAACACAAATGAGACAGCTAAATTTTCTGAACAATTCACTAATTTAAAGCACACTGACATATTTATCTCTAAAATACAAGAAATGCAAAAACATTTTATTCATGTTCAATCATCCCAGGATAGTCTATGTGGTGCTGGACAGGCTTTCCTGCAAGTACTTCAGGTTTCTGTTTCCAGTCACAATTCTACAAATGTTCTATATTCATGGGTCACAAAACCTGAAGTGTGCAATATCTGACCACCCAGCATTTGATCATATCTCATTTCTCAGCTGAGGCTTCACTTTTGACTTGATTCAAAAGTAAGAAAATTTTGTTGTGTGTTAAAGAATGTTCCTTCACTACTAACCATGGGCTCTGCAGAACAGCAGAGATGAACAGTTCTATGCAGAAGCATATGATCTATTCTATTCCAGATCTCGAAGGTTGATGGTTGATTCTGCAAACTCGTGGCGAGTGCTGCTCGCTGGGTCTAATAACAACACCTGGAACTCTCCAACGCCAGGACCCACAGCCATCATGTGGTCCTCTTGATACAAACTGTGATGATGACTTGGCAAATCATCCTATAATAAGGAGGCAAGCAGGTAAGAATGAAGTTATCAATTTCAGCAGAGGTATTATAAATCCACTGAGGTCCTAATGACACTGTTGCCTCAATAGCATTGTTTAACCAAACATAAATTTGGTTTTATCCAGAGTAATATTTGAAGCCTGCTGTCATATGGGATGTCACACCACATAGGCTGTAGAATGTTACCAATGTTTTGGGGGAAGCAAGATAAGAAGTAGGTTCCACTGAAGCCTGTTATTCAGTTATTCAGTATAGAGGGGGTGGGTTTCCCCATGCACCACGACTAATAGTCTATTGTACGTCCCCCTTTAATTTCTACTGTCGCCATACCCTACCGATACTGGTGCCCGCTATCTCCCCTTTCTGCCAGCGAGGTCGGCCCTCTACTGGCATTGGTACCCGATAACTTCCCCATCTACCGGAGGCATTAGGGGCGGGAAACTTTTTGCCTAATTTTGCTCAGAGGTCTCCTAGAGACATGAGGATATTTTATGTGCCATAAATCTACGACATGGGATCCATGGCTTAAAGTCCCTCCTGGAGGACTTGTTCCTGAATTTTTCTGCCCTTAAAAATTCCACAACTTCCGCCGGGTTTGAACCCGCATGACTTGAGTCATGAGGTCGGAACGTTACCCCTAGACTACGGAGGCCACTTACTGAAGCCTGTTAGTTTTCTACCAGGCTATATGGCATTACATCCCAGAAGACGACAATCTTCTATGGTCACTGATATGAGAACCTCAAATCTCATAAAAAAATATGTTTACGATATTTCCATGGAAATACTAAAATAGTTACCTGGAGAAGAAGGCTCTGTGCAATGTCCTGGCTACTCCCTAGAAGTCCTGTTCCCAGCACAACATCTGTTGGAACTCTTGTTCCTGTGCTGCTATTCATAGGGTCCGTAGACGCTGGACTTGCACTGACTTTCCTGCGATCTCTCTCTCGGACAATGTCCTGGTATGTGAAACTGGTTCGTGCAGATCCATGCACGGAACGTGCCCCACTTTCCATTTCAAGTGAAATCGGCTCAAACATCGGTATATTAATGGGCTGATCCATTGCATCACTAATATCTGGCTGATTTGTGTCACAAGCCGACATACTTGAATTTGACATGGTGAAGGATGAATTCTGAGGAAGAAATTCAGAATAATTTGTCACTGGCACTAGGTACTAACCATGGAATGATTGTGGATGCATGTGCTTTCATGTTTTAATAAAGTAAACAAACACATCTTATACAAATGGTGTCAACATCAACCTAAGAAGCAGGCAAGCAAGCAATGCTTTCCTTGCTGCTTGCTTCATGCTGGTTTGATGCTTGGCTCACTCTTCAACCCAAGAAGTAAATTTATGTAAAAACTTCAAATTTGAAGTTCAGTCTCTCCACATGTAGTACATCCTGTGGATCTTCTTATCTGGCCAACTCAGACTGTGTTTAATGAGAAGCATTTTGCTTCCACTGTCTGTACATATAAACAAAAGGCATTCTGTATTTCAGAATTATATTCCTACATAAGGTTTTTCTTTTATTGCTAGTGGGGTGGGACTAAGTCCCTTGTACTGCGGCCACTTCTGGCCTATTTTACCAGCCCCAGATGATAGGTGAGGACTGAAGATTGCCAGTGGAACCGAAGTACTCGGAGAAAACCTGCCCCAGCGCCACTTTGTCCACCACAAATCCCACTTGTCCAGACCCGGGATCGGGAAACCAGCGACTAACCACTTGAGCTATGGCATGGCCCTACATAAGGTTAACATTTATTGATTCTTAAATCCTTTCAGCCTAGGAATTTGTTTGTATGAACATAATGCCACCAGAAGTTATCCAACTTCTGCCCTTTTGAATTTACTTCCATCAGTGATACTGACAGAATTCTTAGTTTCATGTCATATTTAAAAAATTTGTTTCAGTGTTTGATAGCACAATTAGCTCTTAGCAATCTAATTTTCACACAATATATATATATTACTTTATATAATCAGTATTCCTGTATTGTTACCTGCATGTCAGGTGGTGCCAGGACAACATGTGTTACAACACTGCTGTTAGTGCCACTATTGCATCCAATCCCAATGTTTCCACTGGTACAAATCTGTGATGGTAGAATTCCAGGGAACTGAAAATCTAAATGAAAAATGAAATTTTAGCTTAATAGTAACTAGCAGAGTGACAAATGTGATCAGTGTGTTAATGAAACAAAATGAACCCTTCGATGACATGTATATATAAGAATGTTCTGTTATTTTTACACATCTTCCGTGTGATTACTCTTACATTTTCTTGGGTTTCGAGGTTACTATCAAGGCTCTGGCCTAATATGAAATTAACGAAGCAAAGTCAAGTGTCCATATCAGCCTGCCTCAACAGTGATGAAGTGAAGTACAAGAATCTCACAATAAAACTTTGTCATACATTGAAGACAGTTGAGATTGATGGGTTTTTGAACTTTGTCCATCTACGGATGGCTGCACACCAACTGCATCAAGACATGAGACAAAATATGTGGTCTTGCTTCATTCGTGATTCATCAGCATCATGACTCAGACCGGTGCGCGGCGGTTTTCACAATCTCATTCGTTTCAACTGTGCTCCTTTCTTTGTGTCATGTCACAAACATCGTGTCTTTGACTGTTATGTCTTGACGCATGTCGGTGTGCAGCCTACCTACCATTCCAGTGACTTGAGGTTAGCTCTTTCTAATGGATCCAATGGAGTAGACGCTTCCCACCCCCTCACATGAGGACAGAAGCAGATCGAGTTTCTGAAACATCGTGTTCTTAGAACACCTGATGATGGACAAAGTCCAAAAACCTAGTAATCCTGACTGCTTTATGCTATACCATTAGAACCCCTTAGAATCTAAATGAAGACAGTTATTATGGAAATTTGAATATGTGCCATGGACTAAACTGGAATATGACTGTTATACAGTTAAAAAAAATTACAGGATACAGGAAACTTGTTACTCCAAGAGTATGAGAGACCACACCTGAAAACAGTTTGAAGAATGCATATATAGCCTTGTCAAAATGTTTCTTTTGCAGGATGGAGTACACTAGGAGACTAATTTTTGTTGTGACTTTTCCATCAGTGTCATATGAGACAGTTCCCTACATTCTTCTCCATCCTCTTATAACTGCTCCTCTTTATCCATGTTCACTCGTCCCCTAACTCCTGCTTGTGAATCTTCCATTTTCTGGCCTCCGTGGTGGTCATTTCCTCATTGCTTTCATTACTCATGCTCTGAAAAGCGTGCTATTTTATCTATACATAACACATGTCTATACTACTGTATGTTTAATTTCATAAATTCCTCTTGTAATGCACTGACTTTAAAATTTTGTCTGCCATGTTTAAGATTTTCTTCTTCTTAACACATTCATTGCTTTACCCCCTACCCCTTATTGAATCTCACCTACTGAGCCTGCCATTCTTCTACAAGGACTAGATTCAGAACTCACTACATCTGAAATGGAAATGGAAGACAAGAAGTGTAAAACACAATATTCACTGTAAGTTCTGAATTTTTCAAGTTTTAAAAATCTGTGTTTAAAATTTCGCTGACTTTGAGAATCATTTGTATGAGAAAATGATATTTATGTACACATTTGCAACAGCCCATCATGTGATGGGATTGACACTGGTACACAGTAAACTTCAGCTCATCAGGTGATGGAACAGGCAGTGAATGTGTTAAAATTTCAACTAATAAGATTCAATTAGTCTCTTCTTTCCACTGTTTGTTTCATTCATACCTGTACTGATATATTCAGGTGGACTGGAATTCATACCATCATCACCACTGATCATCACAGAAGGCTGTGTAATAAGACTGACAGCATTTAGAGAACTGAGGCTGCCTGAAAGTGGAAGTAGATAGTAGATGGTTAAGTGAAGGCTTCGGCACCAAGGACCAAAGTTATAGTATAAGAAGGTAAAGTTGTCCCTGTGCTTAACTAATTAAGCGTATGGGGGAGTGGACGTATACATCCAGATTTTCTTGACCTCGGCACTATTGGAAATGAGTGGTCAGTTTAATGCCCTCGCCGCTTTACCTCTGTGGAAAGAGCCCCTGGTGCCCACTGGATAGGAGGCTGTGTGGGCTCCCAGATCTGGTCTGGATGACGTGAAGACGAGAAAATTCTTGACCTTACCAGAACTCCAACCCCTTGGTCATCCATCCTGTAGCCAGTCACTATACTGACTATGCTATCCCGACTCCCAAAGTTATAGTGTGGTTTATAAAAATCTGGGTTTTCAAAAAGGTATCTAAAGTAATGTCACTATTGCGGTACAGTGTAAAAATCTTGAATTGTGCTGAGTATGACTAGATAGATGCCTTGAATGTTTCCCATAAAGAAGTATGCTTTTCAGTAATCAGAAATGTTTGCAACCTTACATCCTGGACTCTGGCACTTTCTAAGCATCTCGAGGAGCATGTCTTATTAATAATCTAGATTCTCTTATCAGTATTTTCTTCGACAGCAATGGCTATATAGCACCAAATTATACTGTATTCTGATGACTCATATATGAACTGTTTTTTTTCTTGTTATTTGCACAGTATTATTTTTCAGTACATTGTAGTTGCAAGGAATTGATGAATCTTACCACTGACAGCTGGTGTCATATCTCCAGAAAACTGTAACCCCTCTAAAGCTGCCAAATCGTCATCTCCTGTCAGTAATGCAATATAGTCTAGCTGACTAGGGTCGTTAGCTAAAGGAAAGAGAGGAGGCATATTAATATACTGCCTTAAAGAACTGAAAAATTACCAGTTGAAATTAGTATGGATCTTCACTTGTATGTATACAAACTAGGGTTTGGTATAAACCCTGAAATCGTAAGACACAGAATCAACTTTAATGATCTTCAAGGAATGAATCCTATTGTGTATATATAAAACTGTCAACACAACAAATAAGTAATCAACTCATATCCACATTTTTGTCAATTGAGTTTATTAACTATGTTAAAATTATTCAATAGTGCACTATTTCGATGATATAAAACGAGATTAACGTGCACTAAAAATTGTACTTAACATAATTACACATACTAATTTTACAAAGATTGACACTATTTTAACAAAACCAAAATATAAAACTGAGTTGACCTGTGCAAATAACGATACAAATTCAATTCAATTATTTTCTAAATTATTTTATAACATAATTTGTAATATGGATCCACAGTAATTATAATTACAATTCAATATTTTATAGCTTTAAATAGTGTAATGCCTGGTGATGGCTTATTCACAAGCTTGTTATCTTGACTTCCTTGGTCTAATGTAGGTGCAATTTAATAGCTTTTCATTCCTTATTCTGGCATGTATACTGTATTTTTCTCACACAAACTGCCATATCTGCACTATTATTAAAATATACTCTATATAACATACTCCAACTACATTGACCCTTTCTGTATTTTACACGGAACCTTTCATCTAGTTAGTTAGTTAGTTATTTAGAGAGGGTGGGTTTCCCCATGCACCGCAACCAGTTTGATCTATTGTGCTTCTCTGTATGATATTCTACCAGTCTCTTTACCCTACCGATAAATGGTGCGTACCATCAGTCCTGCCAAGCAAGCGAGTTCGGCCACTTGCTTAGCGGTGTCTATAATGCTTCCCCCATCTATCAGAGGCCTTAGAGGCTATTGTTGGGCGGGAAACATCCTGGAATTTGGCTCAGTGATCCCCTTTGGGGATATGAGGTTCTTTTACGTGCCGTAAAGTTACGACACGGGACACACAGTTTAAAGTCCCTCCCGGAGGACTTGTTCCCTGAATTTTTCCACCCTTAAAAATTCGATGACCTCCACTGGGTATTTGAACCCGCGTACCACGAGTCATGAGATGGGAACGTTACCTCTAGACTACGGAGGCCGCTAACCTTTCATCTAACTGAATGGGTCTTGATCAACTGATACGTCATTCAGCTCATCAACACATTTCCCAATTTTTGTGGCATCCGAAGGCTCACTACTGTTTCACAACATCACACCACAGGACCCTATCCTGAGCTAGTTAAAATGAGTCCAATCCCTCGCTATCTTATTTTTGTAGGTTCCACTCAAATACTGTTCCCCCATCTATGGCTATGTCTCTCAGCTGCTTGTCACTGTTTTATAGAACTAGTCTGATCTGTCCTAACTTTATTCATCTTATTACAGTTAATCATCACATGGCCATACACTCACTGCATCTGGAGGTGAATAAATCCACCGACATAAAATTAACTTTGGTAAGTGGTAAGTATAATTTTAATCTGGGACTTTACCACTTACGTTGGATTACTTTTAAACCTCCGATAAATAAATCTCTGAAAATAATTACATTTTTTTTCTACTCCATTACAGGGAAGTGATATAGAAACTCCCGCAGAGCTAATGCAAAGTGTGTAAGAATGGAATGCGTGGTGTCAACTGGTCATCATGAAGTCCAACTTACCAAGGACTGGTGTATGGAACTTGAGCATGTGCTGCCTCAGACTAGACTTGCAGGTATAAGTTCTGGTACACTTCTCTATTGGACAATGATATATAACTTTATCCCCTGCTGCAGAGCTAGGCTTACTGTGCCTCTTTAAGTGAACGTACAGGCTACTCTTTGCCGAAAATTTTACTCCACAGTCTGTTCAAGAAAATAACAAGTATATAATAATCAAACTGAAATGCTGTTCAATTCCATGCATAGTAATTTGGATTCTATTTCAATAAATTTGAATGTAATGAACACAAAGCTACAAAAATGTCCTTGACTTAAGGCATTTGTAAACAAGTTGATTAAACAGAGATGTGTAAGATGAAGATGAAATTAATAAATGTGATTGATTATCATTCCATATTAACTAGCTTGGGGTGCCATGATACTTCGAAATAGGTCAGTAGTTTGACGGCATAAGAGGAACAAAAATAAATCATTCTTGACTGAGGCAAACATTTTTGTCCATCTAAATTATTTGTCCAGATCAGACAATAAATTCAGATGATGCAGGATATGTTAATCCCAGAACACACAGTTTTCTGATAAGACTCTTCAATTCTCAGCTTCTCTAGAGTTAGAAACCTTATTAATTAAACTAACTCCATGGTGTAGGGTGTTTCTTGGGTAGCTGACAGTTGTTCAGCTGGCAAAGAAATTCCACATTTCTATGTAACTCCAATGTTATGGCCGTGTTCACAAGACGCATCAATGGACTCTGTCCTAGGCCAGATGAATCCAGTCCACACTATCACATCCTATTTTTCTAAAATCTATTTTATTATTATGTAGGATCTGAGGTTCTCACAGCGGTGGTTATGAAGAGTTCTGTCTTCTGGGATATAACGCTATGTAGGATCTGAGGCTCTCACAGTGGTGATTATGAAGAATTCTGTCTTCTGGGATATTGCGCTGTGTAGGATCTGAGGCTCTCACAGTGGTGGTTATGAAGAGTTCTGTCTTCTGGGATATAGTGCTCTTAGGGTCTGAGGTTCTCACAGCGATCATTATGAAGAGTTCTATCTCGGGATATATCGCCATGTAGGATCTGAGGTTCTCACAGCAATGATTATGAAGAGTTCTATCTCCTGGGGTATAATGCCGTATAGTCCGCTGAAAGTCAACAGACTACATGACGTTATATTCCAGAAGATGTAACTCTTTTATGTTAATATTTCCTTCCTAGCCATACCTAACTCTTGGAAGAAGTATCTTCTCATGAGGTTCTCCAACCAGAACTACATATTACTCCAATGCACAACAAATGTACAGCTCATCTCATCCACCTTGATTTAATCAGCTTATTAAAACTACTCCACCTGACCTCCAAGCATATCAACATATCTTTTAGATATCTCTCACAAGTAAAACTTGGTTTGTAAAATTTAAATTTGGTCACGCCTGTATTTAAAAGTGTTACTTGCCAATGTGCATGGACCTTAAAATTAATAACTTACAATCATACGGACACTGAAAGTTTCTCTGCCCAACATGGGTAAGTGTATGCTCCTTGAGATGTTCTGATCTCATGAAGGACTTCCCACAACCTTCGATGCCACACTGGAATTTACGTTCATTAGTGTGCTTCTGCTGATGACGTTTTAACTTGCTTGCACTTGAGAATGCCCAGCCACAATCCTGAAAGAAGAATCATTTTAAATTAATGAGAAGGAGTTTCAAGCACACCTTATAAAACCCACTTTCCTCCTATTTAGATTATAGTCCAACAAATCTACTACTATTATTACTGTAATTTTATTTTACATAGGAACAGATTCTATGTGTTAAATTTGTCAGATATAACCTCAAAGTTTTTCATCACCATGTTCATAACTGTTCACTTTCAAATAATAATGTCATACAGAATCTGCAGGCATGTTTATGATCTACCTTTATAGCAAATTTCACTTGCCTCACTCTAATGGCCCATTAGTTATGGCCTTCAACTCAAAAGCAAAAGAGAAATTTCTCATAGCTGCCATTTTGCTGTTTTACAGTCTACAGAATGAAAGTTACATCCCCCCCCCCCCAAGTTCTATTACCATACATAATTTCAGGACCTTAAAGTACATGGACATACTGCTGCTTCCACCTCATAAGCTAATGCATCTACCATGTGCTTCCATTATTACTGATGGTGAGAAATTAAGAGATGCAGCACTGGGGAGGCTCTAAATGACGTAATATTCATATCAAGTTTTGTGAAAACTGGTCAACTGGTTGAAAAGTTAGAAACATAGGAAAGTGGGTAAAAATCTGGTAAATTAATTCAAAATTCATATGGAATCAGATGGATACATACACAGACAAGGTCTTTCATAGGTTAAATACCGACTCTAAATCTAAGATGTGAATTTATCAGTGGAATTTAATATTTAATGAAGCAAAGGTGTGTGAAGTTACATTTCTCACCACTTTATTAGTACTTGTACAATACAGTGAGGTTTGAACAGATAAAACTAATTGCACAGTTACCGGGTATGTGCAGGGATAAGGTTTATCCCCTGTGTGAGATCGCATGTGAGCTTTGAGCCTGCATGGCTTGTCAAACAGTTTACCACAACCTTCCCACTGACACTGAACCTCCTCTTCCTTGTGCTGGTGGCTTCGTGAGTGAGCATTCAGCGAGTTGAGTGAGTAGTAGTGTTTCCCACAACCCTCATATAAACACCTGTAATGAACAAGAGGTAATATGTAATACTTGAAATTCTACGAGATCTCTGAGGATGATGGTGATATGTGAGTGAATGTGAATGGAAGCAGAATACTAAAAAGACACTGGGGATATGCAAATAGTTAAAACTTGTTTTCATGTAGTTCAAACTCAGTTCGAAAAAATAAATTTCAGTTTTTATGGTATACCTGTACACAAGAAATAAGTTTATAAAATGTAATTAATTTAATACTGGTAGTCCTTATTAAATTTTAAAGATGATATTTAATTTTGATCCATACCAAGAGAATTAAGTTTCTGTGGGTATTAAGAAATAAACTAGAATGGACACTATATGAAACTCGAAACGTCACAAGAAAAATTTGTCAAAGACACTGAAATAATGATGATGAAATGAATACTGGAGACACCAAGTGAATGAAGATAAAGAGAAGGTTATAGGGAGAGTGGGAATAAAGATACAAGTGGAGAGCATATGAGAAGAATGAAGGATTTTTCATAAAATATCCTACCCCACTGGATGATGATGATGAGGAAGAAGGAGAAGGAGGAGGAGGAAACAGTGTTTGGACAACTACTCTAAATATGAAACAAACATCTTTTCATGTTATATTTGCAAACTCTGACAGAATTAATTTTGGAATATCACCATAACGCCCAAGAACAAAATATGTGTTAAGACAATCAGGGTCAATCAGTTACTTGCAGGCTTAATGCTATATCAATTGCAGAGATTATGTAATATAAAATAAGATGAAACACTCATATAAAGTAGAGTGTGAAGATAGGAGATTTCATGGCCTGGCATTTTCTTGGAAGGTGTGAGGAGAACCATGAAAACCTTTGTACCCTAGTCTGAATACAAGTCAGGCATATTACTGCTGAGAGAACCTGCTGGGAAGACAAGAGGTGAAAGATGTAGCGCTATATGAGGTAGAGTCATCAACAGCAAACTCACTTGTATGGTGCATGAAGGCTGTCATGACTTTTCAGGTGCAGTTCGAGACTTCTCTTGGTCTGGAATCGTGCACCACAAGTTTCAACTGGACACACCATCTCAAGAGGTCGTGCATGCAATTTCTGGTGTGTGTTAAGATTATATATTGTGGTGAATCGACGTTCACAGCCTTTTATTCGGCACTGCAACAGATTGTGTTATGTAACTATCCATATTTATCATCACACAATGCATGCTCCATGCCATTCTCACTCCTTGGCATAACTCCACAGAGCTGGGTCCTTTTTGAGAAGCCACCAGTTGCTCAGCTACTCAAGAATTTCCCAAAATTTTATGGAATCCAAAGGTTCTTTAACGTGTTCACAGGAGTCCGCCACTGGTCCCTATCCTGAGCCAGATTAATCCGGTCCATGATACCCCATTGTACTTCTCTAAGATCCATTTAATATTATCCTCCCCTAAGTCTGGGTTTCTCTAATGGTCTCTTCTGGTTTTCCCACAAACACCCTGTATCCATGCATGCTACATGCCCTGCCAATCTCATCATCTTCGCCTTGATCATTCCAATTACATTTTGCATAGAGTACAAATTATGAAGCTCCTCATTCTGCAGTTTTCTCCAACCTCCTATCACTTCATCTGTCTTCAGTCAAAATATTCTCTTCAGCACCCTGTTCTCAAACACTTTCAGCCTATATTCTTTCCTTAATGTCAGAGACTAAGTTTCACACTCCACAGGCAAAATTATAGTTTTGTATATTTTAATTTTTATATTTTTAGGCAGCAGATGAGAAGGCTAGAAGTTCTGAACTGAATGGCTGCAACCATGATCCCAATTCAATCTGCACCTAATTTCCTCACGGATCAAATTTCGATTTCTTACTACCATTTGCTACATTTTCAAAGGCTTTATTAGCCATCTTTATGTCATGAATTTGTCCAGCATTTTGGTGATGGGACATCAACATGTACTTAATGTTCTCTGTGTTTACTTCTGGACCAATGTTCTTGCTAGTGTCAATTTTCTTTATGGTATCTATGTTATCTCCTAATAGATTTATAACATAAGAACGGACAAGAAGGTGATGTGTCTCATTCAATTTCAGTCCTACCCAGTTTTTGTGGACATTCTATGCAGCAAACTCATTAATTTTGTCTTTCTGATATTTCCTCTTTATGTTCCTCAAACGTGTGGGAGTATCATGCCTTATTCCAATTTATTTGGCTTGGATCCTGTAACCACTGAAATTTAGTACAATGTCTACATTTTAATTAAAATTACAGATATTACAGAAAATGCAAAATTAATTTTCATAATTTTGACTAAATTATTTCATGTATTTCACTACTGACATGTATTCAAAAGTGAGTGGTGTCCTTTTCTGAAATTTTTAATCGTTATTAATGCATGTTAAAGACTGAGAATACTTACTACAAAATCTTTTCTCTTGAGATGTGTTTCTTTATGCCTCTTCAGTTTGAAATATGTATAGAATGACCAATGGCATCCTACAAAATTACACTGGAAGTGTAGAAGAAACAGAGATTATTCTCAACATTTTCCAGACATGAATAAAACAAAGATGGGTAAATTCATCACTACAGTTCCCCACTGAGATAGTTTACAGTTGAGATAAACTATGTAATCACTGAATGAAACTGTTTACTCCAATTTCAGGTTTTAAACTGTGAACAAATAGAGATAAGGTGAGGTTACCATTTTGCAATAAAGAATTAAATTAATACTTTCTTAAAAGTAACAGATCTTCCAATCACTTTTAACGTGGGATCACTGAAATTGCACATTAAATGTGGGAAAACCTTAAGTGAAGGAACAGGAAACTGGAGCTCCACTACAGTAAGAAATGTTGAGTAAAATATAATAAAGCAAGTATATAAATAATTCTGTCAAATAAAATTACATGAACAAAACATAGATCCAAGACGTTCGTTAAGAGTTCCCACTACATATGTCAAGTAGGGCGTAAATACTAACCCTGTAAGGTCTGACGTTGAAATGGCTCAAGATATGGACCTTCAGCATACTCTGTCGTGGATACATTCTGCCACATTCCTTAATTGGACATACCCAAAACTTCTGACCGTTTCCAGTTGATACACAGAAAATGTTATCCTTGTCAACAGCTATTCCAAGGTCAGCAAGGGCCTCCATTACTGGCTGGTCTTCCTCTGGGAGTATCACAAGCACATTACATCAAAATTCTGAATTTATGTGAGCTATACGAGTGTTAGGATAGCTATTGGACTGAATAAGGAAAAAAAATATTCATCAAACGGTCTTCTTTATTATGTGGTTACTTTCACGAATAGTGGTGGTTTGTTGAAATATTATGTTTTATGGGGATCCCACAAACCTGCTGCAGGATCACCATATTCCTCTCGCTCCTCAGCCATATCACCTGGAACATCAGTAGTCTGCTGTATGGTCTGGTCCCCAATAGATGCTGTGGGAAACGATCCTCGTTACATAGACATTTCTATCACTGTGGCCTCTTAAAAGCATGCTTAACCCCTCACAAGATATTTTTTGCATGTCTGGTTGCAAGTACATAACCTACATTTACTGTTGTATTAATAATCCTCTTTGGAACAAAGATGTGCTCTTTTCTGCCTTTTAAACATCAGTATAGTAGGTTTTAATTTTGGTAATAAAAGTGGTATATATGTCTGTGTAAACACATTAAAGAAATTTAACGGCACGGCACTAAACATGTAGTAATGATATAGGAACAAGCAACTAATATGGTTTTCTTACTAAACTAAAATGACTTGACAAAACCCCACAAAACCAAATGTTTAACCCAGCAGACACACTACCCTAGAATGTGGTGTGATAGAAAATCCACAACTCAAAAGTTGTATGTGTATATAACATTGTATGTTACATTACAAAAGTTATGTATACTAAAATTCCTTTACCATCTAACACTGAAGGCTGTTGTGCTGTACTGATAGACAGTGGCTGGTCAGCTTTTTGAATCTTGTTATTATCCAACTTCTGCCATAGCCCAGATGTGGCTTTCATTAGATCAGTTGTCTTTCCCTTGAAAACTTGTTCACCATATGGAGAATTGATAACAATTTCAGTTGTATTCTTTGATTTGTCTGTGGATATGGCTATGATAGCCATTGATGGTGCCTTCTTTATGGGTGCTGCTACTTTTGACCCTTCTTGTTGTGATTCAACAGATCTTGCTCCAAATGCATCAGCTGATTTTGTCTGTGAGGTTGAGGTAAATGGGCCTGGAGTTTTTAAAACACTAGACTTCTTTGCAGTATTTGATATTTTCAGAGGGTTCTTCAACACACTACGAGGATTCGATGTAGGAAGCCCAGTGTTTTTAGGAACAGGAGCTGACATGTTAGCACTAGTACTTGTGCTTGGAATACTCCTCATTAACTTATTATTTCCTGTTGAAATGACTGTATGTTTCTTTCTTGATAAGTCTACTGGTGCAGAAGAAATATCCTTTTCACTATCCCGTACAGTTTTATCACTATCACCTGCTGTGGAGGAAACTAATATTTCTTTGTGATTTGTTTCCACCTGATTAATATTACACATGGCATCACTGGGATCAATTTGGAAGGTAATTAAATTCAGTTCAGGAAAATCAATTTCTTTTTCAGAATCTCCATCTACACTTCGTTTACTTATGACCGATAAACTCTCCCAGTTTGCCTTCTCTTTCCCATTTTCTATTGATGGTTGTGTATCAGTTAATCCATTTGCACTATACTGTTCTATTAATGGCTGTGTGTCAGTTATTCCACTCCCATTCCAAAGATTTTCCTTAAATTCCTTATCTTCAGTCATGTGAGTGGACGGTTCTTCCACTGAAGTATATTGCCCTTCATTTGGTCCAATCACATGATCCGCAGAATGAGTCTGTTTTGCTGATGTGACAGTATCAAGAAGCTCCACTTTATGAGACCTATTAATTCCACTGTTTCCTACTAATAGGTCACTTCTATCCAAATCATTTAGAAGGGTGTCCTGATCTGTTGAGTAACTGTTTAGAATTACATTATCACAGTCTGCTTCTGTAATTGATTTATTTTTGGACCTAGAAGATGCATTAGTAGGTATATCTAAGCCTAATCCTATGTCACAAATATTTGTAACTATAGATGTCATGTCTACATCTTTGTTTGATAAAAAATTGTGACCAATGTTTTCTGTCAAGTAATTCGTGTCCATCCCTTCACTTTTCATTACAACATCCAAATCTATACTGGATACAGATTCAGTTCTTTGTTTAAACCAATCGTCCACATTTTCACCAGCAATGTCCTGTGTTAACTCAGTCTGGGTAGGTAAAGAAAAGTTTGTAGATGTTGATATTTCTAACTCACTCGTTTCTTCGACATTACGCGAACTTCGAATGACATCTTGGTTTTCTTCTTGCAGGATGGTCTTTGAGCACATGTTAGCGGAATTCGTTGCTTTATCAAAACAAAGTTTACTCAGATCGTCGTAATCATATTTAATTTGCCCGCGACCTTTTCGATCTTCCTGAAGAATCCTTTTGCACGACATTTGTTGGCCCCGTTTTGGAGGGGTCTACATTACCAGCACCAAGAAAACACCTTGCACACCTTTGCACACCGTAACAATCGATAATTGTAATCGAAGTATTCCATAGTATCTAAATATTCGTAGCGGTTGCAGGTAGATATTCATAGACGGCAGAGCCTTTGCTACATGTAAACAACCTCTCTTTATTCCGTGTCGGCAGGGATTATAAAAGTAATTGCCCTCTAAGTGATTAGTAATCCGTGGACAAATGTCGCGCCAATGTGTTCACGTTGTAGGTCGTCATGCTGTTGATCAGTGCATGTTAAATACGAAATTAAGCAGATTATTATCTATTCATGTGTAGCGAAAGTTCAGTTTTGTGTAAGATATGAGCGCTGTATTATCTCAGAATTCATTTTGAATATGTAATCACCAGAAACTAAACGAGGCCTTGAGGTCAGATATGACCGACTGAATATATTTTTATTCTTTCAACAGATCAGAATTAGCTGCAATCCCTGGTGAAATCCCGAATAGTCAATGAATGTAGAAAGAGGTGTGGACGTAGGTTTTGATGTGTGTAAAACATATTAAAATTCCGATTTAATCACTGTAATGGGAATTTATATCAGCACATAAAATTATGGATCTTTTTGTCGTAAACAGGTAAGATTTATTATTAAGTCCGTCGATGTTTGTGATTTGTAGGTTATATGTATTCTGTTACACTCTTTATACTCGGGCATTCATTGCGATAACCAGCAGGTTATCTGTCTGGATCTTCTTGTGTTGCTATGCTGTATACATATTGTATGTTTTCTTTCAGATATTTTGGAGATGATGATAAAAAAATCAAAGATTCAGATGAGAAGGCAAAGCTTGCAGCACTTCTTTCAAAAATTGAAGAGAGGAGAAAGCAGAGGGAAGTAGCTCAAAAGTCTAAACTCGGATCTGAATCATTTGATTTAGGATATCATGTCAATGAAAAAGTTGATGGTACAGCACCCTCAGTAAAATCAGATAAAGATGAAGAGGGTGCTACAAACAGGAAGAGACAATCAGATACAGTTTCTCAACATGGTAACGCAAATTTTGAGAATGAAGCTGTGGAGGCATCGGCTGCTCAAAAGAAGAAGAAAAAGAAACATAAAAGAAAATGGAAGGAAATTAATGGTTCTGAAGGAGGTGAAGCCAATGCAGGAGAGAAGAAAGAAATGAAGACTCTTGAGAAAATTGAGGGATTTACTGTTATTGGGACTGAGAATTTCAAAAAGAAACAAAAGGTGTGCTTAAATTAGACATGCATACTATTGAAGATGCAAGATAAATATTAGTTTCCAAATAACTGTGTTAGTATTAGCAAAGAGAAATTGTTTGTTGACTGTATGTTAATCTATATTCAATCATTTGTCTGAATTTAGATGGATATGCAGTGTTAATTCCTTATAATTATGTGTCTTTTCATTTTCTAACCCAGTTTATATTTGGAATATTAATTCATCTTTTTGCTGTGGAGTTTCTCTAAACATATAAATCCACCATGTAATGTCTGTAAGAATAGTTCTATTCATTACACACAGTGCATCTTTTCATGTGGCATAACCATTCCATCCTTAAATGAAAGAGGTAATGTAGAACTTAAGAATATTTTCACTGTATCCCCCCTTCTGAATTTTAGGTCTTGTAGCCTGTCTTTCCTGGCCATTCAGAGCCTGTTTTTCTGTTATGCTTGTAAAAGCAGTAAAGCTATCCCTGTAACAGGCCATGAAGGCCCGTAGGGTTATGAGATTTCGAGGCTCCCACATTTTCTGTATAGACAGTTGGCTCAAAGGTGGTGGTAAAGTTGTAAGCCTTATGCATGGGCCACCCTTTACACCCCAGAAATATTCGTCATACTCACTTCTGTGAGAGGCTGAATAGACCCCAGGGCCATAATGCTGCTGGAAGGATTAGGTGCACTGATGAAAATCAGTGCAACAGGACACTAAAATACAGCATTAGGATTAGGTAAATTTAAAAAACCCACCTCATTGGGACTTGAAACCGCGACCTTCCAGCTTGTAGCATAGTGCCTCAACCAACTATGCTACCGTGTGGTGTTGTAGCATGGTTAAGGTTGTGCTTGTATGAAAGTTATCTGTCATGTTCTATCCTGTCACAGTGAAATTTCCATCTTATAAATTTTGAATGAATTGTGTATTTCTGATGGGGTCTGGTAAGTCAGTTTGGTTGTAGAACTCAGTGCCACTGAAGCCCATCTTGATTAATATCATGGGCCACTGTTGTGCCAGTTCATGTGCTTATAATATATTTCTCAAGATCCAGTTTAATATTATTATGTTTTTTTATGAGTGGTCCAAGCAAGTGCTTTCCATTAAGATTTGTGAGCAACATTATGCATGCATTTTCTGTTTCCCCCCCCTCAGTTAAAAAAATTATTGTATAAACATTGGCAAGCCTGGATAATTTGTTTCAGGAGTCAGCATATTGAAGCCACTGAGAAACAGCACAGTTATGCACACTTATGTTTGTGGGAAATTGGGTAGAGATTTAAAATGAGGGTCAGTTCTGTATGTTCATGCTCCTGCTAACCCTACAGTATGGGTTTTAGATCTGTATTGAGTACTCAGGGCTGTATGTTCCAATAGGTGAAGCGAGTGCTACCTTACTGGCTGGCAAACCCATCGATAGTGTCTGTGAACCTCCAGCAACTTACAACAACTGTCAAAGACATTCCAGGCCTTGACAAGAACATTATACGGGCACTGAAACGCAACAAGATCACCCATTTCTTTCCAGGTAATTAATGTTAATAGAAGCAATTAAATGTCTTTGCAGAATCACATACATATTAGTGGAACATGTATATAGAAACATTTCAGAAACTATTGCCACTGGCAAGGGTTTATGAAAGTTATGTTGTTTATCATCTGTAGCATGGGTCTTGTTGTTGTTGTTATTGGAGAGGGCGGGTTTCCCCATGCCCTTAGACCAGATATTGGTCCATTGTGCGTCCCCCTGTGTTATTCTACCAGTCTCTATACCCTACCGGTACTGGTACATGCCATCAGTCCCGACTTAGCCAGCGAGTTCGGCCTCTACTGGCTCAGCGGTATCTCAATACTTCCCCCATCTACCAGAGGCGTTAGAGACTACTGTTGGGTGGGAAATGTCCTGAATTTGGCTCAGAGGTCCCCTTGAGACATGAGGTTCTTTTACGTGCCATAAAGCTACGACACAGGACCCACGGCTTAAAGTCCCTCCCGGAGGACTTGTTCCCTGAATTTTTCCCCCCTTAAAAATTCCACGACCTCTGCTGGGTTTGAACCCGCGTACCTTGAGTCATGAGGTGGGAACATTACCCCTAGACTACAGAGGCCGCTTTAGCATGGGTCTTAGTATGGGGTGTTATGGACTGGATAGATCTGGCTCACGATAAGGGCCGTAATGAGCCTTTGGGTTCCACAAAATGCTGAGAAGTTCTTGTATAGCTGAGGAACTGGTGGGCTTCTCAAGAAGGCCTCAGCTCCATGAAGTTAGTTTTAGTTATTTAATATATATGTCATGAAATCTTACAGGAAGGATTGGGTGGTACACATATTACATGTGGTGGAAACAAATAATTAATTCCTCCCATAGAGCAAAGTGAAGAAATTCCATGCCATTAATAGAATCCAGAGATCATAACAGTGTTCACAACAGCTTAGAATTGACTTTCTCCTGAGCAAGTTGAATCCGTTCCATTTTGTAACGCACTGATTTGTTATGGTGAGAGGTTTCTAGGCCCTTGCCAGTCTTCCAGCTGAATGCTCAAGAAATGATACAAATTCTGATTTGAATGCCTCAAGTGAAGATATTTGGGAAATTGTGGTGAACATTGGAAATAATGTTAAGATGGATCAAAGAGATGCAGAGTGAATTTTGGCGCTGACTCAGGATGAGATTCAGTGACTGCCTTTGTCGTGATATGCATATGAGAGCCCCACATTAGGTAACATTTCTCATGGGGACCAAGACGACTTCCTCAGAAAAGGGTGCCTTTATTTTTTTTAAAAGAAGCCATAATATTGTCTGTTGTGAGACAAACGTTGCCTCATTGAGCATTTAAATTTCAGAACATCTGTCGTAAATAGAAAATAGTGAAGAATAGAATATTATTTTTAACAAAACAAACTTTTGTTACAGATATGTGTTATGTTCATTCTAAAGGGTTCTGACGATGTTGTATAACACTCAGAATTACTTGGGATTTCAGACTTTGTCCATCGTCCAGTATTCTAAAAGCTAGTTAATACAATGTTTTGAAAACTTAATCTGTTTCCATCCTCAGGTTAAGGGGGGAAGGGGGATACCTACTTGGTTGGGTCCCTTAGAAAGAGCTAAACTCCAGTGATTGAGATTAGTGCTTTCTAAGGGACCCAACTAAGTAGGTGTCTCCCCCTCACCTGAGGACAAACAGATCCAACTTCTGAAATATTGTGTTTACTAGTTTTCGGAATACCAGATGATGGACAAAACCCAAAAACCCAGTAATTCTGAATGTGTTATGTTGTTCAGTCCAGGCTCAAGTCATCCCATGGCTCCTGGCAGCTTACAAGCGTCCAACTCGATACTGGCCACATGACATATGTGTGTCTGCACCTACTGGCAGTGGCAAGACCCTTGCTTTCGTCATCCCCATTGTGCAGGTAATAGCAGTAGCCATATGAAGTTTACACAGAGCCTGTAACCTGGCCATTTTGCAAAGCCTATGGCAGACACTTAGCTTTGTAACATCAGAATTAAACATCCTCTACTTCAGCACCTTCTGTTGGCCAGAAAGGAGCCAGAAGCATATTTGTGGTATCTAGAACTTAATGCAGCTAATAGTTAGATGTATCAGTATGAAGAAACCTGTGTAAGTGTGTCGTAATATTATGTTTCTGGGCCTTGGAAGCTGGAGGCAGTATGTTCCTTCGAAACATTGTTAAAGTTCTATTGGATTACATGGCATCACATCCCAGAAGATGGTAGTGACATGTAAATGCATTGCTGGGCAGTGCCCACGACATGTGCGTGACCAACGATACAAGAACAGTGTTTTCTTTGTGTCTGCATAGCTCCTTGAGTGTGGTGATGTCACACAACAGTGGATAGTGGTCACATGACATGTTTTTTGTAGGTACATGCCGAGACCATTGATAAGCAACAGCCAGTGCGCCAATGGACTGGCTGCATAGCAATCATGTGACGTGTTTTCTGTAGGTTAGTGTCAAGGAGTTATCTTGAAGACAAGTGGCATTACAAAGCAGTTGAGAGATGAGAGTTCGGGGCCAGGAGTTTTCAGTTGTGCAGAGAATTTGAGAGACCAAGCAGTGACTAAGCAAACAGATGTTGAAAACTTTATTTTATGTGTTGACAGTTACAGCAATCTTCAGAGTGGTGTAATTATTTGCAGTTATGGCATGTTATAATTACAGTGATCTTTAGAGTGTTATAATTAATTGTGGTTACGACTTGTGAGTATTCAGTAAATCGATTCACCAATCCAAACCCCATCTACAAGTCACTAAGACATATGACAGTGAAAGTAAGTGAAAGTAAAGCTATCCCTGTACCAGGCCGTGAAGGCCCATAAGGTGAGACGATGAGGGTCCCACATTCTAGACGATTGGCTCAAAGATGGCGGTAATGTCAGCTTTATGTGCCGGCTGTGCTTTGCTCCCCAGGAAAATAATTTAATTAATTCCTGGTACTCATTCCTGTTAGAGTCTGAGTTGACCCAGGGCCATAGTGTGGCTGGAAGGATTAGGGACTTGAACCTGCTACCTTCCGGCTTGTAGCATAGCCCCTCAACCAACTACACTACTGCGTGCCCCCTAAAACATATGACAGTATTATTCAAAATCTAGTCATGTTTTGGAATTATTTCTAATTCTTTATTTGTGTCAGTATTTTTCCTTAAGTTTAGAGCTTCTGTTGGGCCATACAAGTTATAGTGTCAATTATTTTTCTTTTCTCTCACTTCTTCACCACTAATTTCGACATATTTTCTGTTACCAGGGTAAATGTTTTGCAGCAGGCTGCCATCTGACATTGTCGACTGCATTCAAAGTACCTATATTTGTAAATCAAATTGTGCTGGATTTGTCAAGAATTATTTCTGGTGCAGATATGTTGGAATACATCCCCCCCCCCATGGCGCTACAGCCCCAATTTTGGCCTAGGCCTACTTCCATGAAACTCTCCGTTTCACTTTGGTTTACTAGATCTTACACATACGGTAGGGCTCCTTGGGTGAGTGATCAGCTTGTTGCAAGGCCTCTACCTGTAGACAAACAGAAAAACGCGCACAAACATCCATGTCCTGAGTGGGATTCGAACCCACGATCTCAGTTTCTGAGCGAGCGAAGACAATGCATGCCTTAGACCGCTCGGCTACCGTGACCGGTGTTGGAATACATTAGTTCTAGTGTGATTTCTAATGTTTCTCCTTTACTGAATGGAAACAGGGTCCATACAATGATAATTCTTTTTTCCATCATGTCTGCAGTGACTTCAAGTTTTGTCTGGTGGTTACTATGGGTGAAGTAGGATTTTAGGTTCTCACAGCAGTGGTTGTGAGAGCACAATCTTCTGAGATATAATGCCATGTAGTCTGTTGAAATCAACTGACATTTTGAAGAATAAGCTGAGCATGAAACTAGCGTGAAAGCATGTGGCGAGCAGAGCTGCTGTTCTACTGTAGGTTAAGATTACCAGAGAGTGAATTTGATGTTCTGAATTGTACATATGCAAGAGGTATTAGTTGCTGTTGTCATGACTTCAGACTGGTGAATGTTTATAATGGTGTGTTACCAGGCACTGTGTTATCGGTTTGTGCAGCAAGTGAGGGCATTGGTGGTTCTTCCAGTACAGGACCTAGCCGTGCAGGTGTATCGAGTGTTTCTCACATACACGCAGCATACAGACCTGAAGGTGGCGCTTGTTACTGGCCAGACCTCCTTCCATAAGGAACAGCAGCAGCTTGTTGCATTGAGTGAGTTGTGAAAACTTAGTAGTAAATAGAACTAGTTACAGGAACTGATTTGATTCCCCTTAGCACTCTTTTCCCACCCTTTCATATGTCTTAATATGTGTCACAGTTTAATGGTTGGCGCATATTCTTATTTTGGAGGTTGTGGGTTCAAATCTTGACTCAGTTGACCACTTTATATGGATTCCTTAAGTCTCTGTGCAGAGATGCCAGGATAATATAAGCCTGCCGATACTTTTTCGCCAGTGTCCTTCACTGTCAGTGCATGAGAGCGAGTCTATGCTACGAACTTGCTTCGTCTGCAGAGAGAACATTCGTTGGCTGGCACTGGCATATGGGAAAAGCACACAATATCTACTAATAAGAGCGATCCTACGAGCTCAACATCTACCTTCTTACTGAGGCAACATAGTGTCGCTGCACATGCTCACCAATCTTAGGGTCGCCGACTTGCATCAGACTACTACGCATCAGAGATCCACTGGCCAAAATTGACCATCCCACCTATACCATAAAATGGGCTGTGGCCACTTCCGAATTGTTTGCAGTTCATCATCATTATCCTACTCAACCTATTTTATAGTATTGGACCTGTGCTGTTGAAAATGCTGTAACTTGAGAAATAAGTTGTTTGATTGTATTTCGCTTCCAAGTGATTTGCAATCCTGCTTTGCTTTCAGAAGAGCCTGATTCAGATATTGGCTATTCTGACAGATTCTTTTTATATATTTTCTTTAGTTTGTCCTGGAAAGTGTCAGGATAGTGCCTTGAATTAGGCCATGTCGTTTCCTCCTGTCTTTCGATGGTATGTAATGTGAGCAGTTGACCGCACTATTAAAGAAGGCAAAATATAAAGGATCTTTCTGGGTCATTTGATTCAAGCAGTAACACTTCTGACTTGTATGTGGGAGGTTTCTCTTTCACATCTTGGCCAGGACATTGGCTGTCATTGCTGAAGTTTCTTTTCTGGGTTTCATGAGTCACTCCATGCAGGTACCAGGATAGTATGTTAAATTAGGCCATGACCAGTTCTTTCCACATCCTTTCCGATTCATTATTAATACATCTAATTATTTGATGACGTATACTGTAGTGTCATTAAGCAAGGTACAGATATGTCATAAAGAATCTTATCCCCTTCTCCTTTGTTTTCCCCTACCACAACAGTTAGGGCATACGAGGAATGTGGGGGGAAGACTCGGAACTCTGTTGACCTCAGCCATTGTAACTAGGAAGATGCCTAAGGATGTGCCATAGAACATGCGGATGTGTACTGATGAAATGCGTTGCAGGTCCTGTGACTGGTTACCACAGTCTGGTGGATATAGTAGTGACAACTCCAGGTCGACTGGTTGATCACCTGCAGTCCACTTCGGGCTTCACACTCAAACATCTGCGTTTTCTAGTGATTGATGAGGCTGATCGAATTATAGAAAACATCCAGAATAATTGGCTATATCATTTGTACTCTCACATCAGTGCAGGTAAGCTTGTGCCATACGTACTTTGGAGTCTTGAGCAGACAGATTTTTTTTTTTCTCTAGTGCTTACTGGAAAGGGCACCACCGCACCTAATTTTCCTCAGATTAAGATTTGCTCTCATTTCATGTTTGAATTCATTGATACCAAGTCAATAATATCAGTGTTCCTCCATTTAAAATTGTCTTCAATTTAGGGTTCAGTTCCAGTGTTTCTCAGAGAAACCTTAAATGAGGATTTGCACTGTATTGTGATTGGCATTAGTCGTCATGTTGCTACTGAACTAAATGAACTAGCACCGCGGCTTCTGTGGGGCCTTCAGCAATCCAGTCTTGCTGACCTCTCCTTGATTTCCTTCCTATCCTCATTTTCCTATTGATCCATATTGTAAATTGGATCTAAAAGTTTGTGACGATGGTATATTAATACAATTACTTGACTTCTTGGACATTATTCATCATCTCATTTTTTTATTTGAAACGTTTTGGAGACTCAACTCTTCCTCTATCATATAATAGGACTGTTCAGTTGGGCTCAATTGATAAAGCTAGTCCCAATCTGTGGAGGAGACAGACTCCAGTTCCCAAAACATTGTTTTAGATAAAGAAACAGGATGTGGTTAGTGTCCGAGATGTTAATAAGTGCATCCATGTTGTCTTACTATGTGTTATGTCGCCATTTAATGTGGTGTATGGTTACCAATGTTTTGCAGGAACATAATGGTTCCATCTTAGCCCGAAAACTGAGGTACTGGGCTCTTCTGAAACAGTGGTAACCAGGTTTTCCTTTTATGAAAAAGCACAGGTATGAAGTACTGTTGTGTACTATCAGAATCCTTGGTGCTAATGCAAATGTGTTTCATTTCAGGTAATGCACCAACTTGCCACCCTCCTGCACTTACAATTGCAACACTGGAGTCTACCTCTTCTCCCCCTCCTCAGAAACTCCTTTTTTCTGCAACACTCACGCAGGATCCTGAAAAACTGCAACAACTAGGCCTCTTCCAGCCAAAACTATTTACCTCAGTTGTTGGTGATGACCAACTGGAAAATGGAGGTGAGTATATGTCATTTTGATATTGTAACGTGAAAGGTCTTGAAGACCAAAATTTGGTTTTTGGGTAGGACGTACCAACTCAAACACACTATAACAAATATATCAAATGACTATATATATATATATATTAAATAAATACAAAATGCGAATACAGTGTAAGTCCCTGGAGGTAATAGGCCTCCGGCAATCAACCAATCAAAATCGTACGGACCAGAAAAAGAGTGAATCGACCGAACTTTATGGCAGTAATGCACAGAAGCAGTGTCCTGGTGTATGAGTGTCTGGTAATATTTAATAATTGGCAAGCCCTGCTGCAATTGATTTCAGATATAGGTAAAGATGAGGCAGTGAGGGGTGATTTCGTAGGAAAGTTCACAACACCTGCAGAGCTGAGTGAATATGTATGTCTCGTGACACCAGAGAGCAAGCCCCTCGCCCTCTACCACATCATCGCGTCCAACAGCTGGCAACATGTCTTGGTGTTTGTTGGCTCACGGAAAGATGCACATCGTTTATCATTGCTGCTGTCTTACCTTGGACAGAAGAGCTTCAAGGTTGCTGAGATATCGTCCAGTTTATCGCGTCCTGCAAGGGAGAAAGTCCTGGCAAAGTTTGCAGCGGGAAAAATTGATGTGTGAGTTGGTATTTCCAGTGTAATACGAGGTGTGTTCAAAAAATGACGGGAATTTCCATATTTTGGAAAAAATATTTATTCATTCGTCTACATTAATGTTGTCGCCTTCAAAATAGTCCCCATTCGATATTATGCACTTACGCCAGCGCTTCTTCCAATCATCGAAACACTTCTCAAACTCGATTTTTGGGATAGCCTTTAGCTCTTTCAGCGATGCGCTTTTAATGTCATCTATGCTTGTAAAACGACGGCCCTTTAAGGTTCTCTTTATTTTTGGAAATAGGAAAAAGTCACACGGAGCCATGTCTGGCGAATATGGAGGCTGGGGCATCGTTACAGTATTGTTTTTGGCCAAGAATTCACGAACAAGCAACGAAGTGTGAGCAGGTGCATTATCGTGGTGCAAAAGCCATGAATTGTTTTTCCACAAATCCGGGCGTTTTTTTCGGATTGCCTCACGCAAACGGCGTTGAACTTTCAGGTAGTACTCCTTATTGACCGTTTGACCTTGAGGCAAGAATTCATGATGCACTATGCCATTAAAATTGAAGAACACAGTAAGCATAACCTTCACGTTCGAACGCACTTGTCGAGCCTTTTTCGGTCTTGGCGATCCAGGATGCTTCCACTGAGACGATTGAGCCTTAGTTTCAACGTCATATCCGTAAACCCATGTTTCGTCACCTGTTATAACACGTTTCAGTAATTCTGCATCATCGTTGACTTCCTTTAGTGATTCCTGAGCAACTTCCATTCGCCGCTGTTTTTGTTCAAAATTCAGCAATTTTGGAACAAATTTTGCTGCCACGCGTTTCATACCCAAAACATTCGAAAAAATTTCATGGCATGAGCCAATCGATATGCCAACATCATCAGCGACTTCTCTGATTGTGATTCGGCGATCATTCATAATCATTGCTTTCACTTTTTCCACGTTTTCATCGGTTGTTGATGTGCTGGGGCGTCCGGGGCGCTCGTCATCTGCAACGTCTTCACGGCCATCTTGGAAACGCTTATACCACTCGTAAACTCTTGTTTTACTCATAACAGACTCACCATAGGCCTTTGTTAACATTTCACACACTTTGTAACACTTTATTTCATTTTTTACGCAAAATTTGATACAAATTCTTTGATCCATTTCTTTTAACAAACGAAAATCGCCAAGCTCATAAAAACACGTCTAACCTTAGCGGCTGCCACAGACAAAGTAAGCAATGAATACAGCTGAAAATTTTATTGTACTTCAGGGGCATGTATACCAACATAATAAAAAAAAAATTTTGACAATTGGACTCTCCAAACCCGCGAAATTTTAAAATTCCCGTTATTTCCTGAACACACTTCGTATATCACATTACGTTGCCCTTCTTTGCTGAAAGAAAGTTCTTGTGAAGCAGAATAGCTTTAAGTTTATTTCTTAGCATATTTTCATTCTTACAGAAGAAAGTTCAAGTACTACATGCTGTTGTGTACTACTACAAAAATAGCGCTATATATGTATACGTAACTTCCCCTGTGGTCTAGTGGTCAGAGTTCCTGGCTACAGATCCAGAGGTCCTGGGTTCGATTCCCAGCACTACCAGATTCTCTGAGAAGTCGGTCTGGAACGGGGTTCACTTAGCATCGTGAGGATAACTGATTTCAAGGAAATAGTGGCTCCGGTCTAGAAAACCGAGATTATCAGCCGTGGGGAACCGTTGCACTGACCATGTGACATCCTCTATCTGCAAAAGTTGGCACTAACTTCACCGACGAGCGGCGGTCTCTTGATCGGTATAGTTCCCTTGTGGACTACAGGCCACGGAGTTATATATAAACATACTTTGAAGTAATAATATATGTTAATTTTTTCTTGTTTTATTTAATTCTCTGTCTCAATGTTTAAACTTACTCTGTTCATTTTAGAGATGGAATCATCAAGATGGCAGGTAAGTGATTCTTTTTTTTGTGAGCATGCATTCACATAGAGATAGTGCATGTGGACATGCTTTTCTTTTCATGAATAGTATTTCTTTCTTTTTTTTTAGTGTTACTGATTATCACATTTGTCAGTAGTATAACATGTCTACTTGGCGCACCTGAGCCGGATAGCACGCAGTACTGATAGTGAAGCATGACTGAGGCTGATTGGTGTAACTCATGCCAAGTGACAGTCACTTGTATGGCACAGCTTTTATCTGCAAACTTGTCTCGTTTTTAATATAGTGCATAAAGTGCAGCACAAGACAACAAATTTTATTATATTAAGCTCCTCCATATAGTCTAGGAGAGAGGCACTAACATTGCAGAGAGTTGCATTCTCAACATTGCACAATAAGCATTTTAAATAAGAAGGGTGACGTTTCAGATAGTACATATTTCTTTGTTACAGGTTGGTAAGTTCTGATGCATTGGCACGAGGTATGGATATTGAAGGAGTTGACTATGTTATACTGTACAGTGCACCAAAGTCCATAAAGAATTACATTCACAGAGTGGGACGTACTGGAAGGGCAGGCAAACCAGGCACTTCTGTTACTTTTCTGCAGGATAGTCAGGTGTGTACTCCAGAAATTAAGTTGGGTCTTCGTAACTATACATACAACTCGTAACATTTTTATGATTTTGTAGGAAAATAAATTTTCTTTTTCTCGTAGCAACATTTTCATTTTATACAGGTTAATGGATGAATAGTCTCGTATCTCTTCTTTCTTCCCATAATCCTTCGTTTTCAACTTCTTGCCGGCTGTTCCCTCACTTCTTGCTGTCTTCCAATACTTCAACAAAACCATTTTGTTGTGGGTCCTTCAAATTTCAATTCTAATGTGTTTCTTTGTATCCTTGTTCTGTCCTTTATATTCCCTTTGTATGACCAGACTAATGTATTCATTTCTCTTCTAACTCTTAAGAAAACTCCAACTCCTCAAAAAATTTGTTTTCTGTTTGTACCCTTCTTGTTTCTGTCTCAATACTTTCATTTTTGTTCCCTCAAAACTTCAAAACTTTCACAACCATTGCATGGATTTTGATTTCTTTCTGTTCGTTGAGATCTGTGTTTGTATTAATCTGTTAATTGGGAAGCTGCTGGGTTTTTTCTCGCTCCCTTTAAGCAAATTATGTGGTAGATTTTAATGTAGGTCACAGCCATTTCCTTCCACGTCCTCACTGTTTCAGCACCCATACCATTCTCCAATTTGACACAGTTGAGAAACTCATATTAAACTGATTGATATACAAACACACTGTGTGTTACTGAAACTTGAATATGCCTTTTCACTTTTGTTTTCTCATTCTTTACATTGTAAGAATTTTGAACAAACATAGGTTTTTGATGTCGATTGCCTGTGATTGGTGCAGGTAGCCAGCTTCAATGAGATGTTGCACTCGGCCAGTAAGGGCGATTTGCAGAAAATGGACATACAGCAGTCAAAACTTGAGGAGCTGGAGGATGCATACACATTGGCACTGGAGCACCTCAAAGGCCATCTGGAGGTTTGAATCTGCTTGTTGTTGTTGTTGTTGTAGTAGTAGTAGTAGTAGTAGTAGTAGTATACAGTGAAAATTCCTATTTAAAGTTCCTCTGGGGATCTGTGAATTTGAACAACAAACTGAGGAAAATTAACATTGAGATTATTTACTTGGGATACCTGACATTGAACAGATGCGTGAAAACCTGAATTTGTGGAACATTAAGTGGGGTTTCCACTGTATGTTGAAATTTCATTATTACAGTTCTTAGATAATAAAATGTCTTGTGCAAAATCGTGACATAAAGATAGCTAACAGATGTTTTGAATGTGGCACAGATCAGATATTTGGGAATGACTAACAAACCAAAACCTGATTCAGGAGGAAATTAGGAGGAGATTGAATTCAGGTAATGCTTGCTACCATTCAGTCCAGTCTTATCTTCTCGTCTGCTGTCCAAAAACAAAAATTAGAATATATAATAAGGGAATGCGCACAATGTGCATAGAGTAATTGTTTTCTATTCGCGACTGTATTCGGTTATTGATGTGGTTAAGTTTTTGCATATGGTAATGTGGTATCTACTGCACTTTTTATCACAGTGTTTACACACACATGCGTCATTAAAATTAGAATATAAAAACTATAAATTTGCCTGTGGTTCTGTATGGGTGTGAAACTTGGTCTCTGACATTAAGGGAGGAACATAGACTGAGGGTGTTTGAGAACAGGGTGTAGAGGAGAATATTTGGATCAAAGAGAGATTAAATGACAGGAGGTTGGCGAAAACTACATAAAGAGGAGCTTCATAACTTGTACTCTTCTCCAAGTATAATTAGGAAGATCAAGTGAAGGATGATGAACTGGACAGGGCATATAGCATGAATGGGGAGAAGTAGACTGCATCTAGGATATTGGTGGGAAATCCGGAAGGAAAGAGAACACTAGGAAGACCAAGATGTAGGTGGGTGATCATTATTAAAGTGGTTGTTAGAGAGATAGGATGTGATGGAATGGTTTGGATTGATCTGGCTCAGGTTAGAGACCAATGGAGGGCTCTTGTGAACATGGTAGTGAACCTTTTGGTTCCATAAAATACTGGGAAGTTCTTGAGTAGCTCCACAATTGGCAATTTCTCAAGAAGGGCTCAGCTCTGTGAGTGAGTGAGTGAGATATCCTTTTTTGGTTTACTGTTGACAACTGTGGTTGCTCCAGGTTGATTCTTGCCTCAGAAACTGCCTGTCATATTTAAGCTTCTTATATGATTTTCCTCATTTCTTTCTTTTTCTTTTTTTGGGGAGGGGGTCAAACAATTGCTAGATGGTACCTTAAATTGCGGCACAGCTGTTTCCTTCCACATTCTTTCCAATTCGTCATCTGAAACACAATCCTATAAGGCGTCACTAAATAAATCAAGAATGAGCTGTTAATTGTTTTACGTTTTCTTAACAGAGAGAAGAAAAGCAGCAGCTGAAGGCTAAGAAACGAAGGAAGAAACAGGATCCTTTGATACAGAAATATCGTGAGCGAAAGCGTCGTTTCAAAGTTAGAAAATTAAAGAAGTTGGATAAAGCCACAACTATTGGTTGATAAGAGGTGTGTGTAGGATGTTATATAACTGTAGTAACCTTCCTTGTGTTGGTATGTTCTTGCTGTAAATATGAATGGAAGTTGTACTTGAACGTATGTATAAGGGGTGGGCCTTCTCGGCCCTTGCACCGCGACCTACAGTGGTCTATTGTGATTTTAGTTATACTTCTTACCTGAACTGTATGTTGAAACAGACTTTTTATATTGTCTCTTTAAATTGACTGAAAATAATAAAAAAAATTCTGTTGTGTGCTGCACCTTCAATCATTCCAGTTCCATAGATCCCAAAATAAAATTGTACATATAATTGAATGTCATCGAGTCAGTAAGTGGACTGTACGCTTTCAGGAGACCTGGGTTCAGTTCCTGGATGAGCTGTTTTCTCTGTTGCACCATAACCATGGAGCCCGAATAGCACAGTTGGTATAATGATTTGCTATGGGCTGGATGGCTGAGTGGTCAGAGTTTCAGTCCCAGGAGGGGTAAGATTTTTCTCCTTTCCATACCGTCCATATCGGTTTGGGGTCCATCCAATCTCCTATCCAATGAATACCAGGGCTCTTTTTTGAGGAGTAAAGTGGCTGGGGCATGAAGCTGACCACTCACCTCAGCTAGCGCTGAGGTCAAGAATACAAGGATCTGTATGTCCACTCCCATACATGTCTTCATTGCATAGCATTTAATTATAGGGACAACTTTACCTTTTACCCAGTATAACCATACTGGTATGGGGGCCTACCCAATCTCCTGTGAAGTTTATGTCAAAGACTTTTTCCTAATTAAGTAGCTAGAAATGAAGTTGATTTTAACTTCATCACCCTCTTAGATGCCTGTTTGGCATGGTGCTTAAACATTAGGGTAGTTTTAGCTGTACATGACTACGTAACATTCTTGAATTTTTGGTCTAAGAATTTATAATGGTTGTGTCTTGTGTTATTGGTGCAGTGCATATACATGATCAGTTGTTCTGAGCATCCCATTTTTCTAATGCTAATACCATTACTCCTGAGTTACTGTGGCCACTAGTCCCCATAATACTGCAATATTTAAAATTCCCTGGTATTGAACAAGTTGGCACACAACGGTTCTGACTTGTATTCAGGAAATGCTCAGTTTGAATGTCAGGCTGGGCTGGGGCTATTAATCTGACATTTCTCATGGTTTTCTCAGTTCCACCAGGAACATGTTGGGATGGTAACTTAAATTGATCAGTGATTGATTTTTTTCCATATCTTTCCTATTTCATTATTCACTATCATCTGATCATTCAATGTTATATAACACAAGTTACTGACATCATTTAATAAACTGCAAATTAATGAATTCTGGATGATGAAAATTAAAGCTTGCATTGGGTAGAGAACCGTTCCTAGAGAAGAATTAATACAGATTTTGTAATGACTCAATATTTTAAACAAAATGAGGTTCAGGATTAGAAATGTGATCACTGCTATGAAACTTGTGTTGCCTTTAACATCACAAATTAAATCAGTAGATATTCATGTATGTCTTGTTCTAGAACCTTACATGTGAATGCAGGTAGCCTGTAATGCATACCTTTACATATCAGATGTACAAAATATGTTGAATAGTTTGTAATAACAAACAACTACAGTAAAACCCTCAGTGAAGTATTTTTTTTGGGGGGTGGGAGCAATGAATTTGAACACTAAATAACTGGAAATATAATTTAACACTGACTTTGTCAAGTTGGGATTATTTAAATTTAATGTTAAGTGAGGGAAGGTCTTCAAGAACATTCAGTGAGGGATTTCCTGTACCAATGTACTAAATGTGAGGGAAGGTTGTAAAGTACATTCAGTGGGGGATTTCCTGTACCAATGTACTAAATTTGATGTTTCTATAACAATTTACATTGATCAGTACTGACTGAAACGTACTAATTGCATTTATGTTTCTCACTGTTGCAACATACAGGGAAACAAACTACTTTTTACCGTGCTGTGAAAACGTTGGCTCCATATTGCGCTTCTCCACCGTCTGGTTGCCTGCATGCTTGCTCACGCTTACCGACTTCCAGTGTATATACTAGCCGAGAGTGATTATTTATCATTCTATCAACAGTGATAGGGAGGGCGTCATCATATGCAACATGTAAATATCACTTTAATTTTAGGTTAGGTTATATTAGGTTTAAAGTTATGTTATTCATCTCATGATGTTCTGATGCACCAGATGTAGATAACATGTAGGTGACTTGTTGAAGAGGGATCCAGAGGGGACGAGAGTATGAGTAATTAACCTTGTTTCGGTATTTTTCATCATATTTCAATAAGTCAATAAAGTAGTTTTTAGTAAAATAGTTAAAAATGGATTGTGTGCCAACGTGATCTGCAGTCATACTTTTCGTAAGTCTTTATGCATGGGGAAATACTATATGATATTTGTGTCCCATAAAACTTTTGTCATAAGTGTATCTCACTATATTGTAATTAAGGAAACTCACAGCAATAGATATTTTTTTATTTATGTTGTAAATTATAAATTAAATGCTGTATATTTATGGTGAATGCCGCAAGTGCTGGTCTTACCAATCTTCCTAAGTTTTATCTATTGGTATGATAGATGTAGCCATGATTCATTTTACTCTACGCCCATTAAGAGACTGATGGGACAGATTGCTGCATGCAGAGGAGAATGTCATGTCAACATGTGCTTTGAAGCAGGGTATGATCCTGGTATTTTCCATTACTCCCAAAGTCTAAGCTTTGGCAGCGATCAGGGCACTGACCAGTGATGGATCCATCACTCTTAACAAGAGTACTACAGTGTCTCATCTTGAGAACACCGAGGCCTCACACAATTGCTTGTGAGAAACTGTATTGAGTGATGTTCTCATGGCAGTGAATATTAAGAGTACTGTGTTCTTGGATATGTTGTCTTGTATGTGTAGTTTGGTAGGTACCTTCTACCAAACTACATGACATGACATCCCTACAGACTGTAATGTGAATAAAGTAAACTTCCCATTATCCAGTGGATACGGGGAATGGATTTTGCTGGTTACATAATATGCCAGTTGCGTGAGAAAACAAACAAACATGTTTCTGTCATGGCTGTCTTCCTAGGTGATGTAGTGGGTTGATGGGTGAAAGATTTTGTATACATATACTGTAAAGTGATCATGGATTTATGTTGGCTCCACTCGAATGGCACATGAAGGAACAAATTCATGGGGCTACACTGTAATAATTTTCATGTAATATGTGTTGGTCTTTTTCCTGGGACTTTTCTTCTGATTTGGCATGTGCACTTAGTTCTGAGCTGGAGTTTCCATGTAGTTCTGAAAGCCATTTCTACCCCTGGTTATGATATTTTCTTGCCCAAAACAGTACCTTTTAACTCCTGTTACATCTGTTTTCTTGTTATACATTTAAAATGGGAGATAAGCTAGGTCCTTGTGTAAGTTGTTTGCTTATCCTCGTATCATCTCTATATACTACTAAATATTTCATATAGGAGTCAGTTGGCATGCTGTTTATTTTGGTATTGTGGAAAGTAGAGAAGTTTTGCTTATAGAATCCAAGTCTTTAGCTACTGCTATACATCTAGATTTGTGATTAAATCAGATTTTTCTAGCACATTTTAAACTATGTAACTTTTTTTAAACATCTTAATTACAATGTTGAGCAATGTAACTTTTGAAATAGACAATGGTTTTGCCACATAGTCCCTCTTTCTGTCATGGTGTATTAACTTCCAGTGGTTGAACCTGATTGGATGATGGTTTAGAAATCTTCAGTTCCTCACATGCATCATCATTGGATCCAGCTATTTGTTTGCGTATAATTACAGTCAACCATACACAGAAGTGGGCAAAAACGACAGCCAGTATTCCCAAAACTGCTATGGCCAATGTACTTCCAACCTTATTCCAGTCCAGTGCTGGGTAGATGGAAGGTGCGTTGTTCTTTCCAGTGCCACCAGCAAGGTGATACATCACCGAAAAACAGAAATAGGTGAATATGAATAAGAGTGACCAGCAGAAGTGCAGAAGTCTGAATGGGTGGGCCACCACGAGGACATCAAGCACCATAAGGATGGCATTGAAGGCATGCATGAGGAGGTTCAGTGCAGTCAGCGTGTGGACAGCTGGAACGGAAATATTTATATTACAGAATGGCATAGCACTTCAAGAAGCCTGTGATTAAGTTCTTAACACATTCCTCAGTCGCTTGGTGCCCACCTGCATTTAGTTCTGTCAGTAACTATAACGATTACTATCATTTTGGATGCGGTGCCATGTTATCTGGTAAATAGTTCATAATATTTTGGAGGTACCTGATGCTCATATCTTCAGGGTATGAGACTCCTGAACCCTTAAAATGGAAGCAGCAAGTTCCTATATAATATTAACTGAAGGAGCTGGGATAGCTCAGTTGGTATAGTGACTGGCTATGGGCTGGATGATGGAGGGGTTGGAATTCGAGTCCTGGCAGGGTCAAGAATTCTCTTCACATCATCTTGACCAGCTCTTGGGTCCACCCAACCTCCTATCCAATGTGTACTGGGGCTAAAGAGGCCGGGGCGTGAAGCTGACCACTCACCTCCAGCTAGTGCTGAAGTCAAGAAAATGTGGATCTATACATCCACTCCCCCATACGCCTTCATGGCCTAGTGCTTAACTAGTTAAGCACAGGGATAACTTTGCCTTTTACTAGACTGTTCAGCATCATGTCCCAGAAGACATTGATCTTTATTCTGTACTGCTTGCTAGGCAATTCAGCTGACTTCTAGTTTAATACTAGTAGTGGAAAAATTGGAATAGGCAGAAGTGTAATTTTACTTATGGTTTTTTTTGTATGGGTGTGAAACTTGGTCTCTGACTTTAAGTGAGGAAAACAGACTGAGGGTGTTTGAGAACAGGGTGCTGAGGAGAATATTTGGACCGAAGAGATGAAGTGACAGGAGGTTGGAGAAAACTGCATAATGAAGAGCTTCATAATTTGTACTCTTCACCGAGTATAATTAGAATGATCAGTCAAGGGGGATGAGGGGAGCAGCGCATGTAGCATGAATGGGGGAGAAGAGAAATGCACAGTAAAATTTGGGTGGAATAACCATAAGGAAAGAGACAGCTATGAAGACCTAGATGTAGGTGGGAGGATAATATTGAAATGGATCTTAGAGAGATAGGATGGGGTAGTATGAACTGGGTTGATCTGGCTCAGGATAGGGACCAGTGGAGGACTCTGGTGAGCATGGCAATGAACCTTCAGGTGCCATAAAATGTTGGGAAATTCTTGAGTAACTGAGTGACTGGCGTCGTCTCAAAGAGGGCTCAGCTCTGTGGAGTTAGTTAGTTGGAGGTAAAATTACTGTCCTGTTGGGAAAATAAATAAATTCTTAATAAGCAATCTTTTCATAATGTGGCAATTCTCTAACAAGTGCTTTTTTTTTTTGTAAATTATATACCACTCAGTGATTAATATGATCCAAACATATCTTGAAACGACAACTATTAATATGGTATATAAAGGTATATAAGTTATGCAGTCTACACAACAATATTCTGTATTTAAAAAACAAAGAAGACACTACTGTATCAACATTTGTTTTTACTTTGTATTTTTTGTTTTTTCAAATGTTGATACAGCAGTGTCTTCTTTGTTTTTTAAATACAGAATATTGTTGTGTAGACTGCATATCTTATATACCTTTATATACCTTGTTTATAACACACAGTAGGATGCACACTATTAAGAAATATTGATATATTGATCAGTTGATTGTTATGAGTATGTAGAGGTTATAGAAACAATTTTTACTCTTAAAACATTTGTGGTATTTTGCTCCCTTGTGTTTCTACATATTAAAAATTGATGGAAAATGTGGGGGTATGATATGTCAGTACATAATAAAGATCTGTAAGCAGTTTGTTTGCTCCTTACCTGGGTTATAATCCACAACAAAGTAAGAGCCAGTGATTCCAATTGCAATAACCACAGCAAGTGTATGCAGTAGCCAGTAAACTTTATATATTACAGGCATCTGAACGTGGTCCTCAGTGAAACCTGCAACGGTTCAGTATGTTCATCAGTGAAATAAGTCCACTGGGATTGAGGCTTACATTCAGTATAACTAGAGCTTCCTGTTTGTAGCATGTTATAATGCAGTATATTGGTACCTTTCTTAACAACTGTTAAAAATATATTAATAATGAGGGAATAACAGAGGGTGAAATGTGGATAAACTCTTTAATTTAGTTTTTTATTTTGTAAGATATTATATACTCTCTGACCGCCTCTGTGGTCTAATGGTCAGAGTTCCTGGCTATAGATCCAGAGGTCCGGGTTCGATTCCTGGCACTACCAGATTTTCTGAGAAGAAGTGGGTCTGGAATGGGGTCCACTCAGTCTTATAAGGATAATTGAGGAGCTATTTCAAGGAAATAGCGGCTCTGGTCTAGGAAACCGAAATTAACAGCCATGGGGAGCCATTATGCTGACCATGTGACGCCCTCTATCCGCTAAAGTTGGCACTAACTTCGCCAACAAGTGGCAGTCGCTCAGTCGGTATAGTTTGCTTGTAGACTAAAACCACGGGGTTTGCTTTTGTTTTGTTATATATCCTCATCTTTTGTCATGTACCAGTGGTTTCCTCTGTAGATATGTAGTACAGTATAATTGATGTTATCGGGGGAGAACATTTCTGCAAAATCTTGTAAATTCATCCAGCTTCAGCAGGTATATATCAGTATTAATTCACTTGGTAGAAGAAATTAGGCAATAGACTCTATAAAAATAGAACTATGTAATTGACCAGATTAATGTGAATATATTGGAGACTGAGAGAATTCTTTCTCCTTGCGGACTGAATATAGTTACTTACTGCCACATCTAATGCATTATTATGTAATGACATTAAACATCTCCTGCGGCGTAGTCTGCAACAGGCAGATCTTGTGCAACAGGTGATGCCATGTGGTCGCACATGAAAACAGAATGCAAGGGGAAACAGTAGTGTAATGGGGGTACCTTTCACCGTTAAAATGTAAAGTTGTCCCTGTGCTTAACTAAATAAGCACTACATCATGAAGGAGTATGGGGGAGTGGATGTATAGATCCACATTTTCTTGACCTTGTCACTAGTTGGAGGTGAGTGGTCAGCTTCACTCTCCGGCTGCTTTAACCCTGGGAAAAGCGCCCCCCAATACCCATTTGATAGGAGGTTAGATGAACCCCAGAGTCGGTCTGGACCATGTGGAGAAGAGAATATTCTTGATCCTACTGGGACTTGAACTGTAACCCCTCAGTTGTCCAGCCCATAGGCAGTCACTATGCCGACTACGCCATCCTGGCTCCTACCTTTCGCCATTGCAGTACGATTTATTCTGCACAAGTTGAAGCAGCAAACTGAGCTACTTCTCGTCTCTGCATATTGTTCAACAAAGTAGACTTGCCCATATTTGTTGCCACAGAGTGAACGCCATCACTTGCTGTGCAAGCTTTCTTGTAATCAACATAACACTGAGTTTCTTGTATAGTTGCCTTTGTGCTCTCTAATTTAAATATAAAACAACTGATATGGGGTGAGAATTTAAGTTCTCACAGCATAAATGTGATGTGTAGCTCACAACATTTTGTAGGAATGAACTGCTTCCATCTTCAGCGTCCCAGAGAAGACCCTGAAGATGGAAACATCAGATTCCTCTGAAGCATTGGTTTCTTTCTACTAGACTATATGTTGTCAAATCTCAGAAGCAATGATCTTCATTTTTCATTATGTCCAAGTAAGTACACTTAAAAATTAATTGTAGTTGCCCTCTTTGTTTCTAGTGAATACCAAGGCATTGATTGAATTTATCCAGTTCTGTGAACGGGAAAGCACTAAAGTTACAGACAGTATGATCAGTTATAATTCCATGTTAATAACATGTGGTGATTATTTCAAAATAGTTTTCACATATAGTGATGTAAAGATCATGTCTTTTGGGATGTGACACTGTATATTCCAGTATGCAGTTACCATTGTTGTAAAGGCCATGTTATAGCTCACGTGGTCAGTGACTGGCTTCCCACCATGGCAGCCCAAGTTCGAACCCAGCTCAGGTCATGTGGCATTTGTGGTGGATATAGTGGCACTAGGGCAGGTTTTCTCTTAGTACTTTGGTCTCCCCTGCCAATTCTCATTCCACCAACTGTTCCACATTCACCATCACCATCTGGGACTGGTACAATAAGCCATTAGTGGCCGACGTACCAAGTGGACTCAGTCTCACCCCACCCCAAGAAATTAAAAAAATAAAATAAAGAGTTTTAGAGAAACATGCTGTTCCCATCTTTAAGGTAGCACAGTATCTGTCAGAAGACAGTAACCTTCACATTCACTGCCATGAGAACCTCAAATCTCGCATTTAGCGCTGTAGTTTATGAAGCACACATGTAGAGTTTGGTGTAATGCAGACAGACACATAACCTTGTGAGATGTCCTTACCAGCAACCACTGCTTGTTAGAGGCAAATTTGAAACCCACCCTACACCAGACACAAATAACAGACGCTCCTTTAATGTTATGACCATTCACATTATCTTCATAGTCAGCAAATTCAGTGCATTAATGACGAACAATCCAAGTGGTGCAAGGTGTAGTACTGGTCACTGAATTTCACCTTACCTACTGCATCTTTGGAGTCTAATTCAACATGTCAATCTTGAGTACATTTGTGACACAAGTACCAATTGTGTCCTTGGTTAGGCAGTCTGATGGATCCAAGTGAATCTAGTTTATAAATCAACCAAACTGTTTGCAGGAATTTAAATATATTTTAAGTTACCATTTTTATTGACAGAAATTAAATAAATATGCCGTGGATTGAACTTGCTTAGAATAATATCCTGTGGCAGGAATTTGTGGAGGTATCAACTTTCCACAACAAAGGACATTTTTAACCAAATAATAATCAACTGCCAAATAAAAGTCCTGTACTATGGAATTAATTATACTAAAACGAAATGGTGAGACAAATTGAAGTTTTTTATTTGATTAGCAGACTAATTACATAAGCACATATTTGTACGTGTATATAGCAATAGCAGTTTAAATTGTTCTATACCCATGAAATCATCAGTGCTTAGTTTATATAAATCTGTACCATAATGTCACCCTCTGAAAGGCTAGAAATAAGTTAAAATGTTGGGGACCAGTATCTCTCTCCGTGGTACTCAGTTATGTGCTTTATTGCAGGATCCCTTGTGTCCGTTCCTGTTCCAAGTGTACATACCAGTTCTCCTCTCCTTGATGAGTTGCTGGATGACAAGGCCTACAGCCAGCAGTGCTTGTGAGGTACAGAGTGTGTATCCCCAGTTGGTCAGGTAGATTGGCCACTTGCTCAGAAAGTTCTCTGCTGGTGTATTTTGCTCTGCTGCAGAGAAGAATGACCAGACCCACACGCTCAAGAAGAGAATTGCAAACGCCCACCGGTATACAAGGTAAGTAATGCTTATTTCCGCATTCTTCTGCCACTGGAATGTAAAAGAAAAACAGGAAATATGGTCACACATCAGTGACTAGATGTGGGGTTTGGACTGGTGATTGGATCTGTTGAACACTTATAACTTGTAACTGCAAGTAATTATAGCACTGCTGTTAATCTACACACTTAACATATCACTATAGCACACACTGCCTTCATGAACCCATTTGCTTGGTAGTGGCTCCCAACGATACCTTCTCTTTTGACTGCAGTCCATTGCCTACTCTCTACCATCTGATGACTGGTTCTCAGCTGCAACTCATAAAGTCAAAGTCAGTCACATTATGACCAATGGTCAGTCGGTCTATCAAAGTCAAAGTCAAAGTTACTATATGACTGGCACTTTACCGCCAATCAGTTCATCTTGGCATCAAGCCCCTTGACACTCACAACCAGAGAATCCACTGAACCCTTGCAGTCATAGTCCTTATGTAACACCCTCTGTGATGAGAAGGTGGGTTTGTCTCTTATGAATATGCTTGGCCTTTTGTCAAATGCATGTATCACACATATAGCATGTTATTGAAAATTTCTTCCTTTTGCACTATATACAAGGTTTTTGTCAGTACATGCTTTTAAAATCAGACTGTGCCTATCTTACATATCTTAGGCTACAGCAGTCTATGAGTTGAGTCAAGCCTTATGTTACGACCGACGATCAGTCGGCCAGTGTGTCTTGGAATAAAGCACCCGTCTGGGGCTTAAGACCAAATTTTTATTACTGTCAGACAGTTGCAGGTTTGGCGATATGGGGTGCTCTGTCTGATGAGAGGATGCGTCTGTCATTTACAGTTGCTGCTGGCATTTGCCAGCGTAATCGCTCTTGGTTCCAAGTCCCATTGGACTCGTGAACATACTTTACTGTCTCAGATTTGAGACTTCCTTTTCATCACCTCCAGCGACTTGCAGGACTACGGTGGAGGTATTCAACTCTGCCTCCACATAGGATTAGTAATATCCATTACTTTTAAATTATAGGCCCTGCATGTGTGTATATCACTTTTCGCATTTGATTACAGTGAGCGTAGCAGACTTTTGAAGAGTTGTTATAAGTGTACTCCACTGAAGTAAACTGGTTTACCATATGTACGTTTTTGGTAAGGATCCCAGCTGTATATACCTTTAGCATGAACCACATAGAAACCATTTTTTTTGTGTCTTCTGTGTTGTGTGTTTATTTATTGCTGCAGTACATGTTTGTTATGTTTGCTGAGCCATGGTAACGTTTAATTTGCCGTTGCCTAGCAGTGGGCCATCTTTAAGTAATAATGTCACAGTATATAGCACCCAGCAGTAGAATAAACATCGAACTCCAAACTTCATTTAATGAAGAAATGTCTCCTGTCGGATGTGCCAGCATACAGTCCAGTACAAATTTACTGACATATTGGAGCCACATGCTGCTTCAGTCTTCAGGGTAGGAAAGTTATTGTTATTTAGCAGTACTGTGAATTTCGAGACGATATAGCATAGGAAAGTAAGCTGAGTATGAATTAAGTTGTATTTGTATGAGCAGAGGTTTACTGAATTGTAGCCACTCCCACTTCGTATTTCGGAAGTTTCAGCTCAAGTATAAGCTTATAGGTTGGCTTATAATGTTTCTCATGATTTTACTTAGTTTCTTGAAGCAGATACAGTGATAACAATTTCAGCAGACCCCAACTGCTTCCTTATGTTTCCATATGAAGAATGGAACATCATAATATCCAATTTGACATTATAGTGTGACATTACGGCTGAAACCTGGACCAGTGGAACAAATAGATGTGGCCATTGCTAGGCAACAGTGCAGAAACATGTGTCTGCAGTAACAAATCAACATACAACAATAGTGGAACTGTTCAAAGTGGTGTTTTATGTGTGGTGTCAGAGGTCAGAGTTGGCAGTTAGTTCATGGAGTTGCAAATGAGCAGAGGCAGTTTGTGGTTGGCCATGAGGAATCTCCATTGTTAGCTACTGCTACCTAGAAACGACTAGTGATGAAAGAATAACAGACAGAAGACTTTGTTTGTGCTGTAGTTGCAGTGATCTGTAGAATGTGTAAATTAGAGATGGTATTATAATCATTATGTAGTTATGAGCTATAAGGATTGAATAAATCCAATCAATCCAAACCCTGTGAGAGTATAACCTCTGCAGCTGAAGCAGCTTATGCTGTTAATGTTGGTAATGGGATGTGGTGCTGTACAGTACTGAAACATCTGCAGCTGTTCTTAATCCTCATGTCCTTATAGATTCCTTCTTACATGTTAGAGACGAACAGAATCAAGAACGGGTAAATGTGCAAGGAACTGTATTTATAGAATTTTTTAACCCTTATGTCTCAGTGTTTACTACAACTCACTTTAACTTACAGAATCTCCATATTTTACTTTCAAAATACTCGTATGTTAATGAGTTTTGTATGATTCTCAAAACCAACAGTGATTATTTCCCTAAAGAGTATTAACTGTTTGATATTTGTAATGAGGATGGCTTATGTTTTCTGTGAAGCAGGAATTTAATTTTAACAGTGTAGGACTGCGTACATGTAGAGATATTGCAACTTTTCTTTTATTACCCTTCATTCAGACATTATGAACTGCTGATTTTGGTCTCATGCGTTCATTCGTTCCAGTTTTATTGTTCTGTCCATGTTTCTGATTCCTGTTCTGAACGGGTATTCAGTGACCTTCTTAAGGGGTGAAAGAGTTTCGATTTACCTGGCATCGTACAAACTGCTCAGGTCTGTCATGGCTGAAACCCAAAGATCTGATATTGAATTCTCTTCTCCACATGGCTTTCATCATGTTGGTGGAATGGGTTCTTGTAGAGCGATTCACTGTTTGCTGACTAGATCTGCAACAAGAAAAGCAAGAGAAAATAAAGGTTAAAACTAATTTAAAATAACCATGGTAATGGCCAGTGCATAGTGTATAAGAAACTCCACTTTACATTACTCAACAAACTTTATCAAATGCTTCAAATGCTACTTATGCTCAGTATGCAGACCCTGGAAATGAAGGCAGTCGGTTCCCCTGAAATGTTGGTACCATTTTCTGGCCACACATGTCACATCCTAGAGGACTGTAATCTTAATACTATTTATGCAGTTGTGGTTTGCGTTGTTTTTGCCATAATGGTAAATGCTGGGTACCATGTCACCCAGTCTGCATTCAAGTGGTGATCCCTGGAAGCAGCAGGCTACATATTGTCATGTATTTCGTGACTATAGACACAATATGGATTGGTAACTGGATTTATTTCACGATTACAACTCAGAATTACAAATAACTATAACACTGCACAAATTGCTGTAACCCACGCTAATCTTCTCACCTTGTTACAGCCTGCATTAGTCGTTGCCTGCTTATAGTCTTCTAGCAACAGCTATTTCACATGACTTTACAGTTCAAAAACTGCAATTTCTAAGTCAAAGTCAAAATCACATTGTGACTGACAGTCAGTTAATCAGTCAGTCTTGGTGTCGAGCCCAATCTGGGGTTCATGACCAGATTACTATTTGACAGTTTAGGTCTTGTTATTGTGGGGCACCCTCTCTGATGAGAGGACGGGTCTGTCTTTTGTCAGAGCCATTGTCTGTAGTAGTAAGTCATTTGTCATAATGTAAAGGATATTTACATTTTACACGTTGAACATGATGTTGTTTCCCTTGGGTTTTCCAGTAAAATTCCGGAGCGATGCCTTAAAATAGGCACAACAATTTTCTTCATCTTTATGAGCTTGGTATATCATGTTCATCCAATCATTTCTGATTCCATACAGTATAACATCTCCAGTTGAAACAGTGTCGTAAAATAACTGAAGAAGAAACAAAAATTCCAAAATAACAAACCTTACATGCCTGGCCATAAGTAGTTCCTTGGTTATCATCGGTAAAACTAGGCAAATCTACACTGTTATCTCCCATTTTGTCATTTCTCGTCATATTAAACAGAAGTGGTATATTTTAATTATTCCATTTTGAATACACCTCGAAATCTTGCACCTCCTCCATGTTGGAATTTTAAAAAGTAGGAATTAGAAGCCGTGTAGAAGTATACGTCCCATTTAAATACGTATTGTATAAATGCGTTGTTTTTTTTTCGATTTTGTATGCCCTGTTAGTCTTGACGTTCTTTTATTACAAATACATAGGCCTATATATTATTACAATCTACAGGCTATCACGCTGTTTGCAACACTTTGTAGGCATACATTTCCTTATATATATATATAAAGTAGAAGCTTATCTTACACCTTAAACGAGGTCTATGTTTTGTTTTATGTATTAGTTTTTTTTTTGAGCGATTAACCATTATACAGAACAACTAATCGCCGACTTTTCTTGATATATCACGGAACACATAGAAAACGACGCTTCAAACAGTTCTTCTATTGTTGCGTGTATTGGTTGCAGCGGAAACGTGTTTACCGAGCCGTTACCTAGCAACGATAGGGTGGTACACAGACTGATGGGAGTGATTTATGAAGTACGCCGTTGAGATGGGCTCACATGCCACGATATTATGGCATGTAGGCCCGTTACTAGGTAGCGATCGCAAACAAACAGGTTCCCACGGCAGCGAATCAACACGCAACAAAAGAGGAGCTGTTGGAAGCGGTGCTTTCTGTGGCCCGCGACTTGCTCTTTGCTACATAATGGTGCGGTTAACACGTCTATGCAGCAACACTTGAACTACAATGGTAGAAGAGCTGTGTTTTCTCCGAGGTCCGTGCCGAGGGGTTATAAGCAGGACGAAGTTTAGAGCTCAGTAACTGTAAAATGTAAATATCCTTTACATTACGACAGACAACTTACTACTGCAGACAATGACTCTCACAAAAGACAGACCCGTCCTCTCGTCAGAGAGGGCGCCCCACAATAGGAAGACCGTAACTTCTAAACAGTAATAAATATCTGGTCATGAGTCCCAGATTGGGCTCGATACCAAGACTGACTGACTGACTGACTGACTGACTGACTGACTGACCATCAGTCGCAGTGTGACTTTGACTTGAGTTCAGTAACTCCAGTGTGGAGGCTGGGTCGAATGCCTCCACCGTGGCCCTATGAGTCGTAGGAGACTATGGAAAGAGAAGTCTCGAATCTGAGACAGCAAAATATGGTCTCGAGCCCCAAGGGAATGGGACCCGAGAAAGACTGCGCTGGCGAGGGACAGTAGCAATTGTAAATGACAGACCCACCCTCTCAACAGGAAGGATGTAACATAAGGGCTGTGACCTCAAGTGTTCAGTTGGAAAAGAATGATGGTCTCGAATCTGAAAGTGCTTGTCGTCAAGACGAAGTGATTGGTGGTAAACCGCAAGTCGTAAAGTAACTCTGACTCTGAGCTTAAACTTGGCGGTGGCCAAGCTTACAACCGTTCAAGTGACTAAGCTGCCCTTGTAGCATAAGATACTTAAGATGGGCATTATCAGTTCCGCAAAGCCTGTACTGATAGAGGACTTGTATATGAGTATAGTGCAGAAGTAAGAATTTTCAGTAACACGCTATCTATGCGATACGTACCCTTGACGAAAGGCCAAGCATATTCATAAGAGACAACCTCATCTTCTCATCAGAGAGGATGTTAGGTAAAGACTATGACCGCAAGGGTTCAGTAAAAAAGAATCTGGTTGTGAATCTCATGCAGCTTGAAGCTAAGACGAACTGATCGCCGTTAAACCGCCCGACGTAAAATAACTTAGACTTTGACGTTTACTTGAGCTTAGTCAGTTGAAAGTTAGTCTGTGAAGAGAGTAGTAGAAAATTGGTGTGAAATTGCCGTCAGCCTTTAAGTTAGTCAGTTCAAGCACTGAGAAAATTATAAGGGAGTCTGTAAAGAGAAGACTTGGTCGGTGCAGTTGAAGAATTTCCACTGTTAGAAATCGTTGCCAGGAAACATCAAGTGTAACAGACTGAGAACAGTAATCTGTGTGCTCTAGTGACTTGTAAAGTGTGGAGGTCAGTGTTGGCGCTATAGTTAAATGTAGTTACGAGTTGTATGTTAAAGTGATCGATAAATGCAGTCAGCAATCCAAACCCCGTCTGTAGTCGCTCTAACACGTGGCAATGTACACGCCAAGTTTCATAAAGCTTGGTTCAGGCTTTCAGACCGCCTCTGTGATCCAGAGGTCCGGGTTCGATTTCCGGCGCTACCAGATTTTATGAGAAGTAGTTGGTCTGGAACGGGGTCCACTCAGCCTCGTGAGGATAATATGAGGAACTACTCGTATTTCAAGGAAATAGCGGCTCCGGTCTAGAAAACCGAAATTAACGGCCGTCGGGATTTGTTGCGCCGACCACGCGACACCTCTATCCGCTAAAGTTTGAGTTAATTTGGGTGACAAGCTGCGGTCTCTCGGTCGGTATAGTTCGCTTGCGGACTAAAAACACGGAGTTTGGTTCAGGCTTTCAAAAGTTAATAGAAGGGGGAGGGATACACGGACGTGCAGACAGAATGGAGATCTCACAGGACACGTCTAATATTTTTTTTTTCAAAGTAGAGAATGTGGGACAAAAACTGCAAATTATAACTCGAGTTCCCTATTTAGTAACGACTGTATACTAGGTTAAGGGCTTCACAAAATTTTGGGATCAGTTTGGACTAATTGCTTGAATTTCCATTTGCGTACGACTGCAATATTAAACGAAATGTTTGAAGAAATTTTAATAGAATGGCAGTCTAATTTAGTAAATAGTTATATGTCCACGACTGTTAAAATTAAAATAATATAAAGATTCTGTCATACGAATCATGTGTGTGTGTGTGTGTGTGCGTGCGTGCGTAAATTGACGTGAATTTCTTTTTCGCGGACCTTGAATCTGGGAAAATCTGTTTCGGACAAGAAAGAGCGAAATTAAATTCGACCGTCGGCTTTTAGTGTTGATGTGTAGTACCAAAATTAATCGAAATTCGGCTGTTAGTTACAAAGACGAGACATGCGAACTTCAGTCACGAAATTTCCAGACATGTGACGAAAACTTTCATAATTCTGTAACATAATCTGTAAAATAGTTTTATTTACACTGTTACATAACATGCATATATTACTGATAATTAATGTTCTCAATAGGGATAGAAGAGGGTATGTCAAAATACAAGAGAGTTACCTTCTAAATTATAAGACAGAGACAGAAATTATGAACAGCAGAAGTGCTTACATTCGTAAAAATACCGCGAGAATGAAATTCAGCGTTTTAAAATTTTACACAACGTGTTTACGTTTAGTGTTGATCACAGCAGTATGTTTGACTATAACAAACTCATCAGAAAGAAACTATAATTGTTTAATAGCTTACCGAGAGAATCTTTATATAGGATATCCATAAATATTCAATACACAGAACCAAAAAAATTCGTAATATACGTATACTCGTATTTTATACAGATTAATATGTATGGACATCTTCGCTTTTGTTGCGTGAGTGACGTGTGTTTCTCCCATTACGTAAGAGTTATATGACATACAAGTATAAAAATGATTAAAGTAACTGCATTCTGACGTCACGCTGTTTCTGATTTGATCTAATCACTTAATGTCAAAATAAGCGTTTATTAAAGCAAATACCGTGTTATTTCGAATGTAAGCCGTACATTTCTCACATTTTTTCCTCTTGAAAAATTGAGGAGCGTCTTAAGTTCGAGGAATTATGAACCAGTTTGCAAACTGTCGACGGGGCAGCCTGGAAAGAACCTAACGTAAATACATTCAGAGAGAATCATCAAGTCACACCACCACCATCATCATCATCATCCCCACCTTTAACTACAAGTCAACCCCCAACTTTCATAACATTGTGACGCGTTACCTTACGTCCATCACCGCGACAACCGCTACAATAGGAACGGACA